TTCATCCAGCGGACGACGTTAACGAAGGTTTGGAGACTTTCGCCGCCACGCAAGGGGGTTGTCAGAGCACCCATCACCGCATCACCGGGCCGAGCTCGTCTCGGGGATTGCCGCAGGGCACGGCCAACGCCCCCGCTTCGCGGGGGCGTTGCCCGTACCCACTGTAATTTACAGTGGTTACGCGACCCGACACGCTATGTTGACACACGACATGGTAGGACTTCGGACCCCATGGACATGTCCTGAATAATACGCCGGGGGCAGCCTCGAAAGCGGCCAATAGCCAGCATTGGCCATTTTACTACACGACTTGGCAAAGAGGGTGAACATATCCCAGAGGTAGTACAGTGGATTTTGCAGACGAAAGGCTTTACGGGCGTAGTGTAAGTGAAGTATATTCAAGAAGGCGTGCCTGTACAAGCTGACCTGAGAGCTGACAAAGTAGGGCTGAAGATTGTGGATGAGCGATGGATCCACTCTCAAACGAGACTGGTTAACCAATGACATGTCCGTGCTTATCATAGAAGTTGCTCTCCTTATAAGCTCCACCATGCGGAAGCAAACCAAACGCGGTATCTATGTCGTGCAAGATACCCGCTCCGGAGGAGTCGGAGTCGTAGCCGTCGTAGTGGGAATGAGACCATCCACCGCCGCCACCGCCACCTCCTCCACCGCCACCTCCTCCACCGCCGCGTCCTCGCCCCCCTCTGCCGCCACGTCCACGCCCTCTTCCTCTTCCTCGAGATATACCTCTAGCTTGCCCTCCACGGCCGCCACCGCCACCTTCGTTGCCGCTGCTGCCACTACTGCTGCTGCTGTCACCGCCTCCGCCTCCACCGCGGCCTCTTCCCAGGCCACGACCTCTTCCAGGCCCACCGCCTCCTCTCCCACTGAGATATCTGACAACGACAGGCCCTCTGACTCTTCGTAACCCACGTCTACCATGTCCATAACCCCCACCGCCGCGACTCCCACTCGCCTGAGCGCCTCTTCGTGTAGATGACCCGGCAGTCTCAGGTACGACGCCAGTGCCTTGGCGAGCAGTACCTCCACCTCGACTGCGAGCCTTCTCAGGGTCTGTCAATGACGCCACGGTGACGGTAGAAGCAGTATTCAAATTGAGTAGGTTCTTGCGGTGCTTCTTCCCAGTCAGGTGCAATCTCTCGTTGTGGGCTTCGACAGTGAGATCACATATGTCGCAGTGCCAGGTGGGTCGCGAAGCAAGCCTTGAGGAATGAGATTGAGCGGAGGGGGCCGAGATCGCCAGCAGAGGCGTTGCAGTAGATGAAGGTACCGCTGGTGTAGATGCGGATCGACCGCCCAGAGCAGCCCGAGACTTGTGCTTTCGACCCGCAATATGTTGATCGCGATCCTTGACACTCATGGAGGTGCCACAGACATCGCAGGCCCAGGGGACCCAGGAAGTCATGTCTTCAGTGAGAGATCGCGATGCAGCGCAGGGGTCGTCGCGGTTGAGAGCAAGCAAAGCGCCGCAGATAACGGATAGAAGACGCTCGTAGAAGATGATGAACCCACGAGGACACAGAGTCCCACGAACTTTACCGCATGTCAATATATGGTCGAGGTCACACTTATTGAAGCAAAAATAATCCCACACGAGACTAAAGTGAAGAAGGACTGCATAGAATCGCACACGCACGGACAGAGAAGGCACCTATCATCTCCTCTTCCCCTTTCCACCCGACCCCTTCCCTCCACTCCCAATCTTTCTCCTGCTCCCCTTCCCACCCGCCCGTTCCGCCTTCTCCGTCTTCCTCGCATGTTGCTTCGCCCTCGCAGTCTTCCGCGCCGCTTTCGTCTCGTACTTGATATCCTTCGGCCGGACCTTCTTTTTTGTTGCAGAAACATTTTGTTTTGCGGCCGACGTTTTGGTGGAAGTAGTTGTACGCGGAGGAGATTGGGTGTCATCGTTGTCATTTTCTAAGTCTGCGTCGGTAGAAGTGCCGTGTATGAGGGCCAAGGGGTCAAAGTCTTCCACAACTGTAACTGTTGCGAGCTGCTCTTCGTCCGAGTACTCGTCTTGACGTTCAGCGGGCGGGGATGAGGGACCGGGTTCGGATCCAAAGCCGTGGAAGTCATCATCCGAGCCATTTTCTAGACGTTTGATTTCAGATAGATGGACACAACAGCCAATGGAGCCAGCATACCTAGCGCAGCACCACCGTACGCCGTCTCGACCTTCTTCGCGTTCTCCGCGGCTTGTTTAGCCAGCATTTGTCGTTTCTGCGCAGGGTCATAATGTCAGAACAAGTCATGGCATAAGTAACGATAATACGCACTTCTCGTCGCAACTCGGACCTCTCCGCCTTCTCCCTCTCAATCGCCTTCTTCTTCCCCGCCTCTTTCTTCGCCAGCTTTCGCTTGTGAAAACCAGTCAAGAACTCTCTAAACGACAAGAGAACTCATTCAATATTGATCCTCCGTAAAACGGATAGACTAGACGCACAGCCGAGCTTCATCGTCGAATACAATCTCCTTGATCTGTTCGCGTTTTTGGCGGCGTTTCGCTCCGGCGACTTGGTGCGAACGCGTGAGTACGCTTAGGTTATTTGACATCGAAATTGATAGGCGCCTAGCCAGCGACAGCGTATAGTTTATTGTAGTGTTTAAGATAGTCTAAGAGATACCGCCCGCAAAGCACGTCGGGAGGAGGAGAAGGGGGGTGAAAGCAAGACGCAAAGCGCGCGGCGCAAAATTATGGACGGAACCCTGATCTAGGGTCAGCAGCACGGTGTAGCTTACCACGGCAATGGCAAGCCTTCGCAATGCTATTGCTGTATATTGAAGATCACTGTACAAGGCGCACATACTATTATTACATCCTACGGCAAGGAGAGGCCGAATGTAAATCTCCTCAGTACTAATATATAGATCGACTGTGCCAGGCCAGTCTTAGCGCCGGCTACTTTCGCTCGTTGATCCCTCGAAGCGTGCGAGGCAATATCACACCGGACAGTTATATAAGCAACGAAAGGGACTCGTGCTGGTCATAGCGTGGTCATGATAGTGGTGATAGGTAATACAGGTGAACAGCGATAGCGACAAAGACAACAGGCAGCGGACTGACGACCCTCATGGTGAACGAGCGAGGACCACGACAAGCGGAAACGACTCTCAGTTTCCGCCGCGGAGACGAAGCACGAGGTGGAGGGTGCTCTCCTTCTGAATGTTGTAGTCAGAAAGAGTGCGGCCGTCCTCGAGCTGCTTGCCGGCGAAAATCAGGCGCTGCTGGTCCGGGGGGATACCCTCCTTATCCTGGATCTTCGCCTTGACGTTGTCAATGGTGTCCGAGCTCTCGACCTCAAGCGTGATCGTCTTGCCGGTCAACGTCTTGACGAAGATTTGCATACCACCGCGCAGACGCAAGACTGGAACGATATCAGTAATCGGAAACAGCTTCGAGTGAGAGACATAACGTACCAAGGTGCAACGTAGACTCCTTCTGGATGTTGTAGTCCGAGAGCGTGCGGCCGTCCTCGAGCTGCTTCCCAGCGAAGATGAGGCGCTGCTGGTCAGGCGGGATACCCTCCTTGTCCTGAATCTTCGCCTTCACGTTGTCGATCGTGTCGGACGACTCGACCTCGAGCGTGATCGTCTTGCCGGTAAGCGTCTTAACGAAAATCTGCATGCCACCGCGGAGACGAAGAACAAGGTGAAGCGTCGACTCCTTCTGGATGTTGTAGTCCGAAAGGGTACGACCGTCCTCAAGCTGCTTGCCGGCGAAGATCAGGCGCTGCTGATCCGGAGGAATGCTGAATATCGCGCGTCAGATAAGGCGCTAAAGGCACGATAAGGCACAATGACTCACCCCTCCTTGTCCTGGATCTTGGCTTTGACGTTGTCGATCGTGTCGCTCGACTCGACCTCGAGCGTAATCGTCTTGCCTGTCAAGGTCTTGACAAAGATCTGCATGCCGCCACGAAGACGGAGGACTGGAAGTCTAGGTTAGGACAAAGGAACGACATGTGCGGATAAGGAACACGACTGACCAAGGTGAAGGGTCGACTCCTTCTGAATGTTGTAGTCGGAAAGAGTACGACCATCCTCGAGCTGCTTGCCGGCGAAGATCAGGCGCTGCTGGTCGGGAGGGATGCCCTCCTTGTCCTGAATCTTGGCCTTAACGTTGTCGATGGTGTCCGAGGACTCGACCTCAAGGGTGATGGTCTTGCCGGTAAGAGTCTTGACGAAAATCTGCATGGTTGGTTCGTAGAGAGATGCGGGGTGGAGGGGATGAAGGTGGTGGTTGAGAGTGAAGGGCCGAAATGCACGCGGCGAGCGCTTATGAATCCCATCAACGCCATGACGCGTGCGGGGCACGCGCTGCGGTCGACTCAGGCCCAGATCGCCTCGGTGGTTCGGCGCGCTTCCTGCGCCTTCCGCTCGTCTCTCCCTCGAGTCCCACTGGCTCGCAGCGGTGTAAGATATTTTAATGACACTCTCGAGTTCTGGCAGGGAGTAGCTAGATGCGACTGAAGGCGCTACAGAAAAGAAGCTTTCACTACTCCATTCTCCCAATCACGCGTGCGGCGTGAAAGTCTCCAATGCCAAGCAGGCTTCTCATCTTGAAGCCCAAATAACTTGATGAGCGGTTGCATCTTTGCAACTTCAATCATAGAGGGCCTTCCAAAGTTTGTGCCGAACGCAAGACCGTATGCGATTTCGCTGTGTTGATCGGCAAAGGGAATTGTTGGAACCGCGCTCGACGAAGCTCAGTACAGACTACGATGTTGAGCATCTAGCTAGAGGTCCTATCGTATGTGGCATTCGACGCGGCGCTTCCCTAAAAGACGGGCGGTGTATGTTTGAATCAAGTTTCGCACGATCGCCTTCACCATGAACTCAAGGTACCGGTGAAGTGCTATTCTTCTATCGTGGCTGGATATGAGCTCCAAGTCCCAAGGGCAAATATCAAGCCGTGCGTTGCATAGAAGGAGCAAATTATATGTGCAAGCGGTGTCCACCATATGCATATCTATGGGGCTACCTCCTCATGAGTGTGTAGTCAGACTGAGCATACCGGGATAGCGCTCGACGTTGATACGGTACAGAACGCAGGAGGAGTGCGGTCACACGGCAACACGAGGCGCGTTACAACGTGTGGCGGCGGTCACATCAAATCACGACCTCGAGTCGAACTTGCCACCAGCCACCAACCACCAACCACCAACCACCAACCATACCATCTCTCACAGCCTCCTAACGCCTCTCGTCCGAGTCAGAAGGCTTACACGTGCTCGAGAACCACTCTCGAGATCCCTTAAGAACACGCGTTCTCCAGGTTCGCACTTAGCTTTCTCCTCCCACCCACCGCGCTGACCATGGCGCCTGCGCCCTTCACCAAGGTTACCTCCACGAATACCGACGACCCGGAGCTTGCGCTACCTGATCATACTCTTACTGGCTCTGAGTCTACTCCTCAACGTCTCAAGCTGTCTGGTTATATGCGCAACCACTCTGGACACGCTTTCATACGGGCTAAGCCCTTGTACAAGAGTCTCGCGAAGGAGATGCGCGGCATGTTCTTGGGCCCGATGCCGGTCATGACATTCCTCAAGAGATTCTTGCCCTGCGAGACGGAACGTACCTGTCCTAATATCAGCATCGGCGTGCGCGAAGCCGACTTCAAGCTCAAGAAGCGCGTTCCCGGCAAGACGGCAGAGGACAAGATTGTAAGTTGCCCGTCCGCGTTTGGATCCTCTGAATTACAATAATCCTATTCAGTGTAACGCTATCAACGACTCTGACGTTCTAACCAATCTCCACTTCCAAAACACGTCCGACTCTCCGCTGTCGATGTTCGAGTCCTTTCCTGAGAGCGAGAGGGCCGAGCGCAAGATTGACATCAGTGCCTTCATCCGCACCCAGCCCGGCGTCGCACCGAAGCCTGCCTTTGAAGTGCTTCGCCTACCCATCGAACTCAAACCTCCTGCGGTCGATATCGTCGTGAACCCGACAGCGAAGTCGTCCGAGGAGCGCAAGACGCAGGGTTTCGAGCATCAGACTCCGGAGGCCGTCGAAGCCCGTGGTCAACTTTCCTCGTACACTGTGCATCAATTCCAACATCAGGATTGTACGCATGCCTTCTCCGTTCTGATTTTTGGCTTGCAAGCACGCCTTTTGCGCACCGACCACAGCGGCGTCATCGTTACCGAAGCCTTCGACTACACGAAAGGCGACCTCTTCACAGAGTTCCTCTGGCGGCTTGACCGCGCCGTCGGTGGCGATGGAACAGACGAGGCGGGAGTTGATAAGTCGGTTACACGCCTCGCGCATGACGACGAGGTCGTGTTGAAGGCGCGCCAGGCATTCGCAAAGGCAGAGGATGAGCTGCCGTATGTTATTACGCCCGAGACACAGCTGCGTAAGGTCCTCGTGTGGGATGAGTACGCTTGCGCTTCGGACGAGGAATTGTCGCCGCGCGAGCTTATCGTAGCGCCGTCCGTGCAGCATTCGTTCTCGCCACTCGGGCGCTACACCCTGAGCTTCCCTGCATACGACCCGAAAACCGATACGGTGTGCTGGATGAAGGATGCTTGGCGCCTTGAAGAGGACGGCTTCGAGAAGGAGGGTGACACCTATGCCAAGCTAGCGAAGTTGGAGGGCATCGAGGGGTTGATTCCCGAGGTCTTGTGCGCAGGGGATGTCCGCGACTCGAACGGCGATGTCCAAGCGACAGTAACGCAAGACTACGTCGACGCTGAATGGGCCGCGCGGTCTGACAACATTCACCGCTATGTGCATTATCGGATTGTCTTCAAGACTATTGGCCGTCCCTTGACGACGTTCAAAAACACGAAGGAACTCGTCCAAGTTTTGGCTGATGCGCTGAAAGGTGCGCCTGTCTCTATCGTTCTCGATCTCGACTGCTGAAGCATAGCTGTAGCACATACCATTGCTTTCAAGAAGGGAATGATTTTGCATCGGGACATCAGGTTCGTTCATGGCCCCACTCTACCGCGTCGTGTGTCCCTGAGTTCTCCCTAGCATCAACAATATACTCATCAAGAATGGACGGGGATTATTGATTGACTGGGACATGTGCAAGCATCTGGAGGAGAAGGAACCCCGGATCCCTTGGCGGACCGTAGGTCGTCGTTAATCTATAATCTCATGTTACATCTAACGCACTACACAGGGGACTTGGCAGTTCATCGCCGCACAGCTTCTTGACAGCCCCAAGAGTACAACTCATACGTTGTGCCACGACCTGGAATCGTTTTTGTGGCTCTTACTATACGCGGTACGGTTGCGACCCCTCCTATTCCGCCGTCTTGATCACTGATCTTGTTGCAGACTCTACGTTATCGCTATCGTCTTCCTCATCTGACGGCGCCTGTCGATGACATTCAGGCTCAATCCATGTTCCCCGATCTCGAAGCCGAGGAGGACACGCCGGCCACCCAAGCCGTGCCCGTGAAACAGGCCGAGGTGACCTACATGGACTGGCCCGAGGTTCAAGACTACGTACATCACCTGTTCGACGACAAAAAAGAGCAAGGACAGGCGACGCCGAAAGGAGGGGAACGCAAGATGCACTTCCTTCTGGGCAACGCGGGCCATCCCTTGAACGACCACATTGCACGCTCTGTCGACGATGCCTCAACTCGTATACCTGTGCCACTCGCGAAGCTCATCACTGAGCTTCGCGGCCTCTTCGGACCTCTCTACGGTGCTCTCGCGGGGAAAACACCAAACGCCGTTCAAGCTTACGCGGATAAGCACTTCCGTTCTGCGATCTATGTCGAATACTGTTTCAAACAGGCGCTCAAAGCGCAAGACTGGCGGGACGACGATGCAGGGCAGGACCACTTCGTCTTCGAACAACGTTCAAGGAAGCGCAGGCGCGATGTAGAGGATCACTCGGACTCCGAAGCTGGCGACGACGATGAGGTTCCGCAGGGTATTCAGACATTTGCTGGTCGCGTCCTTCGGTCGAGGAGCAAGAGGCAGAGGGTTGCGGATGGTGACGAGTCCCCGACTCGGCCAGGGGGACGCGCTGCCTCCGCGCCAAGTTTACTTCGCTGAATGTCCTACATAGTGGTTCCGTTGTACATACAGATTTTTTGCATAGTACTGATAGTACACTGGCACTAAAGGGGTGCAACGCTACAGCCATGAGTCCATGACTCGGCGCGGATCATACGCTGAAGCGGGCGAACGGAAGAGGTTGAGCTTCAGCTTCAACATCGGTTTGTCTGGGCTACGGGATCCCGTTGAGGATGGTGGTGAAGTACAGAAAGCTGAAGGTCAGGTTATACGTACAAAGCGGACACACGGCCAGCTTGAACTGTACGGCTGGCAATCACGCGAAGTGCATGCGGCACTGGCAGCCGACGGTCATGACATGTGCAGTCATCTGGACGATAGCTCTCGTCAATCGAGAATTTATTGGTATATCCCAGAGCCGACCAAATTATCGCTCCGAGCATGGTATCAATGTCAATAAAGTACCCAAGTCCATGACCAAAATGTAAGTAGTGAAAGTTAAGGAGCGGAACCCTGCTCAAACCCATGCAGGCGTTCAACGATGAAGCCCGGCGTCTAGCAGTCCTCGAGAACATCGTCCGGCGCATAGTGCAGCCAGTCGTTGAAGTTGGTATACGGGACAGTCTCGCCGGTGGCGGTCCACTCCATAAGCGGAGCAATATACGCCGAGACGAGCTCATCGGAAGATCTGCGCAGCGAATACTTAGCATTGTCGCTCATATGGAAGGATAGGCAAAAGAACGTACGTTGGCCACGAAGCGGAGTCCTCGGTGCCGATCTCGCGGTAGACGAAGTCAATGAGGTTCTGCTGGGTGATGCCGCAAGCGGTGCTAGCGTACGCGCACGAGCCGACGATCTCAGCGTAGACCTGGATGTACATGTGAGACGACAAGCACTTGTAAGGCCAGTACGGAAGGTGAGACTTACCCCGTAGTCCAGGTTGAGAAGCGTGCTCATCGTCGGGATATCAGAGGTATCGCAAGAGAGCGCATCACGGACGAGACCGGGCTGCAAAAGCGGGGTGAGCTACGGCTTTCTGGGACATGTTCATGGACGGGCGCACACTGCCAACGATTGCAGCCGCAACGCAGACCGGGTTACCCCAGAGGTTGGTGCTCCCGGTGAGCCTTGACTTGCAGGCCTCAAACTGCGCAGAGGGCGTTAGTTGTTGTTCAGCCGCGAAAGTCGGACTTGCGCACGAGGGGGTATACGAAAGCCTGTTGCGCCTGCAACCCGGTGGTGCCATAGGTGCACTGCTCGGACACGTCGCGCTGGATGATGTCCGTCTCCGAGATGATAGACGCGCTAGCGATGCCAGCGAGGGCAGCAAGGGAAGCGGCAGTGAACTTCATGGCGAGAAGATGAGTGAGTGAACGGGTGAACGAGCGGCGGGGCCGTAAAGAGCGGCGGGGCGAGCGAGACGAGCGTTTAAGTAGCCGTGAAAGCGCAAGACGCCGTCGCTAACCGACCGGCAAGCGTTTATATATGAATGCAGCATACGAGCGCTTGCGCATCCATGTCCGGCGGCAGGCACAATGTTCAACTATGCGGGTCTAGAGCGCCGTTGAAACGCTTCATATAGCGAGGTTAGTGCGGGCGCGGGCCGCGGGTACGTACCCAAAATGGAAACAGTGACCGCGCGGCACGCGGCGGGGCTCGTATAGGTGAGAGACCCGTCGAATAAGGAGTTGTACAGAGTCTATACGGTGACAACCAGAGCCCAAAGAGAGAGTGAACGTGTGGAATGAACGGAGTGGGTAGGTACAAGGAGAGTGGGTAGCTGAATATGGGACGCGCAGTGGCAACGACGTCGACGACGCGGGAGATCATCTTGATCTGCGGGCAACGGTCACCGCCCTATGTCATTGTTCAGCAGTCGGACTCGTCGTCGGGCGCGTAGTGAAGCCAGTCGTTGAAGTTTGTGTAGGGGATCTTGCTGCCCGTTGCGGTCCATGTGAAGATCGGGGTGATGTACGTGTCGGTGAGGGCATCAGACGAGCTGTAGAGATGAATCAATGCCGGGGTTGATGTCGTGAAGGAGAGCAACTCACGATGGCCAGACAGCGGAAGACTCGGCGCTGATGGCGCCGTAGACAAGGTCAATCAGGTTTTGCTTCGTGATCTTGCATGCAGTGGACGAGTATGCGCAGGAGCCGACGATGGCGGCGTAGACCTGATATACGCTCAGACTTCAACACACCTGGAGGGGTATAAGGGCACGCACGCTGTAGTCGAGGTACGGGAGGGTGTCAAGGTCGCCCATCGACGAGTATGAGCAGGAGAGAGCATCACGGATAAGACCGGGCTGGAGCGTAGGTCAGTACTTAGGCAGGAGGATCCGAAACGAATAAACGTACGCTACCGACGACAGCGGCAGCCACACAGATCTTGTTGCCCCAAGGGTTGGTGTACTTGCCATTCAGTGCCGTCTTGCAAGCCGTGAACTAAGTCTTCAATCAGCGACCGCGCGTTCACATGATAAGACAACGCGCACCAGAGGGTACACGAAGGAGAGCTGCTCCTGGAGAGCAGCCGTTCCATATGAGCAGAGGGAGCTGCTACGCTCAGCGAGGAGGGAGCCCTGCGCGACGGCGGCTCCGGCGATAAGGACAGATGCGATGGAGAACTTCATGTTTGACCGTGTGGGGAGTGGGAGCCGGGACCGACGAGTAAAGAACGGACGGGGAGGACAAGAGAGCCTTGAGAGATCGCAAAGGCGAGAGGGACCGCAGAGCTTTATACGCCCTCCTGCGCAGGCCTTGGAGTTATGGCGGCTCCGATAGTCAATTTGCCCTAGCGCGCCTGTCAATCGGGCAGGATCTCGTAAATTGGGTTGGGGTCTGTGTTGTTGTCCCGAAAGAGACGGATCCGAGGCGCATGTACTCCATTGATGGACATAGGCTTTCTGACTCCCGGAACCCCCGAGGCCCGAGGGCTCGTTGGAGTTAATGCGAGCAATGGTCAAAGGGCGTATGTACCTGATGCAGAAGCAGGATGAAGCGCCAGATGATGAGCGGGTGGGATACAATGCTTCAGGGCAGCCCGTCGTCATGCGTGCGGGTTGGAAAAATGTACAGACATACAATATCAGCATTCTTGTACTGATACTGACCGCCAATACGGCGTGCCCCGAATCGGACGGTTCGAGCTGCAAACACGAATCGCGTCTGAAGAGCACAAGAAGTTGACAAGGTGTCAAGCGGGTCTCGAACGAGCGTGAAGTGCGCTACATGATTTCGTCCACCCATGCTCAGCGAGCGGAAAGGGTGGTGGCAGGAGGTAAACGGCGACGGCCGAGGACGCGAACGCGGTCGCGTGCCGTGCCTGAGCCGCCAGATTGGCGCGCGCGTCTCGCGTCTCGTGTTTCTCGCGCGTTTGTTCGACTTTGACTTCCATCCACGATGGTATGCTTGCCATGTCTTCAAGTGCTAAATCGCCGTTGAATAACATATCATAGTCGTCTGTACCCCCTCAAACGCCACGAACTGGCCGTGCGCAGAAACGGCGACGGTCACCTGAGCGGGACGACGCGCTCGACTCGTCGCCTCTCGGTCGCCCACCCGCGACGCGTCGCGACGGCTCCGAACACTCTTCTCTTCCGCCCTCATCGCCCGTGCCTTTCTCCGATACGGATGACAGTCTTGATGAGCGCGAAGCTGTGCCGGATGCCGAAGACGATGAGGTGGAGGAAGAAGACGGCGACGGCGAAGATCTATTCGGGGATGGCATGCGAGAGTATGTATTCTACCACTATATGATGTCCAAGTATATATCTGACTGAATGTGCAGTGACTACGCGCCGAACGAGCTACTTGACCGATATGATATTGCGGACATCAACGACGAAGAAGACTTTGGCGACATGTCCGTCGCCCAAAGACGCGCCGCCGAGCGTGCGATGGCAGAACGTGACCGACGCGATGCGCGCGGTGGGCGACGAGGACAGCGTGCGGCGGCAAGGTCACGAGCACCCGACTTCTTGCAGGACGATGACGAGGATGACGGTCTGGACTTCGGTGGCGATCTGCTTTCCGGTATGCGGCCCCGTGCGCGTCGCGACTACGACGAGAGAAGGAATGTGGACGACATGGAGGGCGTCGAAGATGTAGGTTATTATTGTCTCGTGTCATGGATTATACTTACCGATGAAATTCCAGGAGGACATGCCAGAAGAGCAGCTAGGCGATATCAAGGCCAAGTCGATCGTCGAGTGGGTAGCCAACGACAAGGTTCGGAGGACGATCGTCAAGCAGTTCAGCAATTTCCTCAAGACCTACGTCGACGATAACGGCGCGTCTGTTTACGGTCAACGCGTACGAGCGCTGGGAGAAGGTGAATGATGGTCGTAACAGCAAATCTCATGCGTATACTGAACGTCTCATAGCCAACGGCGAATCACTCGAGGTCTCATATCTGCATCTAGCAAACTCCAAGCCCATCCTCGCGTACTTCCTCACGAATGCCCCCACTGCTCTTCTTGAGATCTTTGACGACGTAGCGATGGACGCAGTCCTCATCTACTACCCCAACTATCTCCGCGTCAAATCCGAGATCCACGTCCGCATCTCCGAGATCCCATTGACAGTCTCTCTCCGCGATCTGCGTCGCACACAGCTCAACCAGCTTGTACGCGTGAGCGGCGTCGTCACCAGGCGCAGTGGCGTGTTCCCGCAGTTGAAGTATGTAAAGTTCGACTGCAAGAAGTGCGGCGCTGTGCTCGGGCCGTTCTATCAAGACGCCACGCGCGAGGTCAAGGTCAGCTACTGTGCAAACTGCGAAAGCAAGGGCCCTTTCTCTGTCAACTCGGAGCAGGTACCGTGAAACGACATTATCGTCCCGTGAACTGTACGCTGACAACGGGATGCAGACCGTCTACAGGAACTACCAGAAGATGACCTTGCAAGAGTCGCCCGGATCTGTCCCTCCTGGTCGTCTGCCGCGGCACCGCGAGGTCGTTCTCGTTTGGGACTTGATCGACTCCGCAAAGCCCGGTGAAGAGATCGTACGTCTACTTGACCCAAGCACCCTGTTTCGCAACTGACAGGTCGTTACAGGAAGTCACAGGCATTTACCGCAACAACTTCGATGCCTCGCTCAACTCCAAGAATGGCTTCCCGGTATTCTCCACCGTTCTCGAAGCGAACCATATCAACAAGAAAGAAGACCTCTTCGCCTCCTTCCGTCTCACTGAAGAGGATGAAAAGGAGATCCGGGCTCTGGCGCGGGACGAACGCGTGCGCAAGCGCATCATCAAGAGTATCGCGCCGAGTATCTACGGGCACGAGGATATCAAGACCGCTATTGCTGTGAGTCTATTCGGTGGCGTCGCGAAGGACATCAACCGCAAGCTGCGCATCCGTGGAGATATCAACGTGCTCTTGCTCGGCGATCCCGGTACAGCGAAGAGTCAGTTCTTGAAGTACGTCGAGAAGACCGCCCATCGCTCCGTCTTTGCCACTGGTCAAGGCGCCTCGGCCGTCGGTCTCACGGCGTCTGTACGCAAGGACCCTATCACGCGCGAATGGACGCTCGAGGGCGGCGCGCTGGTTCTGGCCGACAAGGGCACTTGTCTGATTGACGAGTTCGACAAGATGAACGATGCGGACCGTACATCCATCCACGAAGCCATGGAACAGCAATCCATATCCATATCCAAAGCTGGAATCGTTACCACGCTCCAAGCGCGCTGCTCCGTTGTCGCCGCGGCCAATCCAATTCGCGGGCGCTACAACCCCACCATCCCGTTTAGCCAGAACGTCGAGCTTACCGAGCCGATTCTGAGTCGATTCGATGTGCTTTGTGTCGTCAAGGACAATGCGGATCCGGTGCAGGATGAGCTGTTGGCAAGGTTCGTGGTGGGGAGTCATTATAGGAGTCATCCGAGCTTTGATGGGGAGAAGGAGGAGATGGATGTGCAGACGACACTCGATGCCGACGTACGTTTTCGACCCTGCACTTGTTTGTGCGACTTGTGCTGACGAACGGCGCAGCTCATCCCTCAAGACCTGCTCCGCAAGTACATCATGTACGCCCGCGAGAAAGTTCGGCCGAAGCTATACGAGCTCGACCAAGAGAAGCTCGCCCGTCTCTTCGCCGACCTGCGCCGCGAGTCCCTCGCCACAGGCTCTTCACCCATTACCGTGCGTCACCTGGAAGGGATGATCCGTATGGCAGAAGCGAGCGCCAAGATGCATCTCCGCGAGTACGTCCGGGCAGACGATATCGATCTGGCGATCTCGGTGGCCGTGGACAGCTTCATTAGTACGCAGAAGTTGAGCATCAAGCGGACGTTGCAGAGGGTACGTATCCGCCTTGACCATTGCGGTCGGATTTCAGACTGACGTTCAAGCAGGGCTTCAGGAAGTACCTCACGCAGGCGAAGGATCACGAGGAGCTCCTCGCGTTCATCCTGGGCCAACTCGTCAAGGAGAAGGCTCGAACGTACCAGCTCATGAGGCATCAACAACCCGATCGCGTCACGGTGAAAGTCTCCGAGCTCGACGAGCGCGTACGTATACTTCATCCGAGTCAGGATGAGCTCAACGCTAACGTGATCCACAGGCGAAGGAGCACGACATCTTCGACACGTCGCCGTTCTTGCGTTCGAGGTTGTTTCATGCTAATGGATACAAGCTGAACGACGACGGAGATGTGGTTGAGAAGGTGTTTGGACATAGTCAGGAGTAGAGCGGCGGTCCTGCTTGTATTGTCTGTTCGGCTTTTCTTGTGTACCTTGTATGGGCTATGTGACTGTATAGTATCTTGCGAGTTCTTGTTGTATATGAGTATACCTACCGTGCATGGCGGAGTGGTCTGATTTACCAGGTGGGTAGCGAATCAGGACTTTGCCACGAATGTGCAACTCCGCGACAGACAGCAGACAGCGAGGGGCGCCATCTGTTGATTTAGTCTGATTCCTTTTCACGTGCACCCCATCCTCGTCAGAAAGTCCACAGACATCACTCGATGGGCAGGAATCAGGATAAGACTGCCGATCTGCATACGCATCCCCGGCCTGGGAAAATTCGCGCAAACAGGCTCGCCGGGATCTTATTTTGGTAAACGATATTTATACAGCGCCGGCGTAGCCCCAGGGGCGCATGAGACCATACGCAAGAGAAAGCACCAGGCTGGGACGCTGAGTATCCGGACCGTAGGCACCGGGTAAAGGAGTCGACTCAGTATCGGCCTCCCCGGTTCACGCGGGCTCGGCGTGAGCGCAGCTTGTCTCTTGCGTTGACCACCACTGCCAGTGGATCTCTCATTACCTCAATGTCCGAACCCATTCAAACGCCTTCCCTTCAAGACGGACTCAATGAGCTGGATCTATTCCGTGAATAATGGAAGGAAGAGCTACGCCAGCGATCTTCTCGAGGGAAACAGCCTAAACTGACGCGTATGTTGAACAACGTTAGAAGAAGCATAAACCTGTTGCTAATCTCATCGTAGAAGTCCCCTCAACGCCCATTCATGTCCTTCCTGATGATGTTTTGTGCGAGATGTTTCATGCTATCGCTGCATTGGAACCACCCGCGTCAAGAGAGCGCAAACCGAGGCGACGGTTGGTGCCCCGCTCTAAGGACGAAAAATTGGGCTGGATCCGCTTGACTTACGTATGTCGGAGGTGGCGAGGTATACTCTTAGGTGTTGGGATGGCCAACATGTGGGGCAGAATCGCATTCACCTTCCCTGTCGCTGCTGCCTTTCCAACACTACTTTCCCGTTCAAGGAGTGCACCTCTGAACACAGTCCTCGTTGTGCCTCTGGTCTCTTCCGGGATCGGCTTGGGGCGACTTACACGACTTTGGCCTGAGCATCTTGCGGCCGCCACGGCCAACCTCACTCGAATACGCTCGCTGAAAATCCACAGTCGCGTGACTACACAACTTCGTGGCTTCTTCACCCATCCCTTGACTATTCCTTCGCTCAAAGACTTGGAACTTCGGCTTGAGTGCGGTGGCCTGCCTTACACGCGCCCAAGACTTTTTGAATCGCTCGCCCATGGATCTGCACCGCCCAGTGCGATCCGGCATGCTGCCATGCCCACTGGTGCCTGCAATGTTGCGATTGAAGGTCCCAACGTCAGCTCGGCGCTAGTAGAACTTCGCGTACTGCGCAAGGGATTAGCGGGAGGTGTCGGCGATACCATGCGCCCCACCTTGAGACTTCGCCTATCCAACCTTCACCGCCTGGAACTTCGCGTGTATGACTCCCTCACGACGGAGATCAGCGACTTCAGCTGGGTGGTCTCGCTGCTACGCACAGCACCCTTGCTGGAAATGCTCTCACTCGATCTCCAGATCGATAGATGTGTATTGCGATGGGATAAACTCTTTGATGGAGTTCCTAGCCGCCTTCTGCGCCTCAGGGAGCTTGCGCTCAAGGACTGCAGTTCCATTGATTTTACTCCCTTCATTGAACAAGTTTGTGACGAGCCTCCTACATCTATCACTGCAATGTGCGGTGCACTGAGAGGTGCGGAACTGGACGAGAACGCATCTCAAAGCTCGCAGAACTTCATCACCAACTTCGGACGTTATCTTTTGCATTCTGGCCATCGAGCCCTTCACATCTCCACCTCACCCGCCCGTAATATGGCAGGCAGTATGCGCATGGTCGGTGTGCAGTCACTCCCTGCTCTTCCAGACTTTTACGACTGTGACGTTGAGTGATTCGAGCGCCATGCCATAGCAATGACATCCGCCCGACTTGCGGAAACTGTGCATTTCCAGCCCGACAAATCCCGAGATACCGTGAAACTCGGGCTCCAGGTCCCGTCCGCCAGCCAACAATGGCTCGACATTCTAGCGCCATGTATCGATCGCAAAGAGCCTATTGAGCAGCTTAGCATGTGTATTCCGCATGAGCTCCCTCACGGATGGATCAAGTCATTCCAGCAACTATTTTTCCAACCCATGACGGGGATTCGCGAACTGCATCTTTTGCATGCCTACTATCTGGTCGAGGATATCAGCGCTTGGGAACAGACCATCGGCATACTCTGTCCATTCGAGTCGCATTCTCCCACCTTCCCAGATCTACATACGCTCCTCGTTACCTTCCACCTCGAACTTTTTGAAGATGATCGCATTCCTCTTGAAAGGTGGTGGGAGCCGCTCATCACTGTCCTGACACACCGTCGCGTGCGTGGCTGTCCCATACGGACTCTGCGGATTATCGGAATGAAAGGAAAGAGTTGGAAGGAGGACAAGAGCCGCGATGCAATGATGCTAGCTCAGGCGAAAGCCGCAGTGGATAGTCTGGTTGATGAGCGCGCGGAATATCGATTCATAGTACCTTTTCAGTAATTTGCAACTTCCCTGTATTCATGTACGCTCCGTCGGTTGTTTATGCCATCGGCTTGATCTTAGCCAATATGTGTGACGTATCTACATCTCATTCTGTAATTGACTTTGGGATCGTACAGGCAAGCCTTGGTGATAGCCACTCTTGGCAGGTGGCTCCGGTCGCTAGTGCCGTGACGCGTGATCAAGTAAGACATCAATCACCCGTGTCACGGTGTGCGGCTCTGAACATCCTTTGTTTCGACGACCATCTTTCTTGCCACCCTCTTCGTGTCCAATGTCTGAATTGGATCAAGGACTGGGGCTACAGAATGAGCTGGAGCTATTCCGTGAGAAGTGGAAGGAAGAATTGCGAGAGAGACCTACCAAAGGACTGGCCTTGAGGTCTGCACGCGCAAAGAGCCCTGAGCCCGATCCGGGTATGTCTCCATCATGCATCCCTTCAGTGCGCGCACTAATCCAGCTTAGAGCAAATGGCTCTTCCGGTCGTTGCGATTTGGACACTCCCTGACGACCTTCTATGCGAAATATTCTACTCCGTGGCCGAGGCGGAGCCACCGACGTCAATAGAGGATATCCCTCCCCATAGTCAACTTTACTCAATGACGAGGCCACTGCACTTGCGCAACCACTTCACGGATATGGGATGGCTGCGTTTGACGCAAGTCTGCCAGAGATGGCGCGACATCTTGCTGGGTGCAGGCATGGCCCAATTGTGGGGCAGAGTTGCCTTTACTATCCCCTCTATGGCTGCCTTCCCAACTTTGCTCTCAAGGTCAAAGGACGCACCCTTGCACGCATTACTGAGTGCTCCCGGCATGGGGCTAGGGCTGCGTGCACCTCTCTCGCTACCACACGTAGAGGCGGTCACGACCAACCTGCACCGAATTCGGTCGCTGAAAGTGCGCAGTGCATTGACGCGCGACTTGCTCCATCTCTTCGCACACCCTCTACTCGTACCCTTTCTTCATGAACTCGATCTTCATGTGGACTTCAGCAATGAACGCCGTCCCAATATTCACGGACCCTGGGTCATCATGCTGCCGGCGCCGCAGGAGACGCCTGAAGCGCTCAACGATGGAGATGACGCAATACCCACTGGAGATAGCCGTATAGCGATAGATGGCCCGAGTGTCACTGTCGCCTCGCTGCACTTTGAACGGACCAGTACAAGCGCATTCATGCGTCCCGGTTTGCACTTTTCTCTTCCGAGCCTTCGCCGCCTGGAAGTCCGCATATACGACATCTCGACGCAGATCAGCGATTTAGACTGGCTAATGTCGCTTTTGCGCACGGCGCCTTTGATCGAGGTGCTCTCCCTCGAGCTGAGGCTAAGGCAATATACGCCTAATTGGACTGCATTATTCGCCGGGTCCCCTCCTCAACTCCAGTACCTTAAGGAGCTTAGGCTCAAGGACTGTAGGTCCATCGACTTCGCACCGTTCTTAGGACAAGTCTGTATCAGACCTCCTGCCTCCATCTCTGCGTCGTGCAGTGCGCCTAGAGACTTCGATCCGGCAGTCGGCATACAGCAAGAAACGCTGGGTTTCATCAACACTTTCGGAAACTATCTATGCCGCCCCGGCCATAAAGCTCTACATATCTCGCTGTCGGATTCTCACGCTTCCACGGGTGGGGCATGCATCGTGGAATTGCAGTCCATGCTCGTCCTTGACGATTGTCAGCGCTTCATGTACTTTCAAGGCAGGCACACAGGTCAAACAGCATTACCTCAGTCCGTTAATCTTTCCGCCGACACCACTCAGCTTGTCTTTGAGATGCCATTCTCTCATGTCCGCAATCCAGGCTGGCTTGAGATGCTTTCCTCGCGCATTGGTCGCAAGGATCTCATTGAACAACTCGACATGCGCATTCCGCACGAATACTCTCACGAATGGGTTGAGGCATTCCGGAGACATCTCCTACTGCCTATGACAGCGCTTCGCGAGCTGTCTATCGTTCAGGATACCCGCCATACCACGACCGCGGAAGGCTGGGCGAGGACGATCAATGTGCTACTACGCAACTCACCGCCTCTCATCTTTCCGGCCCTGCACACACTCCTCGTCCCATTCTGTCCAGAGGTGTTTCAGCATGAACGCAATCCCCTCGAGGCATGGTGGAATCCTCTCATCGAGAGTTTGACGCACAGACAAGCACATGGTTGTCCCATTCATACTCTGAGAATCACTGGGATCTGGACGCAGGATTGGAAAGACATGTTCTCAGGTCGCGACGCGCGGATGATGGTTCGAGCGATGTCCCTGGTGGAAGTTGTTCTAGACGAGCGCGACGTGCATCTGAGGCCATGCTTACGGTATTATGCCATCCCGTATAATTCGTTAACTCGCATTCGTGTTGTACATATATATGCCTTGCACCCGATTACCTCTGCCTTGAGATATACATTTATATGTTCAGCGATGAAAAGATTTGCTGGAGTCAGGCAACTGCCTGATTGAGGAACATACAGTCTATGCGCATGAGAGTCGTCGACATTCATGACCAGCATCGAGCCTCAAAGGCTCTACATGAGGTGAGTAGTATGTACACAGGAAGTAAATGTCTATAATACAAAACACGAGCGCCCGGGCGCAATGGTGACAAAAGTATATATACATCGTACAGTGTCCATTATGATTTAGTTCTTCATCCTTGTACCAGCCCTTCATCTCGGGTCTGTGTGGATCTTGCGACGTAACCAGTTCGTTGGGCGAGATTTAGGTGGCGAGTTAGATTGAACAGACGTCTCAGTCGACGCCGCCCATTGACGTATTCTGTCGTCGTCCTGATAGAAAGTCAGGATAGGCATCAAATGGAGGAGAGTTGTGGCTTACTCTGGTCGTTTGACTGTTCGGAACAGTCACTGGTGCGGAACGCACGACATGATCCAGATCTAGGTCGTCGTACAGGAAACCATCCTGGAAAGTGCTCGTGCTGGGCCCGCTATGGTGCCCTCTCACGGCTTGAAAGCGTTGGCTTCTCTCGGCCCTCCTGCCCTCCTCAAATCCCTTCGCCCTTCCCTCCCTGAACCCCTCTTCCCTACCGACATCCTCCCCTTCCCTCCTTCCATCCGCGAAGCCCTCCTCGAATCCGACATCTCTGCCCTCTTCGAACCCATCGGCCCGGCCGTCTTCGAAGCGTCTCCTGAGTGCCAGCGCTCGTCCTTCGGCCCGTCCATCCTCCCACGCTTGCTGATCTCTCAACGCGCCCTGCCACTTCCTCGCCGCATCTCTCGCTTCGGCGGCCTTCTGATCCGCTTCTCGCTTCTCCCTCTCGAGCCTTTGCACATCGCCAGCTAACCTCTGCCTATCGCGCTCAGCCGTATCTGCCACCAGCTGCACGCGCTTAATCTCTTCCTTCGCCTTCATAGCCTCAAGCGTAGAAGCATGCTTCTCGGCCTCGGCCCTCTCGGCGCGCGCTTTCATCTCCCGAAGCTGCTCCTCGGCCTGTGCTGCGCGTGAGGTGGCAGAGTCCGCTCTACGCGCCTCGGCGTCTAACCGAGCGTTCGATTGACGTAGTAAAGCGCGAAGGTGCCGTGCTTGTCGTTCGGACTCGGCGAGGACGAGCGACATGAGTTCGTCCGAGGCGACTTTGCTGGTGGTCTTGCCGTTCTTGACGGATGCGCGGTCTCTATCGCGAGGGCGGTGTTCGCGGTCACTCGATGAACTCGAGCTATGGCCACTGGGCCCGGCGCGGGGTGTGGGTCTGGGTGTCGTGCCCGGCGTCAAGCTCGGCGTCATTCCAGGCGTACTGAGTCCAGGAGACAGCAAAGCAGAAGACGGTGCAGGCGAGCGGACGCTACCGTTCTTCGACTTCGACCGGGAGCGGGAACGGATAGACGATGCTTTCCTCAGCAGGCGCACCGACTCGGGATTCTGAAGGAAGGCTGAGAGTGGTGTAGGCGACTCAGCAGCTTCGCGGATCTGAGCCATGAAGTCGGGTGAGAGACCGGGTCCATGACTGCGAGGCGAGTATAGTGGGTCGTGTAAGCTGGCAAGGACAAGTTAGGCGGTTGTTGTGAGACACGGAGTCCGGACCACACACCTTGTGTTGATGAATCGCGGTAGTTCTTCATCGGGGACTTCCTCGATGGTGACCTTGGGTGGCGGAGGCGGCGGAACGTCGAGTAGTGTAGACATGATGATGGGAACGAAGAAAGCGAAGGCAAGGCAAAAGCTAGAAGTTCGGAGGAACGACAACGGATCGCGTATGTATATGAATTGGCAGAGCGGAGATGAAAGGCGAAAGTTGAGAACGTTCAGAGCTTATGCTCACAACACTCCAAGTACAACAGCGACGCGACTTTCTGGGGTGTCAAAGTGCGCAGATCGAAGTGGCATCGCCCTCTGAGCGCAGTGCAACCAACACTGATAGGCGTGTACCGCGATCTCGCACCGGTAATCCGTTGACGTTGGCGCGGGTCAAGGGTTCGTGCTTAAGCAGAACTCGTGGCGGTGGGGATGCAAGCTTAAGTGTAAGCCCTTGCCTCAACAGGGACCAGGGCGGCGTAAAGCGCCTCCACGGCCGACACACACGTGTACGGGCCGACGTACAGGGTACGGGTAGTGTGGCCGCTCCATTCTGACCGCAGGCAATTATCGATAGAGATTGTTGTGAACGGTGAATGTGATGTACCCGGGCTCGGAGGTCTGAGGAGACCGCCGCATGCGCGCTTCGTCCTCGAGGCGTTCACATCGCTGCGGAACAGTCGCGCTCACGTGGATATAATTTGAACTTGGCCGCCGGCTTCCGTCGATCTGGGAGACGCCTTAACTTGTCCTGAACCTTCACCCTCACCCGCCGGCTTCACTGCCTATCATGCAACCTTCAACATTAGCAGACTCGATGATTCCCTCATCCAACTCTCGGTCACACTTGTTGCATCGCACGCGCCCACCGACACACTCCCGCAAAAGCTCCGCGTTCACCCCGTTCTCCACGATTGGCGAGCCGAACACGTACACGACCCTCTTTGCATCTACCGCGCGGAAGCACTTCTCTGGCCACATCGCTCCTCATAATCCTATCTCGACGATGAACAACTTTGATAGCGCACTCTCCACCAACCTGAACTCGAACTCCGATCCTCGGTCCTCAAGGCTATTGAGCGTGTCTGCTGTGTGGATGGTCTACGTTTATGCCTTCATTAGCTTGGTGTTCTTCTTCTCCGCGGCATACTCCGTGCTTGGGAAAGTCTCGTGGAGCGCGTATCTGATGACCGTAGCAATACCTGACCGTCCGGTCAACCATTCTTATCTCGATGATCTCTCGGATCTTCAGCGAATGGCCAAGTTATCGTCTTTGCACCCTCCGCCAGAACGCTTCGAACCCTCTTACATTGGAGCGACGTCAAGTGTCTCCGGGATATCTGCTTGTATCTGGGCCTCTGACAACGATCTTGGATGGGTCACGTCCTGGGTAGCAGAATGGGACGGTACGATTTCCTTTCTCTCAAGAAAGTAACTGACTTGCTGACTTCGGCGTCGTCACAGGTCCCATCTCACTACTAGTCGTCTCGCGCTCGCCCCAGATCTCAGAGCTCCACGGTATAATCTCAGCTTTCGCGCGCACATCCGGTATCGATACCGCCAGTTCCAGGATCTCTGTGCATCTTCTACAGCTCCACCCGGCCACATCCGACATACCCAACGCCTTCCTCAACCTCGCCAGACTCTTTGCGCCCACTTCATCTGTTCTCCTCGTGCCGGGGATCCACCGCCCGCTGACTGTCCCTTCTCTGCTCCCTCACAAAGGCCTTGAAACTCCGACCCTCGTACTGAGTGCGAACGACACCTATTCCGCAGCAGTAGAGCATGACGATGTTTCCGTGCCTGTCTTTCTTCCTCGCCCACACGACGTCTGGTGCACTGAACGGTTCTTCTCTCCTGCGTCAACGGATACTGCGCTCATGCGCTCTGCGGACTGGTCAGCGTGTCTCTGGCAACTGCATCTGGACTCAATGAGTGGGATGGGCATCGTCCGCACGCCCTCGTGGCACTCCGCTCGTGCTATACCGGCTGCTTTGGGCTCGGATGCGTCGAGTCTTGATGTATGTCTCTCGACCATTTCGGCTGTCGAGCATCGCTGATGAATTGCACAGGGAATCATTCACCGTCGATTATCCACACGATTCCGAAGCGAGACGTGTGTCCTTGCCATCAAGCGGCAGGAAGTGCTCGACGCAGCGGGTGCAGGTGCGGACGCACAAGGTATCCGTTGGTTGCAGGCCGCCTGCAAGCCGTACCTCGCGGGGAGCCTGGATAGTAGTAGCTCGAAGAGTCTGCCTTTACCCAAGGGCGCTTAGACGGTGTTTTGGGGACTTTGTGCGATATGGACGCTTCGTGTTTGGCGAATTCATCTGGGACTGCGTTTTGTATTCGGACTCGGGACTGCTATTGGACAGTTGACAGGATTGAATTGACAGTATCACTTTGTATGTCGCCTTCTCATGTTGTGCTCGTGTATATCAGCCCCATCGGCGACGTTATAGATCCATTGTGAAATCACGGGTTATACATCTCAATTACAATTGTACATCACAGGACTTTCCATCCCTTCCAAGCAAGGCATCCTTACAACCGATCCGAAACCTGAGTGTATTCCCTCTACGAGCGTTTCCCATACACGCGCTTAGCATTGTTCCCAAAGATAGCATCGACCGTCTCTTGGTCGACACCGAGCTCAGCGAAAGACTCGCGCGCGATCTCATACCAATCGCCCGCACTGGAGGTGGCGCGAGAAGTCGGCGAGGGAGCCGAACCGAATATGATACGCTCAAAGCCGAAGGCTTCGACGGCAGGGCCGACTGTATGGTTGCCACAGCAGTCAGATCGAACGAACACAGATAGATGTGCACATAATGATCGACGTACGGTACATCTTGATTCTACGCTTCCACTCCTTCTTCTGCTTGTCCTCGGGGGATTCGGGTGAGAGCGCCTGCCCCGGGGCGGGTGTGTGAGGCGTGGGTGCGTTCCAGTCGGGCGGCAAGAACTTGGCGTAGGTGTTCGGGATTAAGGACAGCGCTGCCACATGAGACTGGTAGGACTGGTATGAAGGGTGCGTGAGGAGTTTCACGATTGGCAGCTCGAGGTCATGTGGAGGAGGAAGGATATTCTCTGTATAAGGACATTAGACGCTGTCATCCCAACGTGGTAAAGTGCATACCGAGAACGATGGCGCCTTCACCGATAGTAGCGGCTTCGGTAGCCTTTGTGAGCAGATCCTCGAGTCCTTCCCAAAGATCATCAAGAGCACCTCCGTCACCGCTCTCAATATGGATGTCAACCACATTTCCGGCCTTGACGGCGGCCTGTAGCGACTGGACGGCAGCATCCGATGGAGCGGTATACGCCGTGGACAGCGTGATCTGCACGTCCGCCGATGGCAATTCGGGCAATGCGCCATCCTCAAGTTTGAAGGGAATCTGGATTGCCAGAACGTCTACGCCTGCCTCTTTGGCCTGAGCTAGAGCGCTATTCAACAACGCACATCCGATCAACCACAGTCCGATCAATATGAATATAGTAATTGGACATACCCATCAACACCACCTTCGGGTGCGACCACGACGACTTCCTTTACTCGGCCCTCGATCGCGCCAGTGCACTCCTTCTTCCACGTCGGAATCGCGCGTACACTGGCGTCTACCACGCGATCTGGGTGGACGGTCGATGGGCTCGGAGGCAAGGGAAAGTTCTCGGATACACCCGAGTTGGGAGGACTGAATGCCGATAGAGGCAGCGTCGGCAGGTTCTTGGGACCCTTTTTGCGAAGGGGAGGAGGAGGGCCGCTCATTGTGGATGGTGGAGGGAGGAGAGAGGCTTGTGCGATGACGACCTGTACGGAGAGATTGATGTGGACATCGTCTGTTGATCGCTTCGCGCACGCGTGCCTCGCGCCCAAGGGCATCTTTCCACTCTGAGCGTCTCTATCACCGCTGTCACCATCTGCTTCGCCAGAGCACCGCAGACTGACAGAGCACCGCAGACTGATCTGCCCAGTTATAACCTGCAGCCAAGTGTACGAGAGGCCGACAACTATGTACATGTACATGTAGTGCAACGTGAAAGAGCCGAAGAACAATAACGAGGCTACAACGCGCGTACAACCAGTACAACATGATACAAGCGCCACTTTTCAGCCCATACATTCCCACTGGTTACATTCATTTATACAGGCTCGTTGATGGCCACGCCAGGCGCGACAGGCGTGCCCAGCACAGGCTCGCCGTTCGAATCGAAGCTGATCTGCTGTACGAACGTCCTGCGCGTCCCATCACATGCGACAGTCGACGTAGGAGATGCGTGGTATACGTTCCAGAACTGGTTTCCGCTCGGGCTCTGCATGTTATGTCAGCGCTTTGAGCTCATGGAGAACGGCCATGCGACGACGTACAAGGAAGAAGTAGTTGTGTCCAGGGCCGTAGTCGCCGTTCGCGGCTTCGAAGACGGGGTCAGGGTACTTCGTCCAGGATGAGGCGCTGAGCGGGTCGCTGCCTGTGAGCTCAAGACGACCGAGCTTGTAGTTGTTCCAGCAATAGCTCGCCGAGTAGAAGATCCAGGTACGGCCGCCGTAGTATAACGCGGCTACGGCAACGTCAGCTGCAATGCTCAGATCACACCGTGAACGAGAACGTACCAGGCCCCTCATTGACAGCAGCACCCTCAGTCTCCCAGCTCAACGTCGGCTCAGAGATGAGGTACGCATCTCCGACCGTCGTCGGACTCGTCATCTCGGCAATCCAGAGGCTCTGCAGGCTTCCCTGGAAAGAGGAGAACACGAGGTAGTTGCCGCTAGAGAGAACGAGGATAGTGGCGTCGATCGACCAGACTTCGTGGTTCGGGATGTCAATAGTGTCTGTAATCAAGCGTGAGTCAGGGTGAAAGGAAGCGCAAGTGGCGACCGAACGTACCGATCCAGGTGAACGTGCCCCATGGGTTGTCGGTTGGGCCTTCGAGTACATTGATAAACTGGTTGTTCGTGTCCGCCGAGTCGCCTGCCGTGAAGTAGACGTACCACCGGCCACTAATGTAGTGGAGCTCCGGTGCCCCTAGTACAACATAAATGCCATGTTCCAATGTCGTGTGCTGGGAGTGTGCACATACAAACGTTGCAGCAGCGCGTCGAGACCGTGGATGAGTACACAGTGCTGGTCTCGCCTGTCTTCAAGCCTTCGATAGTCGTCGCACGGGTGATTTGCACGTTCGTCCACTCAGTCGTGGTGAGCTAGGAGACGTCAGTGTCCGTGGGCCACAAATGCATGGTGGAAATCGTGCTCACGTAGTAGTACCCGTCTTGATAGACCATGAAGGGGTCCGACCCATTCTCATCACGAATGGGATTCGTGAACGTCGCGCCAAACACCTGCGCCACAGCGAACGTAGCGCCGACGAGGACAGAAGACCAGCGCATACTGCAAAGATGACCTGGGCCTCGGCATTGCTTGGACGCCCCTGCTCGCTTTTTGTAGCAATAGGACGAGGCGGGCCGCTATTACCGTCTTTTTTATCCGAGCTGCGTTGTCTGCCGGATAGAAGCCAGGTAGAGAACGTCTCCAGGGGCGATGCGACGACCGCGTCTGCCTAAAGTGGTCATCTGGCTCCTTCTCGGCTGAGGATGCGGTCCGCGAGGATGATGTTGACGCAATTCCCGTTCATTTCTTGTTGATCCTCGAGTGAAGGCGAGCGCGAGATATTTCCGCCGATAAGCAGGTGCTGCCAGTTCGTATGGGCGTCCTCAGTGGAAGAAGTAACAGAAGCTTGAGCGCAGCTTGAGACTGCTTTGCGAAGGGAGGATCAGCGCGGCGTGATGCATCTGACGTCGGCTTGTATAGACTGTGCGGTCGGCGCTGCGATGGCGAAGAAAACAGATATTTCAGATGGTGAAGTGGATGATATGACAGTGTATGTGTGTTAGCTTGCATACCCGAGGTGAAGACGGGCCCTCTCATCTCCAGTATCTCACTTGCGTCGCACAGCACCTGGAATAAAAACCCCTTGAACAGGCAGCCTGAGCCTAGCGGCCCGGGCTCGCGGGTATGTACCTCGACGAAGTTCTTAGCTCGAGCTCATATGGCAAGGTCAAGGTCACGAAAACGCGCTCAAACAGTTTTGAGTATGCCAATCCACCCGACGTAGGTCTTAGTGAAAGACATGGCACTTGTGCTGGACATGGCGGTCGTGTGCAGACTCCATTTCGGCGCTTTTCGGGGTGTCCGGACCGCGGCGGCCAATGCAGCCGAAGCCGCTCGCCCTCCCTTCCCGACGACCACCACGATGTACACTTGGGATGCTTATCGCCTGCATATGCTCCCGCCGCGTCCAGGTCAACGCATTATACAGCGTGCTACTGAGCACACCATGGCTGAGCGCTGAGCTGCGACGAGCCCCATGTGGTAATCTCTCCCATTGTTTGGGCGCTCTATTGCTGTGTGCAAAATTCGATTTGTCGTCTTCTCGACCGTATGCTTCTTGAGCTGTCGGGTCTAGGACGCCCTTTGCACCGCCGCGGCTGACCCTACTGCCTTCCATACACCAGTAACTGTCATTGCGGCAGCATGGGCCAACTAACTTTCGTGGGTGCTAAACGGTCGGCTCAAGATGATCATGCGGGGAAGCACACCTTCGGATAGCGCAAAGCACGCGCTCTCTGATGCATAGATCCCCATTCTTTAGAGATAGAAGCTTCCTCAGCACCGGGATTATGGGATGCAGTGTGGTCCGCCCATAATCTCCTCGCACGTCTGCTCCCGACTAGGTGAACTATTGCCGTTTGGGCGCTCACGATCTCACAGGACATCACAATGCCAGTGCGGGACAGAGCAACTGCCGCGTCATCATAGATGGCGGTTGGGCTGATTCTTCTGAATGAAGCGCCCGTCGCGGCCCATGCGGACACCTACTTAAGAGCTGCATAGTCAGTACAAGGATACCTCGACGGTAGCTCCCTCACTGGCAGTCATGGTCTCCGCACGCTTCTCTCGTCTGCTCGTCGCTGTCTGCCTGGCCGCCTCAGCCTTCGGCGCGGTTGTCCCGGGCTTCAAGCTACAGGAGGCTCGCTCCTCCGCGCCTGCCGCGTTCACTCGCGTAGGCGCTGCCCCGTCTGAGCAGGTTCTGACCATGCGTATCAACCTGGCCATGAACGACCGTGATGGTCTTGAGGCGAAGCTTATGGAGGCTGCTACACCCGGCAGCGCCTCGTTCCGTCAGTGGCTCTCCAAAGACGAGGTGCGTCATGAATCACTTGTATGGTGAAATGTACGCTGACATATCGCACAGGTTGAATCCTTCGCGAAACCTTCAGCGGCAACTACCAAGGCCGTCACGGACTGGCTGAGCTCTCACTCGATTGAGGCCACTTCTATGACGCCGGCTGGCGACTGGCTCAAGATTGAGATCCCTGTCAGCAAGGCCAACGAGCTCTTCAACACCGAGTTCTCGACCTTCCGTCATATCGACAGCGGTAAGGAGTCGGTTCGCACCCTCGAGTACTCGGTACCCTCCGATCTCGAAGGCCTGATCGAGGCTGTGCACCCTACTACCTCGTATGTCTAATCACATTGAACGAGGTGTCGCGGAGGTACTCACTAAGATATAGATTTTCCGGTCCCCTCCGAGGCGGGCCGGTAGTCAAGGTCAACACGCCTCAACTTGCAGAGCGCGCTACAGCACCCGCCAGCTGCAACACTGCGATTACGCCCACATGTCTCCAGGATCTCTATAGCATGCCCACGGCTGCCATCACTGGTTCGAAGGCTACACTTGCTGTATCCGCATTCGACGAGCAGAACGCCAACAATGCTGACATGAAGACCTTCCTCACCAAATTCCGCCCTGACCTCAGCTCGTCTTTGACGTTCACGACCACTCTCATTGACGGAGCAACCAACTCGCAGACCGGCAGTGCTGCAGGTGTTGAGGCTGTAAGTCCATTGCTTTCCGTATGCAAGCTATCGGTCCTCACGCGCCTCGTAGAACTTGGACATCCAGTACACACTGGGGATGGCTAACGGCATCCCCACCGCGTTCGTCGACGTTGGTGAGAACACTAAGGATGGCGATGGTTAGTCTATCATTGTGTGCATGCCCGGGTCGGTACTGATCACTATCACCAGACGAGGGCTTCTTGGACATCATCACTGCCTTACTGGCTGAGAGCAACCCTCCTCAAGTCATCAGTACCTCCTACGGGTTTGACACCGAGGCAGACCTGTCGTTCAGCTTGACAAAGTGAGTATTGGGAACCGCTATGGCCGGTACGGATTCACTGATCACTGCTCCAGCTCTCTGTGCAACCAGTACATGGCTCTCACCGCGCGTGGTGTTTCCATCACGTTTGCCTCTGGCGACGGAGGTGTTGCTTCTACTCCAGGTGAGCTTAGTACCTTAATCGTGTGGGAACACGCAGGTACTGATGAAGTAATCAGGCGTCTCTTGCAACGGAAAGCCTTTCCCTCCCACCTTCCCGACTTGCCCCTTGTGAGTCGTGCATGTATCATGTTGAATATCCACTGACATAGTATCAGCGTAACTCTCGTGGGCGCCACTCAGAACGTAAGAGATCCCGTTCGTCTCTACCGATTTCAGTACTGACGTTCGTTGGCAGGTTAACCCCGAAAAGGGTGCCGCTCTCTCGGCCGGTGGCTTCTCGAACTACTTCGCGCAGACGTCGTGGCGTGAGTCCGGTCTCGTTCTTAAGGTGGCACCTATCTGACGAATGGTTCCAGAGAGCAGCGCTGTTGAGGGATACCTGACTAAGCTTGGGTCTACGAACGCCGGCAAGTTCAACGTCAGCGGCCGTGCTTACCCCGACGTCTCGGCCATTGGCGAGGACGTTCAGGTTGTCGTCAACGGGCGCACTGAGAGCGTTGGGGGAACCTCGTGCTCCTCCCCCATCTTTGCATCGGTCATCGCCCTCATCAACGACCAGCTCTTGCGCGCCGGCAAGCCCGTCCTTGGTTTCCTCAACCCCTTCCTGTATGCGAACCCGGGCGCTTTCAACGATATCACCACCGGTAATAACCCGGGATGTGGAACCCAGGGCTTCCCCGCCTTGGCTGGATGGGGTCAGTCTCCTCTTTCAATTCTAATGCGCTCACAGCATTGACTTACGACATCACAGATCCCGTGACCGGCTTGGGCTCACCGAACTACGCTGCCTTACTTGAGGCGGCTCTGGCAGCATAATGACATTTTCCGAGACTGTAACATCACCACATTGGGACTAAAATGTATCACGCTGTACACTTTCACCGGGATCACGCAATACATTCGCTTGTAAAAATCTCTTGGACCAATTTCAGTGGGCTCGAAACCAGGCAGCCATTGCATGAGAGGGAGGGAGAACTCCTATTTCAGGGCGCTCCTCCCACCAGACCCATGCGAGAGCAGGATAGTTTCGAGACGACAATTTCAGAAGATCTCACGAGACCGCGTTGCGGCGTTAAGATTTGTACGTCAGCCGGCACATCGCGGCCCGTCGTGCCAAGTCGCCGCCGGCTTCGCTTTGGGTTGTCTCTTCCTACCAACAACGATGTCGCGTCGAGGCGGTCTTCGTTCTCCTACTCGTGTCTTCTTACTTCTGACCGAGATGCTCTGTGTCGTACAACGTTCATGGACTTGATCAGATCATGCCGCGAGGCATGCGAGAAGTTGCAAACGAGCGCTCGCGCTCAGTCATTTGACCGGCGGGCGTGGAACCGACCAATGACCATGGCAAGAAGCGCGCCCCCGGCTATCAGCTCAGCAGCACTTGAGGCAGTCTGTAGGACTGTATTGCTGCTGGAAACAGCGCGAGACACCTCACCGAACTCAGAGAACTGTCACTGTGGGCAATGGCGGGTATGCTGCGATGATGCACTGATTGAATCAACCATATAGCGCTTGTGAGAGCTCGCTTAGGTGTGACCGTACCCCCTTTCCGAACGCGTAGACGCTCGTTATAAAGCGGCGAACTTAGAATTCTCGCTCGTCCGAAGTCTCTGCTTCCCTCCATCCCCTACGCCCCTCCAAGTCGGTGCTCGTACTTGTGCACTCGTTCTTCACAGGATGCCGTCGTTCGCTCAGACTCCAAGTACTCTACAGCCTGCCGAGGTTGCTGTGGCACTCGTAGACGCTGCTGTAGTTAAGCATCGGACACGCCTTGATAAGGTCTTCTTCAAAGCTGTATGTCTCTTGATCTTTCGAGAAGTTCTGCAGCATGCTCACGAGTGATACCAACCTAGTTTCTTGCCGGCGTCATGCTGTCGTTCGGCGGACTGCTCTCAGAGCTGATTCAAGGCGGGTCTGCAGGCATCGCCGCCTCCAATCCTGGGCTTGTGAAAGTAATGGGCGGCTTCGTGTTCCCCGTGGGACTCGTCATGTAAGATGTGTCGTCCTATGTTTCTGGGTACGCTGACAGCGCGGGCAGGATCGTCCTACAAGGTCAAGAGCTTCTCACGAGCAATATGATGGTCAGCGCGCATCCAAGCCTTTCGGGGAAACAGCCAGGAATAACGCAGAATGCGACATCTAGACATTCCCCATGGCGCTTCTTACTCGTGCTATCCCGTGGTGGAGTCTTCCCCTGAACTGGCTTGTTGGTGAGCTCGCAGCTCATTCGAATGGAGTGGCCGTAGACCTGACTGCCTCATATAGTCACGTTTGGGAATCTTACGGGAAGTCTCTTCTTTGGGGCCATCCTGGTCAAGTGTGCGTCTACCACCTACTGCGCGTGCCTAGAAATAGCCCTGAACCCAATTTGCGAACAGATAGCGGCATCCTGTCCACTGCGCCCTACGACTCGTTCGTGCAGACGTTTGCCCTGTATGTGTCACTCGACATCCTTCATACCCGAACTATGTGCTGAAACATGATGTGGCAACAGTCACAAGGCGAAGGATCCCGAGTGGCACCAGATCTTCTTGCGTGGAATAGGATGCAACTGGCTGGTCAGCATTGCGATTTGGGTGCGTCCGTTCTCTATCGCATGCAACTTTACTTGAGCTTACATCCATATAGCAAGCCGCAGGAGCCCGTGACACGATCTCAAAGGTACCTTCAGAACTCCTCAGTTCAGCCGGTTCCTAGCCTCACACTTTCGCAGATCTACGCGATATGGATCCCTATCTGGGTGAGCACCTGAGATTATGTACATGAATGAAAGTCGAAGTTCATACTGCTCGGCAGATCTTCGTCTCGTGCGGCTTCGACCACGGTACGTCGGACCGATGATCACAGAAAACGATAGTCTAATGTATTCTCCCAGTTGTCGCCAATATGTTCTCTGTACCTTTGGGTATTATGTTCCACGCTGATGTGAGTGCCACACGACATGCTCTCACCGGTGCCAGTAGCTGACCCTCCTTTCAGCTGACGACTGCTGAGTACATTCGCAAGTGAGCCGTCAAAGAGTCCCAGTATATCCGGGCTGTGTGCTCACTCTCAATTCATCATAGATCTCTCATTGCGGCATACATTGGGAACATCGGTACGTTCACCCACGTCGCGTCCAGTCAAGTTGAGCAAGATCTGACCCGATCATAGTTGGAGCTTCATTTGTGGCTCTACCTGCGTGGTACTTCTACTTGTGGGCTGCCGAATCGGGAGTACGCACAATGAATCAGGCGGAGACGGGCGAGGTGTACCCGGAGTCGCGTACACCTGACTCGATCCGGGAGGACGAGCAGATGAAGCGGCAGTGAGGAATCATCTTTTACGAGCCTCTGCTGCGTGTATATGGCGTAGACCATGACTAGTCCTGTTATTATAAAGTAGTACAAGAACTCGTTCATGTTATACACAGGGCGCAAGGGGTCTCACGAGAGGTTTGCGTAGGCAGACCGCCTTTTCATAACCAGGTATATCTCCTACATACAACACGGATATCACACAGAAAGATATACATAATGATCGACCCCATCTACTCAAGCAGCCGCCACCCAACGCGCAATCTCCCTGAGTGTTTCCGTCCTTTCCGGCTCCCACTTCGGGAACACCAAGAAGTCATGAATGGCGTCCGCCGCCTCGTAGTACTCACACCTCTCTCCCAACGCCTCTTTCATCCTCTTCGCCAATTCCTTGATGCTGAACAACAGCGCCTCGGCACCACCAGCGACGATGAGTGTACGCGGGAAGTGTTCGAACACCGGGATCTCCGCGGAAGGCTCGACGCTAGCGGGTGAGATGTACGCAATACCGGCGCCGTTTACACCGAGAGGCCCCAGGAATGCGCGCGTAGCGTAGCTGCTCATTCGGGCACCGGGCTTGCCGAGGTAATCGCTATCGCAGAGGCCCGCGGCGTCCGCGGCTTGCATATGGCTTCCGGTAAGGTCTGCCCAAGGAGAAAGCAGTATTAAATTGCCAGGTGGAGGTGGAAGGCCAGGTGTGCCAGCGTTATCGACGAGGTAGCGCGTCAGCGCGTGTGCGAGGTTCGCGCCAGCGCTGTCACCGACTAGGACGATCTGCGATGGAGCGCAGCCGACGACATTGATGAGGTAGAGGTAGCCGGCGAGAGCATCGAGGAGTGCAGCAGGGAATGCATGAGCAGGAGGGTCGGGTGCTGCACGCGAGAGGCGGTATTCAAGCGCGAAGCAACGGGTGATGGAAGGGGTATGCTTGAGGATACCGCGGCCAATGTTCGCGATGACGTCCTTCGGAGACGCCGAAAGGGCAACATACGCGCCGCCGTGAAGAGTGTACAGAACGCGCTCGCTCTCGGCTAGAGGCGCTCCAATGGGCGTAGACTCGAGTCCCTTTTTATTCATCCAGTATCCGGGTATACGCGCGGTCTCAACATCCGCGGCTTTCATCCAGCCGCGTATTTTCTCGTTGAGGAGAGAGTCGGGAGACGGGTCGACCCAAGCGAGCTTGATGTCGGGTCCAACTGACGGTGTGAGATGGTTGGCTATGAACTTGATAGGGCCCGTCCTAAGTGACTGCTTAGTGGGTATTGTTGCGGCAAATGAGTAGACAACGCACCTAGCATTGATGCCCTGCAAGTGCCTCACTAAGCGTAGAAAGACGGCTTTGCGCAATGTCCAGGACGCGCGCGGGCGGTCCTTTCGCCGTATGCTGATGACAACCCACCATGGCAAGCGTACAAAGATGGTCGACACTGCCTGGTACAGTAGGTACAGTGACTTAACGGGCTGTGCGCGGAGATCATGGACCGTCATGGCCGTCGTCGTTCAATGTACAACGTCGAGAGCAAGTCGATGATGAGCATAAACGTCCGGGGTACAGAGTGTATATCAACACCCGGTGCAATCACGCTACTCCCCCGCATCGGATTCCCGGATGCAGTTGTCTGGATGTGAACATCAGGATGACTTCCGAAGCGTCGGAGGGGCAGGTCAGGCGACGAGATGGGAAGAGGCGTGGCGGCGCCGTCGTAGCATGGGAGTTGCTCTTTCGAGATGTCAAGAAGGTACATTGAGCGATCGAGGTGATGAGGGCGCCTGCTCGCTATGGGCGTATGACATATCCGCGGGACAGACTGCCGGGTGCCCTTCGACGAAGAGAGAGCATAATGACACGGACATAAGCAAGGAAGGAGGTCCGAGGCCCGGACACGATGGTAAGAGGCAAGCAGGTTTTGGGCGGTCAGCGCCCATACTACACGCAATCTGGTTGTGGCACCGGTACCGGAGCAGATGTGAGACACGTTGCATTATACTAGGCGGAAGTATAATCTATAGCACATACACAAGGAGACCATCTACCGTCTAAACTCGTACTACATCGTCCGAAACGCGCGATCATAACTCGCTAGAGAGTAGACTAGAGCATGACATGCAACCCTTTGGGTCATGACTCAACTTCAATACTTTCGCCAATGCCTTCTCCGCGTAGGTAGGAGTATACAGTGCGCACGGCCGTGATACAGCTGCTGCTCTGAACTTCGTGCGTCCCACCGCCACTGAAAAGGCGTAGGTCAGCTCAACATATCGAAGGTTGGATAGGGGGGGAGCGCGTACACGTGTGGTTGGATAACGATGTTTTCCAGCTCGTACAACTCTGAGTAGCGCTCGGGCGTGGCTGGTTCATGGCATAATACGTCTAGACCTGCACCATATATGATCCCATTTTTGAGAGCATCGAGCAGGGCAACCTCGTCGATCTAGGAGACGGCGTCTGAACATCTATCGTAGAGGTGTAGATCAGAGTACATACCAGAGCTCCTCGTGCCGAGTTGATCAAGACTGCCGTGTCCTTCATGAGCCCGAGTTCACGCTTGCCAATCATACCCCGCGTCGCATCAGTGGTGGGGCAGTGCAGAGAGACGATGTCGCTCTTCTGTAGGAGCTCATCGAGGGAGCTGACACGCGTGTGCGGGATGGGAGGTTCGCCAGATGGGTCCTGGTCGGTCCACTTCAAAGGCGACGAAGTGGGCGAGTAAACAAATATGGGTGTATTCCAGCCTCTCTGCCAGATGCATGAGCACCCCAAAGTTATAAGATAGGATGATGGTACACGTACACTCATCTTCCACGCGTACTCCCGCGCAATATTGCCCATTCCAACGAGACCTACGACCTTCTCGTCCGCACTGATACCTAGCCAGTCTATACTGGGCAGGAACTCTCCACGGCGCATGCGCCTGTCGAGCTCGGCCACGCGTCGGAGTACAGCCAGTGTGAGCGCCACACATAGCTCGCCGACGGCTTTCTGATTGACGCCGGGTAGGCGGGTGACTACGATGCCGCGCTCCAAGCAAGTCTTGACTGGTATGGTCTCGTATCCTACGCCTGGGTACAAAATCAGGAAAGAACGCTAATGCAGTCAGACCGAAATGACATACCATTGCGAGAAATAATCTTCAACTTATGCGCCCTTTCCACCTCCTCGACGCCGATGCCTCCCGTTCGTACCACAGACCCGTCCGCATACTCCCACCAGTTCGCCGCGCGCTCGTCTCCGGGTTGAATGACGTCGAAGAGTTCCACAGCAAGCTTGTGCGCATCGGGATGGATGCGCGTGGGCATCCAAACCACAGGTTTCGACGAAACTGCCATATCCCGAGTCTATACGCGTATAGCTAGCGCTCGTAATTAGATGACGGTAGAAAGCAAGCCAAGTATAGGCCGAAGATGACTCGGGGGGAGATGTCGAGATATCGGGACGCCATAGCGGAAGGTTCGTTCGTATGTCCGCGCGGAAGGGCCGATGGTGTCCGAAGACAACCTTGGATCAACGCGGGAGATAAGATGCAAACGGCGTCATCTTGCGTGGCGATTAGTCGTATGTACGATATTGACAAGATCTATTACTATGTGACATGTAAGATATCGTATGGTACTGTGTACTGGCGGCTGGAATGACACTGGATTGATGGGAGTAGACGGTGATACCGACAAACGAAGTACTGAGATCGAGACTGCTCTCACTAAACCTAGCCCAACATACTCGCCTCCATATCCGCCTCGTCCTCTTCGATCTCAATCACATCCTCCGGCTGTTCCTGTGGTTCGTCATCATTCACATATGTCGAATACGCCGATTCAGCCTCTGGTCCATCAATCACCAGCTCCAAAATAGCCTCGGCGACCTCTATAATCCGCACATCAGCACGTATTGTCCCGAGGACCAAGGGAACAATAATACGTACCTCCAATGTCGTTTAACTTTCTGTGACTCGGGCCCTGTATTTCCTCCGGTACCTCTGCATAGCTCAAGCGCGAGAGCGTAACAGCGAACATATGTCCTACACCGGTGTATTGTGTTGTGGACACCATCTGACGGTACGCCGCAAGCTTGGCTTTGAGGTTAGAGTTGAGGCGCATGGCGAGCTTGTGCAGGAGCAATGTGATGACAATGATCGTATTCACCGTCCTGCAGGAGAGCACATGTCAGCACGACATACACAGCGCGTTCATGGAACAAGGGGTGAACGTACTTGTCGACCGCTGCAGAATCATCGAGCAACTTGTCGTCCTCTTCCCAGATCGGCGTACATAGCTCATGCAAGTACATGACAAGGGAAGGGAACACCGCACGGCTCTCACACATGATTGTCAGCGATTCTCCTGGCGCCAACGCTAACGCCACGAGAACATTCAAAAGGTTCGGATAGGTCTCGGAACGCTTGGGGTCGCGTAAGATACCACAGATGCGCTGCAGTTGGGGAAGTCTGGAGTAGTCCGGTCGTTCGGGATCGTTGGGATTGTGAGGGAGAGTCAAGACGTTCTGTGGAGCTCCTATGCGACTTGAGCATTAGGATTATCGCGCTGGTTAGGCGAAGATGGTACGTACGTGATGCGAGAGACGCAATGCATCGCAAAGACATGTTGAGGAACCAAGTGGAGTGCTCGTCAGCGAGTAGCGCGATCAAGAGATTCTTGTTCTGCCTCGGAAGTTCGACCAAGCTATGTTATGTCAACTCATGCCGTCAAATATGACAGTAGGGGACATACTGGACGTCACATTCGCGTGGAGCGAGGCAGAGGAGCAAATCCAGCGTCCGAAGTGCCTCCTTTCCCAAGATCTCCCTCTCACCATCATCATTATTGGAAAGAAGGCGCGTGACCGCTCGCGCCAGCTGTAGAAGAAAAGACTGATGTTCCGACCCCTCTTCGTACACGACTAATGCATGGGCAAAGCGCGGTAGAGCCAGAGCGAGGAAGGTGACGAGGTTGCATAGTGCCGCGAGCGGGAGTAGTAGTTCGCCATTGACGAGGATGCGGGCCATGCGGGCGAAGACGTTGGATAAGGAGTCTGCGAAAGCGTCGAAAGGTGTCGCTTCACTGGCAATTCCTAATGTTGCATTGGCCGTACGACACGCTGATGCGTAAGCTCCAGCATCTGCAACGGGCACGCCCGCGCCCAAAACCATCTAGGCCAACTTCATCAGAGAAGCCACTAGCATGAAAGGTACAGAGAGATACCTGAAAAGCATTGAGTCTCGTAGGCTCGAAGATGTGCGTATATAGCATTTGGTGAAGCTGGACGCGAGTCAGAGCACTATCTTCACAACTGATATGAAGATGAGACGCTTACTCTGGACGTCCAATCTGGCGGGGTGATCCTGTCTTCCTTCTCCTCGCCCTTCTCTGACTGATGGCGCCGCACAGGTGTAGGCGGTTCCACCTGCATCTCAATCTCGGCCCTCTTTGGCCGTCTCGGACTGATAGGAGGACTCGGGGCCTGCAATTGTGTCCATTGCGGCTGTGGTTCCCAAGTATCCTGCACCGTCTCACCGGACCCACCCGGTCCGAAGAACGCCGCCTCTTCAGCGTCATCCGCCGGCTGTGGACCCGATCTACTCGACGTAAGATCCGCACGTGCTTTGCCCTTATCCTTCCGAGGTGTTGTAGGAGCTTGCGATGCTGGTAGAAAGGCATTCACGAAGCCAGGAAGTTGAGGTTGCTGGGATGCGGGCGGCGCCTGAGTACGATTGCGGCGAGGGCTGCCGAGAGGAGGATGAACGGGAAACTGCGCGCCTGGCTGAGGCTTTCGCGGTGAGTGCTTTGTAGCAGGACCCGGTAAAGACGAGTTCCATCCCGGCATCTGACTGCTTGCTGGTGGAGGTTGTGGCGCGGGCTTCCCAGGGCGACGAGAGGTAGAGTTGAGCTCGTTCGTCTTGAAAACCAGCTGCGTTCGCATGCGCTCGATCTCTTCGTTGTGTGCACGCATGCTCTCGGCGTGCTGTGCCTCCAGAGAATCGCGCATCGTGCGAAGGGCGTTGAGTTCTGCATGATGTGCCTCTGTAGTCTAGATTGTGAGAAGTGAGTTAACCACAATGATAGCCAGTACAGCTGTCTTGTGCTTGCCTTATCGAGGTTCTGCCGCAAGATCGCAACTTCACCAGCTTTGGCTTGTTTCTCTTTGACAGCCTGATCAAGCTTGGCCTTAGCCTCTCCGTGTTCTCGTTGAAGCTAAACGACGGGTCATAAGACAAGATGCACGTCGACAGATGACATGTTCATGCGCACACCTGCTCGAGCTGCCTCTTGAGATCAGCCACATTCAGATCTTCTTCCACTGGTCGCAAAGCCTGACTAGCTCGAATAGTCTGGATGATACTCTCCCGCCTGCTTTGACTCCTTTGCGTCGGCTGACTGCCCAGAGGTGACGGATGAGATTGACTTCGCGCTAGAGTCCGTCCACCCCGGACAGGAGCAGGGCTAGAACCGCGTCGCTGCTGCTGCTGTTGCGGGCCATTATATGAAGTCTGACGAGTACGAGGATTGTTGAAAGAGTTCTGCACAGTCGGTTGACGTTGGAGTGAAGGTCCCGCGACTGGCTGAGAAGGTTGGAAAACACGGCCACCGGGATTGGCAGCAGAAGAGGGGGTCGAAGTATGCACGGCAGCAAACGAGGGTGCATCGAACATACTGGAGTCGCCTTGTGATAGCTGGGAGTTCGACATCTGCGACTGCGAAGCAGGTGCACCATAGAATCCACCGTCAACACGGATCTCTGGCATGTCAATATCATCCTGAGATGGTTCCCTTGCAATTGACCGTGGCTGGACCGGTGCAGCCCATCCGCTAGCGACTTTCTGCCTCTTCGGAGGTGGTTGGCCAGCATTTGGTGGAGGTCTAGCCAATGAAGGCGGCTGCACTAGAGGTCTCGGCGGTGGCGCACGCTGTATAGGCGGCGGAGGTGGAGGTATTCGAGGTCGCGCAGGGGGTGGTGGTCCTGAAGACGCTCGTTGAGTAGCGGTGTATTGACTTTCCGCCTGGTCGAGTGCCGCTAAAGCTTGGTCATCGAGTACAAAGTCGTCGTTGAAGTAATCGTCGTCCGACATTCTGACGCGGGCGCGGCGCGCCCAGCATGGACGTTTCGCACAAGACGCGTCCGGCGGAAACGCGATCTCGTGACGAGGTGTCACCAGGTGATGGACGTACCTTCTTCTCCCTAACCACAGCCCGCCTAGCTCAATCGGATAGAGCGTCAGACTCTTATCAGGCGGGTTCATCGATCTCACTGTTCGATATCTGAAGGCTGCGAGTTCGACCCTCGCGGTGGGCTATATTTTTACTGATTTTACTTCCGTAAAGTACCGCAGTGTTGCCGGCACAGCAGAGCGAGGACTCTGAGCGACTGCACCGCGTGGGACAGCGCGTCGACTAGAGAGGTTGAAATGACCGAATCCACGTGCTGATGCCCAAATCCACGTGTTGCGTTCCCGCGCCACAGCAGCCAGTACCGTACGGAAAAGTGGTGGTGTGCTGTCGCAGGGACCCATAGGTACTATCTATGGGCCATTTTCCTCGAAGGAGCGGTCTGGCGTACGGGGATGCAGCACGTAAATTTCGGCGCCCACGCGTGAATTCGGCGATTTCAACCTCCCTACTCGCGCCTCGCGCCTTGGCTCCGTCTCTCATGTGCTCACGCTCAGGACGCGGCAACTATGTATACACTCAACGTTCAAGCCGGACGCAGTGCTAGCTCGACGTCAAGTCGTGTATACACCGAGCGCCTATGTGATTAGCCGTTGCACGGTCTCATAGTCCTGCGTGTGGTTTCCCCTCACGACCGGGAGTCTCGCCGCACTTTGACCGCACCTGGTCTGTGTGCCATGCTCAAGAACAGCTCACTAACCGCAGAATCGTTCCAGTACAGACGCCCACGTACTGAGTTGCGTGAACATGGAGCTATAATAGCTGTTCACAAGCGACAGTCGTCCCTCTCGCCGTGCATCATGGATCCCACTTACCCCCTTGTTCCGGTGGCGAATCTGCTGGCCGCTTTCTTGACCTTTCTTACCTTCTTGACTACACCCCTTCGTGATTCATGGAACTTCGGCGTTTGCATGCTTTCAGTGTGGGTCTCTCTGAGCTGTTTCTTCACCGGTATCCAGGCCGTCATCTGGAGGGACAATGCAGATACGACCATTCTGCCAGTGTTTTGTGATATTGGTAAGTACCTGTAGATTGAGCCATCCTCACCCGGAGACTGATGGAGCCCCCACAGCGACGCGCATACAAGTCGGCACTCTGGCTGGCATGCCAGGCTGTACGCTTATCATTACACGATGCCTCCACGACATTGTGCGATGCCGGACCGTCGCTTTTAATGATTCCGATAAGGTGAGCCCTAAATTGATCACTTGACACCCTGTGCTGATCCTACGGAAGCGCCGACGCGAATTAGTGTTCGATTTCTTCCTAGTGATCGGCCTGCCCATTGTTCTCCAGTTCTTCTGTCTGTACCACCTGTCGTCTCGTGTTGATTGCACTCACACATCCGCCAGACTACGTCGTTCAGAATGCACGTTATCAGGTCGTCGAACAGCTAGGGTGCAATATGGCGATATTGCCATCTGGTATGGCAATACTTCTACTGAACAGCTTTCCGCTCGTGCTTTCGCTCATATCCGCGGTCTTTTACATGTGTGAGTCAGACTCCGGCTCGCTTCGCCGTTGTACTCACCCGCTCCAGCGCGCATACTCTACTTCCTCTGGAAACACAAACGCAACATGGGCCATCTCTTTGGGCGGCAGATCGCCATCAAGCGCAGTGTCTACTTGCGCATCTTCGCTCTCGGGATGATCAACTTCCTCACATCCATAACCGCCTCCATCGTGAACTTCTTCCCGTTTCCCATGCCGGTATTCTACCCCGGCTGGGCCGCCGTCCACGCGGACTGGACGCCAGTCTCGATCTCAGCAGCGGAGTGGCATTCTCAAGGTCCGCTCATAGTCTTCACGAATGTGTGGGACGTCTGGATCAACGCGTGGCTTGGATTTGCCATCTTCGGCCTGTTCGGGCTCACGCGGGAAGCGCGGCAGACGTACGTGCGCGCGTTTCGCATCGCCACCCGCTGGACGGGACGGCCACGTACGCGTGGCTCTGAGTTGACGATCCTGAGACTTCCCTCCACGCACCCCAATAGGTCGATGGAGCAGGCCGATCTTAAGTATGTCCATGGAATCTTGCTTATTATACGTGCTCTTGGGTGCTCACAAACACTCAGGCGTCAGGCATCGACGGCCAGTACACTAGTGACCCCAGCATCAGCCCCGGGCCGTTTACAAGCATTCACCATCGAGATCTCAGTCACCGTCGAGCGGCACATGGACTTGGACGAAGAAAGCGCAGCGAGTACTCTACACGGGCCAGACTCGTATAAGATGGAAGGCGATGACCAGGAAGGCATCGCGATGGCATGACCACTCCCGCTTCACGCTCCTTACGCCCTAACGCAAGAGATCTACTTTAATCGAAGATTACTACGAATCATGTGCGCTCGTTGCGTGCACAGCAATACTACGCTGCACATATTCAGTACACACCTATTTGACCATTCTGCGTGTCAGCACTGTTGTCACCCGTCGCGTCTATCTGTGGGCGCATCGGACTTTTGTCCTTGTGGTATCAAGCGAGTCTTGAACGCGCCGAGATGCCGCGCCAGCCTGAGTCCGTGTACGGATATCGTCAACGTGATCGAGGTTCGACTTTGTAGACCATCAGAGGCGAGAGCGGCTGAGGATGGCAAATGAGAAAACTGGTATTGTATGCCCAGGGCTAGGAATAAATTTTGAGCAAAAGTCAATATCGACCTGAATCTTGAGCTGAGCTCTGGAAGACCGGAGCCGGACCGCAGACCGGTCGCTCCCAAACTGCCTGCGCAGCTTCGAGCCTTGAACCGGCCCATCACCACCGCCACTAGTGCATCTTCGTACAATGGTGGATGATCGAGCATTCCTTGCGCTTGCTATCTTATGAAGGGCTCCCAGCTTTGCCATTGCGAGTTCCGTTGCTCAGATCCCAAAGTGACTGCCAGCACCAGTCGCGTTCACATCTGTAGCCGACCCCCTCTGCTCACCAATCGCCGAGTCTGACTCGCGCATGCATTCTCGAAGCCAAACCAAGACTCGCATGTGTGTACAACAATAACCCACCTGATGATATCGCTGACTTGAACGCTCAATGCGCTCTCAGGTTAGGCTCTACGGCTATACACTACAGCACGAATACACTAAACTCACGCTTGCGGATCTTCGATTGATACGTTGCATCACTCCGTCGAGTATCATGTCAGCGGAGAGAGCTGCCCGCCTTGTCCGAGTCGAGGACAAGCTACCATTCATGGACGACATCATCACGTCTCGCAGCGCCACCATGCTCTCTGTTCGCAACGTCCAATGCTTCTCCCGCCTTTGATTTCTCTCATCGATCAGCTTCACGTTGAATATAAGACATACGGCGTCATACGAGACAGGTAGTTCGCTGGCATGGATCCGACATATCCTCTCGTGCCTACTGCGAACTTCGTGGCTGCCTTTCTGACGATGCTCACCTTCCTGACAGCCCAACTTCGAGAGTCATGGAATGTCGGCGTCTGTATGTTGTCAGCCTGGGTCTTTGTATGCACTCTATCTACGGGTGTCCAGACTGTCGTGTGGAGAGATAACGCCGATACAAGTATTGCGCCAGCATTCTGCGACATCGGTGCGTACCCCTATGCCTAGGGATGCTCATCGTGAACTCATGAGATACACACAGCGACTCGTATACAGGTTGGCACATTAGCCGCGATGCCAGCCTGCACGCTCGTCATCACCCGCTCTCTTCACCGGATCGTGAGCTATCAGACAGTCGTGTTCAACGATCCGCACGAGGTTAGTGTTTCCAGACTTCCTGTAGGCAAACATAGATGTTGACCGATGCCCATCAATCAGCGCCGGCGCGAGTTGATTCTCGATCTCATTCTCGGGTTGGGTCTGCCTATCATACTCAACATTCTCTGTGAGTTCGGGAATCATCCCGACCACCTCCGTCTCTGAATACGCAACGTGTAGACTATGTGGTCCAGGATGCGCGCTATCTTGTCGTTGAGCAAGTCGGATGTGCACCAGCTTTACAGAACACAGGCATGGCTATCCTATTGCTAAATAGCACCCCTATCATCTTATCACTTATCTCCGCTGTCTTCTACATGTGTACGTCACTCTGTCTTTGCTTCATCTGCACTCATCCCTCATGGTTATCCAGCACGTATAATCTTCTTTCTCTGGCGACACAAACGCAACATGAACCAGCTTTTTGGAAGACAGATCACGATCACGCGCTGCGTCTACCTACGCGTCGTTTGTTTTGGCGTAATCAACCTTCTCGTATGCCTTACTGTCGCCATCTCAAACTTCTTTCCGATCCCGACGCCAGAGTTCTATCCCGGATGGTCCGCTACGCATGCAAACTGGACGGCACAGTCGATATCAACAGCAGAGTGGCATTCCCAAGGAAGTTTGACCCGGTGGAGCAACGTATGGAACGTATGGATCAATGTCTGGCTTGCGCTGGCGATCTTCGGGCTCTTCGGTTTGTCCGGAGACGCCAGGAATGCCTACGTGCGCGCATTCAGCGCTGTCGTTCCGTGGGTTGGGGCACGTAGTCTAAATCCAACCCGTCGGATCGGTTTCCAGCCGGGCATCCTTGTCCTTCCTCCTGTCGGTGAGAATCAATGCGGGACGATCGTACCTGCCGACCTCAAGTGCGTAGATCTCTCCCCACGTATCATCTGCACGCGTCTGTCGATAACAAGCACTGACACAGTCATAGACATATGCCATCGCTCGATGCCACCTTGGGCTTTGCGTCCTCGAGTACCACGCGAGGTCACTCTACCGACGCGGTCACCATCGAGATTGCAGTCACAGTCGAATGTACGTCGGACGACATTCCCGCGAGCGCCGGAGGATCGAACGATGGTGACTCCGACAGTTGCCGAAAAGATATATCCCCAGTATGAACGGAGGGTGCCCCCTATCTCTCCATCCCGATCTTGCTTTGACAGCAATGCCGACCAAAATTATAATGCCTGACCTGTAATCAACCATCCTTGCTTTGTGCACGTAAGGCCGTACACTATCCTAGCCGATCCCCCCGTAGTCAGTATATGTACCCTGCCTTCATCTTTGAGGGCCAAGAAACCAAGCTTTACTTTATTTCTGGCGTATTCATCACGCATATCCATGGCACAGATGGTCGAGATGGTTTTCGGAATATCACCCTGACCAAGCCCGAACACCGTGGAAAGTCTGCGGCTTTTGCCGAATCAGATAATCTGGGACCCACATACTCCCACCGCCCGCGGAACCTCGGAGCGGGCCCGGCTCCGAATCCAACACCGATTTTGTCTTCTCTGACTTCCACCTGGTCTTTTCTCTTTCGACTCTTTCTTCTCTTTTCTCCAACGACGTTGTGGTGTCTGGACACATGATCTGTACGAAGTAGAACCGGTAAACAATGGAAACGAACGCGAAAGCGGATGAGGAGCGTGCGCGTCTGCAGCGGCGGACGGCTCTTAAGCAACTGAACACTGCGAATGCAAATGGCGGTACGCGGCTATCCAAAGTATACTATACATATACTGAAATATAATGATTGTAGCTGGAAAGTCACTGGATAGTTCGTTGAAACGCCACACTGCTCTGATCAAACGGATGCGGCAGTCGATTGGCGCGGACAACCGGGATACGATCCTGAAGGACGTCGAGCAGCTCGCGCTCGAGAAATATATTGAGGAAATAGCTGGAGCTATACCGGAGGGAATTGCGCGGTGCAAGACGGACAAGGACGCGTGGGCGGCGACCGAAGTGATCTCGGCACTTCACCGCCGATTCCCCGCCACATTCACGCCCGCCATCATTTCCTCCCTCGGTGCCGCCCTTGCGCCGACGCCCAAGGCGGCATTGGCGGCCATGTCGCCCGAGCAGCGAGAGAAGGAGGAACAGGCGCGCGTCACGAGACAGAGACCTGTGCTCCGCGTCTGTTCTGAACTCGCGCTCGTCGGTATTATCCGTGATGCACCCGGACGGGCCGGTGGCGAATGGATCATGCGCGCTCTGCGCGAGCTGCTCAGCGGGGACCCCAGTCTTAGCAGTCTGCCGCTGCTTACGACGTTCTTGAAGAGCTATGCTCGGCCATACCTCGGCCTCAATCCTCCAGCCAGCACGAACAAGCAAGTCAGCGCTGATGTTCAGCCGGGCGCTTTGAGTGCGGAAGCGGCGTCGGACTTTCCGGAACTGGGCGGTGCTGCAAAGGAAGAGGAGGAGCTGGTGGAGAAGGAGATCAGGGAGCGGTTCAAGAAGATGTGTGAAGGCTACTTTGACAATGTGGCGAAGAAGCTTGTCATTGAACATAAGGTACATCTCTTCATCACACTCATAAAGATCTATGCTCATACTTCTTAGCGCCTTCAAGAGCAGGACCGCAGGAATCATGAAGCGTACATTCGCTCCGGCGAGATATTCGAAGATAGGCAGCAAGCATACGAGAAGATGACGAAGAGCTACGAGAAGCTTCATGCGTCTTGTCAGACGCTATCTGAGCTGCTCTACATGCCGATGCCTTCGCTGCCCACGTCTTCATCTACCTCCGCCTCAATTCAGATTGGCACAGATGCAGGCGGCAACCTACGCGATGAAGACGAGATCGTAGTTGGTGGAAAGTGGGAGGATGAGGAAGAACGTCGCTTTTTTGAGGATCTGCAGGATCTCCGTGAGATGGTTCCGCGTAGCGTGCTTGGCATCGAGGAGGAGGACCTGAAGGAATCTGTCGAGTTAACGCCCGAAGAAAAGGCAAAGATGGAAGAAGAGGAAGTCCGGAAACTTGAGGAGGAGTTGGCCAAGCTAGCGGAGTCGCCTGAGCAACCGAATACGGAGGAGAGCGAGAAAGTCGAGAGTGAAGACGAAGAAGAGGATGGGTGCGTTGAGGCTGCATTCCTGTACCTACGTCGCTTCATCGTTCATATAGAGCGGCAACGCCTGTTCCCGGTACACCAAAGGAGGCTTCGCCGTCTGGAACGCCTGTCCTCGCGCCACAAGGGCCTAGTCAGATGCTTACGGCCCTTCTCGGTCGACTGCCTGATTGCACAAATCGCAACATGATTGATCAAGCGGCGACCGAGTTCGCGTTCTTGAACTCTAAGGCTGCGAGGAAGCGTCTCGTGAAGGCAAGCCGCACTGGCTGCCGTACTAGAATGAGCGCTCATGGTCGTATAGTTCTTGACGCAGGTACCCAAGAACAGGACGGATGTCCTGCCGCACTACTCCAGGCTTGTCGCGACTCTCAGCAAATATATGCCTGACATCGGCACTGAGCTCGTGGCAGCGGTTCGTGTGCTACGTATTCCTTTCATTCGATATACTGAAGTTTCAATAGCTCGACGAAGAGTTCCGATACCTCCAGCGCAAGAAGAACGTCGTCAAAGAACTCGCCGACACCCGCCGCAAAAACATCACCTTCATCGCGAACCTGACCAAGTTCCGCGTCGTTCCGCCCCACGTCATCCTCCACATATTCAAAGTCTGTCTCGACGACTTCACCGGTACCAACGTCGACAACATCGCCATGCTCCTCGAAGGTTGCGGGCGCTTCTTGTTACGTCATGACGAGACGTCTGCGCGGTTCGGGGCGATGCTCGCGCTCATGAAGAGAAAGCAGAGCTTGATGCATTTCGATCAGCGCCAGGTGTTGATGCTTGAGAATGCATACTACCAAGCCAACCCTCCCGAACGAGCACCCCGCACCGAGAAACATCGTCCGCCTCTTGAACTCTTCGCCCGCCATTTGCTTTACGACGTCCTCTCCAAGCGCACACTCGACAAGGTCCTCAAACTCCTGCGCAAGCTGGACTGGAACGATCAAGCCGTCGTACGACTATTGCACAAGATGTTTACGAAGCCTCACAAGCTCAAGTTCGGCAACATTGCGTTGTTGGCGATGCTTTGCTACGACCTACAGAGATACCATCCGGAGTTCAGCATTGGAGTCGTGGATACTGTTTTCGAAGATGTCAGAAGAGGTTTGGAGCAGAACATTTACTCGGCGAATCAGAGGAGGGTCGCAACGATCAAGTATCTGGGCGAGCTGTACATCTACCGGTTGATCGGGTCAGCGCTGGTGTTCGACACGCTTTGGTCGCTGGTGACATTCGGGCATCGTAAGTACCCTCACTCCCACCGACGGAATATATTCGCTGACGGTTTTGGTCGCAGCGGAGGGACATCCCTTGCCGCAGTATCCCTGCACTATCGACATGCCGGACGACTTCTTCCGCGTACGTCTTGTCTGCACCTTACTCGACACATGCGCGATGTGCTTCGATCGGGGCAGTCAGCGCAAGAAGCTTGAGAACTTCGTCGTGTTCTTCCATGTGCGTCTTCTCCCTATATGTCTATTAGCCCAATAGGGCCCTGACGTCGACAACACAGTACTACATTCTGTGCAAGGAGCCGCTTCCGATGGATGTGGACTTCATGCTCTCAGACTCGCTCGAGGCTCTCAAGACGAAGGTGGCGCAGCCCAAGACTCTCGAGGAGGCCGCCTCCGCCGTGGATGCGATGTTCGCCACCGCATTCCAGAATGCCGGCTGTGAGTCCACCATACTCAACGTCCCTTTCTGTCTCTAAGCTAACCATGTCTGCAGTGAAAACGTCTGAGGACGCCGAGGATAGCGACAGCGGTGACGAGGACGAAGAGCGTCCTACGACTTTGGACGAAGAAGATGAAGAAGACGCCGGCGCGGAGACCTCACCCATTGATCGCGGCCCGTCCCCTGAACCCGAGCTCGTTCTCAAGCCACAGGAGAACCTCGGACCAGACGAAGAAGCCGAAGCCGAGTTCGCGCGGGAGTTTGCTAGGATGGTATCCGATACGTCGACAGACGCGCGCAAGGTCGATCGCCGCACTGCTCAAGCTCTGTGGGAAAATGCTGTTCTACCTTCTGTTGCGCGTCCTCGTCAAGATGCTCAGGCCGATGAGGGCACGATGTCCTTCACGGTGCTCACCCGCCGAGGCAACCCGAAGTCCGCGCGGACTTTGGCAGTCCCGGCTGAGAGCGCTCTCGCAGTGCAGACCAGGGAAGCGAGGACTAGGGAACAGGTCGAACATCAGCAACTCAAGCGCCTCGTACTGGACTACGAGCAACGCGAAGAGCAAGAAGAGCGCGAACGCGCCGTAGTCGAGGCTCAAGCGCGCGCGCGGCCAGTCAAAATTCGTATAGCCGGATAGCCACTGCCGTGCACGTCTCCTCGCTGAATGCGCATCGACCGTGATGATGCACCCTGCTGCTATCCTCCCCACACCTATGTCCTCCGCGACACCTTGCTCGACCTTGAGCTGTTGCTCGGGTGACGGCGCGTCCGCGACCCATGCGCAGACCCCTTCTGCGCACGGTCGGCTCGGCCTCCCGGTCGCGGCCCGCGTCGTCGGCGAGCGAGCTTACTCTCCCGTGCGTACCGACTTCTTCGCTGGTCGTCCGTGACTAATGATGCTCTCCTAGTCGTTGATGCGAGACCTGCTGCATCCCGCCGGATGCTGCATCGGCGCATCAACGACGCGCTCGTCGCCCTCCGTGGTGTCGCTGGTCGCCTGAGCATTTCCTTCCTCTGGTTCTCGTTTGGCGGGTCGGTCATTTGGTGTATAAATGTGTCACTAGTTGTCTCCTTTTTGTACTATGCGTATTCCTGTATATATAACTGGTCTTGTTCAAGCCAAGTCATACATTGGCCGGTACCTACAGTGGCCAAGCGTTCCTATGTTGTTTCTCGAAGCTAACGCTCACGCGCGGCGGTCTTCTATCATGACCGCTGTGCATCTTTCCAACCTTCCTTGACCTGGCCCTTACTCTATGATACTGTCCCGTACACGCTACAGTGGGTGACCTCGTACGTAGCCGGGCGCTTTGCACCCGCATGATGAAGTCTAATAAAGTCAAACGGCCAAAAGGGGATGCACCCTGTGAGTTCGACAATAGGGGACTCCGGACCTGGTAACCAGCCTCTCCGTCCTGCGTCCATCGCCTCGATCTGCTGCTTGACATGGCCGCCTCTGAATCTACTGCTGGGTCTGAACCTACGATCCTCGACAAGATCTATGCTCAGCGCGTGAAGGACGTCGAGGTTGCGAAGAATACGCCGGGTACGACGTGGGACGATCTCCAGGTGCGCATCCTCGCTTCGTTCAGAGCATACGGCTACGGAATCTCATTATGCTCGACATAAATAGGCAGCTCTATCCTTTGCGCCACCCCTGATCTCGTTTCCCGATCGCCTACGTGTGGGCGCTGCCGCTGACAGCGGGGTCGCGTTGATGGCTGAGATCAAGCGCGCGTCGCCCAGTAAGGGAGACATTGACCCAAATGCGATTGCACCTGTCCAAGCAAGGAAATACGCACTCGCCGGCGCATCGGTCGTATCTGTCCTGACGGAGCCGACATGGTTCAAGGGTGGTCTGCTCGACATGCGTCTCGCGCGCTCGGCGGTGGACTCGCTTCCGGACCGTCCGGCTATCCTCCGCAAGGACTTTGTCTTTGACATGTACCAAATCTTGGAAGCGCGCGTCCATGGAGCGGACACTGTGCTCCTCATCGTCGCGATGCTTTCCGTGGACGATCTTACAGAGCTGTACCAATTCGCTCAGGGTCTGGGCATGGAGCCGCTCGTCGAAGTAAACAATGCGGACGAAATGGCGCTCGCGCTTGAACTAGGCGCCCGCGTCATCGGTGTGAACAACCGCGATCTCAAGACGTTTGCTGTGGACATGGGCACGACTTCGCGTCTTGCGGACCTGGTCGCCGAAGCGAACTCAGACACGCTTCTCTGCGCCCTCAGTGGTATCTCTGGCCCGCAAGATGTCCAAAAGTACGCGAAGGAGGGCGTGAACGCCGTACTCGTCGGCGAGGCTCTCATGCGCGCGAACGACATCAACGTCTTCGTGCGCCAGCTACTCAGTTTACCTGCACCGCCGATGGAGACACCTTCGCTCAAGACGCGCGTTAAGGTCGACGGAGTAACGCCGGAGAACGTTAACGACGAGCGCGTGCGCTCCGCCGATCTCGTCGGCGTGTTCTTATCGAAGAAGAACCCAAAGCATATTTCGCTCGAGGATGCCGCGAAAGTATCGGTCGCGCTGCAGGCAGATGCACACCCGCCTGCGGATCTGCCGCCGGTCCCGGGAGAGGATTGGTTCGCTGCGCATGCGCGTCGTGTGAGTGGCGCGGGACGGCCGCTGCTTGTTGGTGTGCTTGACGACGATCCCCACTTGACGCTCGACGAGATCATACGTGCCGTCCACGCTGCTCGTCTCGATGCAGTTCAGCTGGCGAGTAGCACACCCGTGGAGTGGGCTAGGCACGTTCCAGCGCTCGTACTGCGGTCCATATTCGCCCAGAGCGTGCTCGCGGGTGGCGTGTTGGAAGGGCTCAGACAGCTTGGGTACCATCACGCAGTCCTTGTTCGCGGACGTGCGAGTGGATACGTACACGAGCTTCGTGAGCTCAGTGATGCGGGGATCCCGCTACTCGTACTTGCGGAGAGTACGACGCAGGAGGTACGCGAGGGGATCCGGCCATGGGCGATTTGCTCCCAGCTATGAGTGAAACTAGAACGACGCGATCGAGACGACCAATGCTGTATCTGTGCTCAACTTGTAGACGTAACCAAAACACGATGTACGTATATACCGCTCAGAGGCCAACCTGCCTTCAAGCCTCCTATATTTGAGGTCTTTTTGTATTGTCCGAGTCGGCCCGCACCGCGTGAGACCACTACAGCTTGAGAGGTTGTATACATGTTTCCTTGTCGCTGGTCATGATCGTATTGCTTATCCTTGCCCTGGATTGTTAGGAACGCGTCAAACGCTTTGCCAGATTCGCTTTGAGCGATTCACCGCCTTGTTGATGGAGATCCTCGGCGGCTATTGGTTGCACGGCGAGCAAATACCATCACCTCGTTCAGGCTGCCGATACGTTCGTTGTATCCGCACTTGCATGGCGCACAAGAGCTCGTTGCATGGCGGACGCTGGACGTAGATGAATAGCGCGAGCTTGAAACTGTTCTGTACGTTTGCTGGATACCTCCATAGCCTGACCACGTTGCTAACCTCTAGACCAGTTTTCTGCTTCGGGCGTTGATGCATCATTTGAAGATCAGCAGAATGTGGCAAGCGGGCTGTTCCCGTCTAATGACCGCATTAGACGGTTGCGAGAGTACTTATGAGGGCGTGGCCGTCGTCGCGTGCTGCTCCCAACGCGACCCTTTCGCTCTCGTCTTCTTTTTTTCTTCTCTTTTCGGCTGCCTTTTTTCTTCTTGTCTTCTCCTTCGTCTGGCCGCCGAATATCTTTTACTTCGTTCTCTCGCTTTGCTTTCACTTCTTCTTCTTCTTCAATCATGCAAGATCCAACATACCCACTCGTGCCGATAGCCAGCATCGTCGCGGCCGTCCTTGTGCTTCTTACTCTGATCACATCCGGCGTGCGCGGCGCATACAATCGCGGAGTGGTCATGTTCGAAGGATGGGTACTCGTCGGGCTCATCATAACGGCCGTCCAAACCATTGTCTGGCGCGACACTTCGCATATCATAGCGCCTGTATTTTGCGATATCTGTGAGTCCATTGTATTCTTAGCCCATCACAACTCCCTGCTCTCCATCATGACCTCTTTGCATGACTACGATAGAGGAACAAATGCTGACCCTGGGTGTTGTCTATCAGCGTCGCATCTCGCGATTGGGCTGACGGTTGGCATTCCGGCTTGTTCGTTCGTCATCACTAGGAGGCTGTGGCTCATCGTAGACGGGAAATCGCCCATGGACCAGTCGAAGGTACGCAGCGTTGTTCGTCTCCCAGCACGACACGGGTAGCTTATGTATCCGCCAGCTTCGCAGTGAAATCTTCATCGACTACTTCTTGGGGCTCGGCGTGCCCGTCCTGAGCATGATACTGTGTGCGTATGGGATATGATATAGCTAGAGATGCCGCCTCTCTCATACCTTTCCTACAGACTATATCGTGCAAGGTGTGCGATTTCAGATCGTCGAAAACTACGGCTGCGCGTCTGGCGTCTATCAAAGCGGAGTCGCGATTCTTCTCCTAGACATATGGCCCTTGGTGCTCCCACTTGCCTCAGCAACGCTCTACTGCTGTACGCTCTACATCATCTTGCTTATCATCTTTCTGACCCCAACATACGATCGTAGGGCGTATCGTTCTTCATCTTCACCGTCATAGGCGCACTGTGAACGGCGTTCTCCGTCATCATATCGGGATGGATCGATCACGGTATGTACGCGCCCTCGCGCTCGGATGCGTGGACATCTTGCTCTCTCTTCCCGTTGGCATCATCTCCTTCGTTCTGGCCGTAGGCGTCGGCCCGTCGTTTCCCTTCTGGCCTGGATGGTCAGAGATCCACACAGCATGGGAACCTTTGGCTACTCCCTCCCACATCTGGCAAGAAGACCCGTGGTTCCGCTTCAGGATCTACTGGAATAGTTGGGTCAATGTCTTCTTCGGCATCGCCATATTCTCTCTGTTCGGCTTGAACCTGGAGTCCAGGAAGATCTATAGTGGCGTCTTTGGAAGGACAAAGGAAGGTGTATACATCGCAAAAGAGTGGTCATCGGGGGTCATCACTTCGACATTGGTACCGGCCTCGCAACATAGTACCATCGAGTACGTGTCGATCTTGCTCGTTCCGTTGAGGAGATCTTGACTGAATGCATTCGTATAGGATCATGCAACCGTCCCGCGAATCCATTGTTGCTGAGAAGAGACAACGACAAATGGACGAATTTGCGGAGCTTGACACGTTGCATTCGCTTGAGAACGGGTTCGCCGGGGCCATCACTGTTACCATCGAAGTTGGGGAGGAGATTTACAGACCCGGCGGAGTTGACGGCGCTGTTCCATTCTACTACGAGGAGAAGCGCGGTAACGGTCTCGGAGGCCATGGGATGGTATGACCAGGTATAAATTCTGCATGAAGTTGTCGAAGGAGTGTCTCTTCGTTTTTTCCCTTTTTTTCGGATGTACGGGCCGGAAACTTCAGTAACTGTACTTTTTGTGATATATCTATCTTCTGTCGCGTATATGGGTATTTGAAGAGGTCGCAGAGACCATCTGAACCATAGCCAACTACGTGGGGGTACAAGCGCGCTTAAATTGTGGTTTGGTTCAAGCGTGGAAAAATAAAGCCACGTGATCGTGCATTGTTCGGAAGTGGTGTTGGCCGCACCGCGCGCCGCGCATCGCGACTTGCTCCCAACCATCGTCGTCTATCCTCAAGGCCTTCAGACTACCTAGCTCAACCACCACACATCTTCTAACGCTACTCTTGAATACTCCCCCGATTATGCCCATCACTCGCGCGGCGTCGAGCAATTCCCTCTCCAATGGTGTAGGGCCGAGCTCGAGCAGGAAGAAGAAAGCTCCAGCGAAACCGCCAGCGGGAGAGATCATCGTGATATCGGATTCGGAGGAGGAAGAAGATATCAAACCCGCCGTTCACCACCACAAGTCGTCGAAGAAGCGGACGATATCGCAGACCGGGCCGTCCTCTGGTTCGAGCAAGCGCGCTCGCACCTCGACGGTGTCTGACTTTTCAGGCATCGAGGTCGTCGAACCCCCCCAGGATCCCCCGGCGGTCAAGGAGTGGAAGGACCGCGCTCGCGCCGCTGAACAGGTATGGTACCCCTTCGCACCGCCCCATATTAGGTTTCAACTGACCCGGATACCAGTTGCAGAAAACGGCCGAGGAGCGTGCACGCCGATACAAGTCGGCCGAAGCATCCGCCAAGGCAGACTCCGAGGGTCTTCGCAAGGAATTGAAGGAGACTCGCGATAAAGAGAAGCAGTTGGCCGCCAAAGCGGACATTGCCGAGAAGGCGCTAGCGAAGGCCACGGCTTCGGGCTCAGGCGTACGTACTAATATCTCGTGTGTCGTATATGTGTCTTATCGCCTCACAGGGAGGTATCGACCTCGAAGCACTAGAGGAGAGCGTCTCGTGTGAGATCTGTCAAGAGAAGATGTGGCAACCTTGGATGTAAGTGCCCCTATTCTTCCCATCGCAAGCGCTCGTGTGCTTATGTAAACCGAAGGCTTTCCGAATGTGGCCACGTCTACTGTCAGAAGTGCCTTACGGATTGGTTTGGTACTACGCATGCCAAGCATCTCGAGAGCCATCCCCACTACGACGTGAACCACGCACCGCCCATCACGCCCGCACAGCTCGCCCGCCTGCCCATACAGATCCAACCCTTCCTTGCGCATCAAGTCAATGCTATCCCGCGCCCGCCGTTCTCTTGCCCTACGTGTCGCGCAGACGTGACGCGCAAGCCGAGTGAGGCCTTCGTCGTGAAGACCATCGTGCAATTGATCGCCGACAAGACCGGCGAAAGGAATCCGTACCCACCACCGCAGGCGCCCACTCCAGCTCGCCGCTCACGCAGTGGCAAAGCCAAGGCTCCCGTCGTACCATCTGGTCCTTGGGATGGGTTCTTCGGGCGCTCGTAGGACCCTATGGACTGGCAGTATCGTTTGAGGTCTTGATAGCTTATATTAAAGTTATTCGTACATACTCTTGCGCTACTGTACTAGTACGGACGCGGCATTCACCGTCTCACTGTAATACCACCTCCTGCATATCACATAGCATGAAACTACTCGCTGCGATCATCGCTATCAATACAGCCCATACACGCATAGCTATCATTGGCATCGCGCACCGGGCACCGCTTCATTCGACAACCGCCCTCCGAAGTAATCTACACGTTCTACAGATTGTTCGCGGTTCCTCACTTCTTCACAACCCGCTCATCCACGACGACGTCCACAATCCGGGCAATGCGCTCAAGTTGGCGGATCGTCTGAGCTTGAACCGAATCCCTCACGTCCCTCGAGGGCCAACATCCCAGAATACGCAGCATGAATATAGGGACTCGCGCCGCCCGCCGCTTGGAGAGTAGAGATATGAGGCGTTCAAACCACTCATCCAGCCGTTCGCGTAAGCTGAACACGGAAGGAGGGTTTCTGTGCACCTCCATGCTGACGACGAGTGTAGAGAGCGAAGGTAGAAGTGGAGGATCTGCTTCGCCGAGCATACGTGACACCGTGTCTTTCCACATGGACCTCTCTACGTGGTGGAATGGCTCCGGCTGTAGCAGGTAGAGCGTATGGACGTTCGTCAATGGCCGCAAAAGGTATGTGCCTATGCTGTCTTCCCACGCGGCAAGGTACTCGACCCGAATACGCAGAAACAACTGCTCGATGTCATGAAGGCCCTCTGGCGGGATGCGCTCTGCCAAGACGGAGACCCAGCGATGAGCATCGACATCGTCCGCTTCGGCGTTCGCCGGCGTAACTATGTTGAGACCGACGGCGTCGGCGAGTTCAGAGTGTTCGAGGTGCTCATCCGATAACCCGGATTGTGACCTGAGCCAGACATCGACGAAATCTGCCGGGTCGCTCAGGGCGGGCATGGACTGTATGAATAGCGAACCGGCCTCCCGTTGTGTGGCGAGGGTGAGAGCACCATGACCGGCTCGACAGAGATGACGCCCGTATCTGTCGGCAAAGTTGATAGCCCAATCGGCTAGGTGTGGGCGAACGAGCTCATCCATTCCATCGGCCACCTTCCCGAACGACACAGATAAGTATGCAGGAGGGACCGCGCATAGGCGCCTTAGGAAAGGGTGGAGATGGGTGTTCGAGGTGTTGACCAACGTCATGCGCTTCAGGTGTGGGAGGTGTATGTGTGGCCCTTGAAATAGCTCCGTCCAGTCCGGCGCGTGGGAACTGGTTCGTAGCTGCAGCGTAAACACCAAGGACTCCAAGAGCGGCGATGCGCGCAGGAGGCCTATGAGCCAGCTCAGGTCGTGCAAAGTGGTCCCAAAAAGGGCATTCCCGCTTTCAGATACCTCTACGTCGAGATGACGCAGTGATGGAGTGTCGAAATGGAAGGTTGGAAGTGGATGCCTGTTGCTAGTCCCGCGTAAAACTGGTGCTGTATTGAATAATATATACGCATGCTCCAGCCGCGGGGCATCAATGTATACAGATGGTCCATCACCATTCTGGGATCCAGCAGGATTGCGTATTTGAGGACCGTACTCAAATTGCAACCGCAATTGACGTAGATTAGGCAAAGGGTTCGACTTTCCGCAGAATGAGGACAGGGCATGATGATTAACGCTCATCACACTCAACAGCTCCACTCGTGGCCTACACTCGAGCATAGTCCCTGCCCAGAGAGCACTGCGTTGATTGACGAGAACGTCTACCGCAGCACTCCCCGCGCGAGCAAGAAGCGTTGCATGAGCGCGGTAATACGGGAAGGTGAATGCAACTTTGCCCCAGAGAATCGATAGTTCCAGTAGGAGGGTTCGCCACCTCTTGCAGACATGCGTAAGTCGTATCCATCCGAGGCCCATCGTATCAGCCCCGATGATATCCGTAGAGCGAGACGAAAGCGAACCCGGGGCAGGATCAAGGTAGGCGGCAGTATAGAATATCTCGCATAGCACATCGTCAGGGACATTTCGGATCGGTGAGTATCTCCCTCGTGTTTCATCTGGAGGCATCTATGAGTCTAAGAGTGTTACTCGCCACAGCAAGTTTGAGCTCACCGTCGTTCAGGATCTTCGAGGTGCCCGCTCCTGAATCAGCTTTTAGCCGCACTTCATGCTTCCATTTCTCCCGAAACACTGCCAACTCTCGAATCGCATCTCGCGTACTCAGGCTCTCATCAAGGGAGCTCATATGTAGAGTATGGTTTGGCGAAGGTGGTAGTTGGTGTCAAGACGTCGACTGCAGAGTCAGGTCTCTCGATGCTGATCCCCCTCACGGGCCGCTTATCCGGTCGGCGCCTCGGGTTAGGGTTCACGCGTTCGCCGCGAACTGATTGCACAGTATCGCCTCAGCGATGACCGCCATCCTCATGTCTATATCAAAAACTCGAGAGAAAACGTAAAAGTTGGCAAGGAGCGGGCTGCGAAACTGTGAAAACGAGTGATATATAGTAAAGTCAATTTATAGCAAAGACTGGGTGCGGTTGAAGCTAGGAGATGTGGTACTGAATCACGCAGTACCCGAGATCGCAAACGGTGGGCCATACATGCAGATATTCTGCAATAGATATTGGTTTGGATGAGCGAATTACGGAACTGGACAATATTTAGCAGGAGAACTGACCTTTCAAGTTGCTGCTTGATTCGGTCGTGGCATTCGCGCACGGCGGTCGACGACGACGTTGTCGACGAGTTCGGCTAGTCGTGCTAGCTGCAGATCGGTTCTATCTTTCAGAAACCCTCGCATAGGGTGCGAAATGACACGCAGAGTCCGCACTGCGACGCCATTCGCTCGTCTCTGAGAGAGCAGATTCGCAAGGCCGTCAAACCAATCGTCAAACTTCTCTCCCTCTCCCTCCTCCTCGAGTACGAACCCCTTCGGCACGTCAAACCCAATAAGCAAGGTGTGAAGTGCGGGAAGAACCGGCACCGCGGGCTCGCAGATGAGTTGCGATAGGGCCTTCCAGTCTGAAGCCTTGCATCGGAAGAACGGTCCGCCATTGATGATGTGAACAGTGTGTACGGCCTTCATCGGGCGCAGGAGGTACTCGCGGAACACGTCAGTCCAATCGTCTCCCAGTACGCTTCCTGAGTAGAGGTAGAGGTGCAAATGCTGGACATCCTCTTTACGGGGTAAGTCTCCCGCGAGTGTACTGAGCCACTCGAACTCCGCAATGGACGGGTCGCGGATTTTCCGAGCTCGGATTCTGAGAAGTGTTCCCTCTTCACGTTGCAAGGGAGCCCAGAACGGATCGATGTCGGAGCCAACATCACTCTGGAAAGTGACGAGGCTAGGATCGTCGACTGTAGGCATAGATTTGATGGCTAGGGACTGCTGACCCTGGATTGCGATACAGAGCGTTCGATGGCCAGGACGGCACAAATAAGCCGCGTAACTCTTGGCAAAGTGTACAGACGCTGCGAGCAATAGATCCTGTGTAGCACCTTGGTACCTGTTGAAGGTGCCAAATGACGCGGAAAAATAGGCGGGGGTCGATGTGCACAGGTGGCCAATGATGCCTGAATGGCAGGTTCCAGAGCTATCCTCGAGTGTGAAACGTTGGAGTTGAGGGAGCTGATCATAGGGCCCCTCATCTAGTACGCTCCAGTCGAAAGGCGATATTTGCCATGCGAGAGAAAGGGATAGGGATTGTAGAAGGGGTGAAGTGCGCAAGAGCGCTACAATCCACTCGAGATGTCGACTGTGTGGAAACGCGTTGTCGCCTATGCGCACGCTCAAAGCGCGAAGAGAGGATGTATTGAAGGCGAAGGTAGGAGGCAACCTGTAATCTGCCAGTGCCGGTGCGACGCCAATACGTATACGGTTATCGGATTCGCGCATAAGTTCGATGATCGCAGTTTCCAGCCCAACAGCGTCGATATGTACATCTTCGCCAGAGTACGCTTCAGCGGGCAATGGCTGGCGCGGCTCATCGTCTTGAAAAGCCGCCCATGACTCGGCGGGGGGAGGGCGATCATTGATGTCGAGATACAACTTAAGGTATCGTAGCTGCGGCATCGTACACGAAGTCAGAAACGCGTGCGCTCTGCCGTTGGAACGTCCTGATACCACGAGAGAGCGAGCCCTGGACAGATAGGTGGCCCCGTCCTCTGACTGCGTCGCGGCGAGGTTGGTGATCACGTGTAGAGGAGCATCCCGCGCACGAGCAAGTAGGATGGGGAAAAGTGCACGAAAGGGACGAGCAAACACCACTCTCCCCCACACGTCTGACATGCGCAGAAGCAACGCCCGCCATCCTCTTGATACATGAGACAATCGAATCCATCCTAGCCCTTTGGTGCCCGCGAGAGTGAACTTGTCGTCGTAGAAAACGGGAGTGCCGGAAGCGGGTTCGAGCGACGCGACTGCGTAGAAGATCGCAGACAACACGTCTTCGTCCAGCTTTGATATTGGCGCCGTGGCCGGACCGTGCGATGTTGATGTATCGCCTAAGATGCTGTCAGTATCCTGATAAGCTACCGGATATCGTAACCTCAGCTCGCCTGTCGTAGATCTGGACACATCGATATTTCGTATCCTGGGGATCGCTCGACTAGCAACATCGTCCTGCCGCAGCTCCGAGATCCATTGCTCGCGGAAGACATCCAGCTCGCGACGGGTGTCCTCCCGTTGAAAGGAGGCTGCAGCTTCAGAGAGGGACATAGCTCAGGTTCGGGAGGGTGGCCAGACACACAGTCCAGGACATGGTAGTAGTGAGCCTTATACGTTCGCTATGGCAGTCCCTCTGACTCCTCGCGCGCCTCTAGCTATGATGAGTGGTGGGCGCTTTGTATACGAAGTTCCACCCGAAGTGTTTCATGACGTCTGCTCTCCCTCGGTCGCGGGAGCTTGTACGCGAACGTATTTGGCGGCTTCAGACATACTATTTGGGGTGTGTTGAATAATATTCATGATGAGGGACAGGAAGAGCGCCGCAACTGGCGCGCGTCATGGCATCATGATCATCCCGGCAACGGCCGATGATTGATAACGCACGATCTATCAACTGATTAGATCTGCCACCACCATGGCGGCCAGGCATCGGTAACGAATATCACGCTTGAAAGTTGATTCGGGTACCCTTGAAGCAGCAAATTTCATTCATGGTATAAGAAGATATGCGATGTCAGCGGTCAGCGTTGTCATTGAGCTGATAGAATCTGACTTGTAAGTATCTTCTTTACGCCGTATCGTCAGACAATATGGAAGATCGACAAGCCCGACTCCTTCTCTGAACGCCCAATCGTAGAAACTCGCAGTAAATATGAAGTGTGGAGCTACGCGGGTTTCTGTACGGGAAGCGCACGAGAGATGATCTGCAAGAAATCGTCCTGGGTACTAGATCAGATGGTGATCAAAGACCATGAAGAAGACACCAGAACGATGAGCCTGCATACCTCTCAGCGGTCAGCTCGTCATCAGAATGTGCTCTCACCGTGTACCAGTCTTCACGAGTATAGGCCTGATGCGAATGGAAGGACTCAGTCGCCGGCGACCACTGCACCCGACTGGTTACAGAAGTACTGGCAGTGGCCCGTTGGGGATGTGAACCTCGCCGCAACCGCGACAGAACCTACCTTATCAGCTCTTGGCACGCCATACAGTCTCACAGCCAGGAGCTACAAACAGCATGCTCTACTTAGCATGAGCAGTTGCAAGTCGCGCGGTCTTGGGACTTTGACGTCGGTGCATCAAACAACATCGTTCGGCGCCCGGGCGTGAATGTATGCATTGTCGTACAGAGTTACAAAGCATGGATCGCCGTTGACGATGATGACTTGAGGGTAGATTGAAGCGAAGGCGCTGGATGAGCGGCCTCACGAAATCCAGTAGCATCATTGATCTCTTCCCCGCGTCGCAGAGTCAGCTCTCCCGATCTCTTGTCCTCCTCCTCGGAGATACGTAGCCCCTCGCTTAACCAAGATCCAAAACATGTCCGACACTCGGATGCCCAGCAAGCAACAGACAGATCGACCTTCATCATTCCTGGGCGTCTCAGATAGATGGACTGAACACAACACATACCGAGCGCTTACCGACGAGCTCAGAAGCCATTCGAGCGCGTGGACATCTCGCCGCATGGATACCATGAGCGCGCGCGGAAGTGCCTCATAGAATGCCATCCGAGTGGCTGAGGTACAGCCGCGAGATGGAAGGGCGCTCGACGGGACGAAAGAAGCTGATGCTCCCGGAACATGAGGGGGACAGTTAGCTGTGGCGCACGGGCGCGCGGGAAGACGCCGACCGTTATCCGCACAACTACGACGAGCTCGCTGGGAGGCACATACGAATTGGCAAAACATATCAGTGCTCGCACGCCGCGCGTTCTAGACAGGTATGTATGGTCATTGTGGGGGAAATGGAAGGCACTGGAGCATGTGTTGGTGTATATGGGGGTGGCAATGCGGTCATGAAATCTTACTCTATACAACGAGGCGGCCGCGCTTGTACTGCGACGCGGTGAGGTTACGGAATGGACTATGCAAAGTCTCGCCCTCACTGGGTTCTAGGGCTCTCGCGGGTAGGTGCAGCGATAAGTAATCACGAAAGGCTCTTATTTCTCGATCGTCGGGCGAGGCTCTGCTGCTGGAAGAAATATTAGGCTGAGATGAAGGACGCGGAAATTACGAGATGCGTACGAGGGAGCTAGAAGATAGAAGTGGTGCCACGTTGCTCGCGGGAAGCAAAGTGCTCTGGCATAGGTGACTCGAATGAGAGAAAACGTGGCGGAGCGTAGTAGGTTCGTGTCGTGTGACGTGTAAATCCTCGACTGCCGTCCCCGTCGTGCCACCTATTAGTGATGGCCCTCTGCCAAATTACGGATGACATACGGAATTCCAGTGCATATAGCGTTCGAACGTTCTCGCACGGGCCGCCCGAGGGGAGCTGTCAAGCTAGCTGTGGCGCCGTGCATCCAGTGTATGGTCTCGATGCGAAGGCCAATCCTCAGGGTCGCTCGTCTGGAATTTGAAAAGTAGTGCCCTGTGTTCGCCGTCTGTTAGTTCTTGGCATCCCCGGAAGTACCCACGCAGCGCGCTGAAGTGCGTAGACCAATCGAGACGGAGGACGTTGAACTCTACGGAGGAGGATTGGGGGCTGAAAAATCGGTTTCTGAACCAGCGCGGTGTGATCCTTCCGAAGAAGACGGCTAGTGAGCATGAGGCCACGGCGAATTAGCGACCATCGGACGCACAGTATCATTCAATCGTATACTAGGATCGAGCGCGTGCATTGTCAGCGATCACGCGTTTGAGATTATAACAGCTGTCGCGACAGCTTCTCGAGCGCGAGCTTGGCATCGCCAAAGATGACATACAATTTATATTTGCATGGTCAAAGCGTAGCTGCAGACAGCTACAGACTCAAACAGGAGGGTAATACGGGGTATGAATTGCCTGTCTGCCATCGTGGGTGTGGCGACCACAGCGTGATGCGAGGGCCCTACTCAATCTCCTGCACCTAGATCTGGCGGCGTATTGCCAATAGCGATCGAACCGCCGGCACCGAGATCAACGGCGACCTCGAGAGGTACTGAAACTGGGCCGCAGTGTGCTTAAGTCCATAATGAGATGGCCGCGGACTCCCAGACTCGTCCGCGCCGAGATGAAAGCGTCGGAATGGACGGTTTGTATCGGTGCGCTGGTGCGCGTTGATGAAGGCGTCGGGGTGTTCGGGGAGCGCAGTGTCCAGGTACATGCATGGTCGTGCAAGACAAGTTAGACTGGATGTTGTTTACGAGGTGTAGAGCCCTGATGGAGAGTGAACACGTCAAGCCGCGCGTGGGTTGAGAGAGGAAGGAGATATGCCAAACGCGAGCGGGCAGCGTGCGTACACGGTGGATCTGAATCTGGAGCAACGACGTCGCAATATGCGTCTTCAGGTCACGCTTTGATTCATAGCTCCCGAACTCTATAGCCTCGAGCTACAGTGCGCAGCAGGCGCCCTATAATACGCATGGCTCGAAAGGGAGTTGGTACGTGTGAGCCGAGAGAGCGCAAAACCGGGTTTGGCATGAGCGCGTCCGATTGCGAGCAAGGTTTGCAGTCTGTGGCGGCCAAGTGTGGCTCACGACCAGAACTCTGCGTAGAAAGCGTAGCTGGCAGGTAGTGGGAGTGTATGGACATGATTGACTTGGCCGGTCATCCAGCGCGGATGCGAGCAGCGGGCGGATCGTGCCGAAGACGCCGATTTGCCGGCGCGCGCGTCATGACCGGCGTTCACCACGACGTCCATCTCGACGGCGCCTACAGCAATTACTCCTTGAACTTGCAGCTCTCTCCTCTCGAGAGCGCCACAGCTAGGCAATGAATGATAATACAGGTACTTTCTGACTACCGGAGATGGTGTTGCTGCCCCTAGTATTTCCCCGCAACGTCCCTGTTGTTCTCAATACATCGCTTTGCGTGCCTACCACCCTCTCGCCCTGAATCTTTCCCGCTCGCGCACAGGTGGTGCTTCTCCCTGGACGGTCTCGACCGATGCCGAAAGAGCGAGTCCGTGATGCTCGTAAACGGGCAACACAACTTCTATCTAGGGGCGCGCGCCTATTCTCGATTGGCGATTTGATGCCATACGCCACACCGTCCGCGGGATGTGAACAGTTCTTGTGGGAGCGCGCTTATGTGCTGGGCGCTTGTTGCGCTATTTGGCGTTGCGGGTGCTCTTCTGGGTCCTGCTTTGAACTCCGCGCGCATGAGCGGAAGATTGGCGACGATGAACTGCTGTGCGCGCCCTTTGCACAAACTTCGCCCGGGACTCGTCACTTACCGGGTATGCTTGTGCCCAACGGGAGGTGCAGTTTGCTATGGCCGGGCGAGGAGGAGAAATGTCCGACGGGGGCGCGGGGTTGTGGGGCGGGGCGCTGCCCGTTGACCATTTCGGACGGCCGACGTTTAGCGAAGGGAGAAAGAATTGGACTTTGCGATCTGCGCCAGATCTGGCCCGACAGGTTGGCTCACGCGTTGCTGTGGGCGCATGCATATAGGTTCTGCGTTCGAATTTAACAGGTGTACGCATTCCTCTCCTCCACCCACCACCGCCCACACTAGCTTGACATGCATTTCTTACACCGCGAGGTAAGAAGACGCGTCCCTTCGTTGGAGGCGACGCGTGTGTTGAGTGCAGACGCAGAAGAAAGACCTCCGCGCCAAGCCGTCGCTGCCTGACCTCAAGCAGCAGTCGACCGCCGCTGCGACGCGTCTCAACTCTCTGGATCTCGCTCAGACCTCGCCGCAGATCGACCGCCGGGCGTCGCCGGTGCCCAGCCCGCGTCTGCGCCAGTCGATGCCCTTGACTCCGCCGCTGACACCCAGCTCTTCACTCGACGGCGCCCGCACTTTGCCCGAGCCTTCGACGCCCGTCGACTCGCCGGTGATCGCCGCCGCCGGCAAGGAAACATCTGGCCGCCCGTATGTGAGCCTTGGCGACGCGCCACCTCTCTCGCGTCTCCCAACTGAGAACGACGTCTCGCGCTACCTTCATCGCGATCGCAGTCCCACGCGATTCGTCCTCGTAGGTTTTCTTCCACGTTTTTCGACGTGCATATATGCTGACAAATGGTTAAAGGTGACGAACCTACCCACCAACGCCTCGATCGGCCGCATCACCGCCCTCTTTGGTAGCTATGGCGGCGGCGGCGTTCTCAAAGGCATCTGGGGCGGCCAGCTCGCTTCGCACGGGATCCTTGTCATCATCTACTTTAACCTTAAGGATGCCGAAGCCGCGTGCAGACACTATGCTTGCGGTGCCGTCGTAGCAGACGAGATGCTGATCGATAATGTCGATACGCGCGGCGCCGTGCGTACTCTCTCCGCGGGGTATCTTTCCCTGGAGGAGGCGAAGAGGGTTTGTAGCCTTCTTTGATCTTCGCTCCAGATCGATTATTGACGCATATACGCGCGCAGATCACTTGCACGGGCGAGAACCCAGCCTCGCCTGTAACTCAGATTGAAGCCGAGGCAGCGTTCTTCGTGCATCTGTATGCGCCTGATGAGCAGCGTACTTCGTACTTACGCGCGATGCTTGAGCGCTTTGGGCCGATCTTTGTGATGGAGCCCCGTGGCTGGGAGACCGGCGGTGAGGTGAGCGACTTTCTTCGAATTGAGTGCGAGCTCTGTCGCGCGTCATCCCGCGTGTGTATGCATTAATCCACGCTGGGACGTATGTATGCATGCACGCTGCGTGACATACTGTGCCTACTCTCGTGCGCGCCACTGCCCTGGATTCGTACCCGGCTCTTGCTCTTCCTTTCTGGCCTCACTTCCATTCTTCTGAAGCTGACATGAGAGGCACCGCAGTGGTCCTACGTCGAGTTCTTCGACACACGCGATACCGGCATCGCCCTTCACAACGCCGAAGTCGTCGCCATCCAGCAGGGTCTGCGTATTGCACTCCAGCCTACTCTGCAGGGCATGAGCGCTCCTTTCGCTCCTGCGCCCGCTCCGCCGCCACCGCCACCGGTCGCACGGGTAATGTCGCCTTTTTACGGTGGCCCGCCGCCCATGAGCCCAATAAGTCCAATCGCGCCCTTTGCGTTCCAACCTGCGCTCGGCCCTGGATTCCCGCCCGCGCCGCGTCCTTTCTATGCCGCGCCGCCGCCTACGCCGTTTGTGCCGCCTCCGACTCCGTTCCTTGGGCAGCAGTTCCCACGTCCCGTTCTGCCTATGCTCCAGATGCAGATGCTGCCGCCTCCTACGCCCGCCTCGACTATTGCGGAGTTGCCCGGCATGTTTGCGAACAGCTCGCCGCCGCTGAGCGCTCGCCCATTCTCGCCGTCTCCTACGACGTCCTCGCCGACTCGGCCTACGCGTCGTCCGCGTGCTTCTCTCAACACGGGCGCGTCGCATATTCCGCCTCCGGAGAACACGCTTGACCTGGCCAAGATCGAGCGTGGCGTGGACATGCGTACGACGGTCATGATCAAGAATATACCGAACAAGATCAGCGACCGCGAGTTGCTCAACTACATCAACGATGTCGTTCCGCGCCGCGTTGACTTCTTTTACTTGCGCATGGACTTTCAGAATGGTACGTCCGGGGCCTTTGTTCCGAATGTTAGTGTTGTAGGGATAGAAGCTGATGCGCTTATATGCACAGGTTGTAATGTCGGCTACGCGTTTGTGAACTTTATCACAGTCGACGATCTCCTGTGCTTCGCCAAGGCACGGCTCGGGACGAGATGGAACATGTATTCGTCTGAGAAGGTCCTCCAGATGTCGTACGCGAACTATCAGTACGCATACACCACCCTTTTTCCATTCTTTCGGCCTCATACTTACGTGTTTTATAACAGGGGCAAGGAAGCGCTCGTCGAGAAGTTCAAGAACAGCGGCATCATGGACGAGCGCGAGGCCTGGCGTCCCAAGATCTTCCACTCGGCGGGCCCTAGCGCTGGCTTGCCCGAGTTATTCCCGCCTGCTACGCACCAGCGTCGCAAGGAGCGCTCGGCGCACAACCGTGGCGCACTCTTCGTACCAGGCTTACCCCGCTACTAAACGCATGCCGCGCTCCGTCCGGCCGCTGCGCGGCTCTCGCCAACAAACAAACTGCATCATTCTGTTCATACGTCTCGGAAACGCTGTCCGCCTCTTTCTCCGTCATCTCGCTTTGTATCAAACCGCATCGTCTCTTTCCGGTTCTCTGTGCCATCTTCATTTCGGTGTGCTCGTCTCGTGCTGTTCACTCATCCAAGCCAAATTCAAAAGCTCTGTTCACACTCCAGCCAACGCATTCATACTCGCCTCGCTCTCGCTTTGTTGCGCTTCGTTCTCTACAGTGTACTCAACCCAAATCCGTCTCGATCCTGTTCTGCTCAAGTCTCCACTATTCGCATGATGTGTACGATACAACCATACGCATACGAAAACCCCAAATACTGCATATTCTTACGTCTAACTAGCTTTGCATTACCTCTCCTGCTTTGTCCCCTCAATCCACCCTGCTTACTCTTACTTGCCGCCGCCGCATCACCTCCTGCTTACTTACCGCTCTTCGCCGCCACCTGCTTACCGTGCTGCTTACTCCGCCCTTTACACCTGCATATGAACTCCCATACGATCACATAGTATTAGTCGACCTTCGACGGACTGCGATGCAATAATCAATCATGTGCACCCTCTCGTAGTTTTCAGCGCTCTCGTTCGTTTCACTTCAACGCGAGTTCGGGCCTCTTGGCCCTCTTCGCGAAGAGCATTGAAGAGGTGATTTGCTCCGCCGCGCCACAGCGATCGGGCTTGCCACGCCGTCCGCCTCGCCCGCGCGACGCCGTCCACCCGCCAACCCCAGAGGCTCGCGATTGCATTCGGTACACCTGCGCGGTTCTGTGCATACAATTTTCTTGGCGAAAGACGAGGGGAGCGGCATAGAGCAGATCAAGCAAGTCGACCTGGAAGGACGCGGGGCTCAACAAGCCGCCTGATGGCCATCGTTCGAAGAGTTCGCACTCGCAGAGTCTCGAATTCGGCGTTGCAAATACCCCTTAACTGACATCGATAGAAGGCCTCTGAAGCAACTCTGAAGGCCTGCGGAAGCCTCGTGGCCGGAGGGCGCTCGGCAACCGCCGATGATTGCGCGACGAACGCACGCAGGACTTACCGCTACTACCGTGTCCTGCACGGGCAATGCGATTCCGGTAGCTCATACACTGATGTACTTATGTCTCTATACCTGCTGGAGCGTCTTGTTGAAGTTGTCGCAACGTCGGCTCTTCGAGCGCGTGAGAGTCGGCCTGGTTCGGGATCAAGAAGCGCAGTACTGTGTACACGAGCCGTCGACCTCACTGTGATCCATCAACCGCTTGCATCTTGCACCCAAAGCCACCTCTTAGCGTGTTTCCTGGCGCTATAACTCTGCAATACCCAAGTTCGTGGCGACCCGAGTACCTTGCGCCCCCATAGAAATCACCTAGACGATGTTTGATGACGATGCGCCAAACGCGGTCGAAGTTGATACAGGTAAGTATCTTATCTTGACTCTCGTGATGACTCTTAAGTCTCATACAATGACTGACAACGTGGCAGGCTCCTATACGGATTTATCCACTATATCGAGGCTCCCCGAGGACGTGATGCGCGAGATCTTCTACGCCGTCGCGTCACTCGAACCTACCCCAGGGACACTGTTGTTTGATGGCGTCGCATGCGAATCCGCTCGTACTTCTGGCTTACAATGGATGAGATTGACGCACGTCTGTCGGAGCTGGAGGACGATCATACTCCGCATGGCCGACCTGTGGGGCAGAGTTGCTTTCACTCTCCCGTACGATACAGCCCTGCCTACACTGCTCGACCGCGCGCGGGACGCAGATCTTGATATCGTCTCGAAGCTCCACCAACAAGACATGGAAATGATACAACATGAAGCAGACCATTTACCGAGCGCACGATCCTTGTTGATCGCCAGTCGCCCGGACCGCCGTCTGCTAGAGTACTTGACGCAGAACGCCATGCCCCGGCTTCGCTATCTGGGTTTACGGGTCGATCTTAACGATAAACTTACTGTTGGAGCGCCACTCCTGTCAGAGCGCATGGTAGAAGACATCGTTGTGGACGCCCCCCGGCTTGCGACGCTGTCGCTTGACCTCTGGCGGTTCCGTGTGCATCCGGAACCTCCCATAGCTATGCCCGGGCCCAGCCTGCGCTTTACCACCGATTGCCTTCGAGCGCTCATGGTCCGCGTGAGCGATTACACTATCTCGCATGTCCACACGTTAGAGTGGATCGTCGCGCTGCTACGCACCTCACCTCGTCTCGAGTCCTTCGCCCTGTCACTCTCCGGCCAACGCGCGGAACTCGATTGGGACGCGGTGCTGAAGGAACCGGCACAGCTCTCGCAACTCAGGCGCTTCACCCTCGAGGACAGCTCTGGGTCGTATGGCCCAGATATAATCGCTCGCCTATGTCCCTCGCCTCCGGCATTCTTCTGTGCGTCGTTCGGCACTTTCCGCGGCATCTCACCGATGGCCGACATAGGACCAGAACACCTACTCGAGCGTGCGAGCAACTTCGCCCGTCGCTATGGAGGTTATCTCTGCCGCGACAATCACCGCGCCTTGCGAGTTCAGATGCCGAATAATCCCAGGTTGCTCACTGTAGAGTCTTTCCCGACGATGCACGACCCTGTCACCTTTGCTCCACGACAGAAACTCACCAGAGGCGTGGATCCGCTGTCGACTTTCGCCGAGCTCACGGACAGCACCGTGCTTCACGTTGCAACAGGATTCACCGAGCTTCCGAACCGACACGAGTGGTTCGGTGAGCTCGCGGATCACATTCAAGAGAAGGGCAAGGTCGAGCAGATGTATCTGCAGCTCGACCCCACTGGCTCCGGTGGAAGGGTGGACATATGCCGCGAGCGGTTGTTGCGGCCAATGACCAGACTTCATACGCTGTACCTCATGAGTGAGAGACCTTTTGACGCGTATGAGTATGGGGACGCGTATTGGAAGGATATATCTCAGCTCCTCTGCGACGTGGCCCCGGACAACCCTGTTCTGTCGGCGCTTCATACGTTACTCGTCAGCGTGGAGATGCACCGTGTTGATGATGCGGACCAGCATCCGGGGGAGCTGTTGGATATGTGGTTTAGCTCTCTCGCGAACCTCCTGGCTCGGAGACGTGCGGGAGGCGGCCCCATACAGATGCTACGCGTCGTTGGGTCGTGGGAGTCCGAAGAGCTCAGGCGGAGTATGGCGCTAAAGACCGAAGGCCACCTGGCTCAGGTGGCCAAGTTCGTAAAAGAAGTCACGGATGAACGAACGGTACTGTCATAACAATGAGTAATTTGTCAGTAGCACCAATATACCAAGGATACTTATGAGATATGGTGGTGATTCCTACCTTTTGTACCTCCAGTCGAAAGGCTCTTAGATACGTGAGGTTTGCCATGGCGTAGGCTAGAAGCGTCATGATATAGTGCTCTGTCATAAGTAGTAGTAGTAGTAGTATAAGCGAGTTCTATGTACCACGAAACAAAAAGGCAATTGCGGCGGGTTGCGCGCCAACCCTAACCCAAGTGGCACGCTCGGTCACGCTCTTGCTGGACTTCGAAGTTCACACGTCTTTCCATCTTCCCGTCATCATCCTCTATCATCGATATATGGATGAGCGATGTCCAGCGCCCCTTCCGCTTTACAGAATGTGCGGTTGTCCAGAGATGAAGGAATGAGACAAACGTGCTAGGCAATATGATACGCGCGCCACGCGCCGCGCTGCTCCTTGCTTCTGGTCCCGTCCTCCACTTTCCGCACATCTGCCAACTCGAAACTATCGTTTCGCTGTCTCTCCTACATCTCTCAGGCTGCTCATCATGCTTTCATCTCTGTCATGCCATCTGCAAAGAGAGCTGGAAACATTTCGCGAAGAGTGGAGGTTAGAATTGCGGCAAAAGAGAAGCCCCGTTCGGAAGGTGAACGACAGTGCGTATCCTCTCCGTTGGACAGAATCCAAGAGATGAATGTTGATTCACTGCTCCAGACCGCTTTTGGCAAGTAATGGCTATATGGACGCTTCCGGACGATGTTATGTGCGAAATATTCCACGCCGCCGCTGAGCTCGAACCCCCACGAAGAGCGAGTGTGCTACGCGCTTGGCCCGAGCTAGACACCTCTCGTATGGAGCACCTAATTGCTCTGGGGTGGATTCGTCTCACGCACGTCTGCCAGAACTGGAGGGCGATCCTACTGAGCATGACCGACCTATGGGGTCGTGTAGCGTTCACGTTCACGTCCCGCTCGGCCTTCCCGACCTTATTCGTCCGTGCTGGAGGGGCACCCGTGGATATTGATGCTCCTCTTGATGAGGAGAAGTGGCCTCGATGCGAGGCCCTCATCAGTCTTCCGCTAGCTCGATCACTCAGGATCAACAGCCGAGTAACTCCAAGGTTACACGCGTTTCTGACGCTGAACTCGGAATCGATGTCCTGGCTGCGTGACCTACGCATGGTGTTGCCTTACGACAAAGAGGCAGACCTCGAGTTGGCTCAGCGTAACATCACTATCGATGCACCCCGCCTCGAATGCGCATCTTTCAAGTTTTGCCGAGGGAGCTCTATCACTCTGTCTTTCACTACCACGATGCTCCGCCACCTGGAAGTACGCGCCGAATACAGCGTGCGAAACGGAAGCCATATCACAGGAAACTACGCGTGGATTATTGCCCTCTTGCGCACGTCTCCGCTGCTGGAGAACCTGTCAATCGTTATCAACCCAGGAGAGAGTGTAGTCGACTGGGACTCACTCCTACACGGAACGTCACTCCAGCTCGCAAAGCTCCGGACTATCAAGCTGGAGGATAGCTCGTACTCTCATCTAATCCCCCTCATGAAGCACATTCGCGCCGCTGGCCCACCTTCTTCACTATCCGCCTCTTTTGGGACCTATCTCGGCGAGCCCGTAGCACGCCTGCTCTGGCAACAGTACATCTCTCGTGTTGCGGAGTATACGCGCGGCTTTGTAGGCTATCTTGGCCGGATAGACCATAATGCGTTCTTCCTCGGCGCGACGAAGGGTACCAAACGCCTCTCCATTCGATCTCTACCCAACAGCGACGTAGACCCGGCGGATCTCGCCAATACTCTACACGATCAGGATGTCGATCGCGCTTTAGCGATCGAAGAGCTGGTGAATATGGTTTCGCTGAATGTCACGGACATCGAGTATCGTCCACCCAGGGACCCACGGCCCGATTACGAATGGTTCTCCACGCTGGCGGACAGCATTCCGAATAAGGATCGCATTGAGCAACTCTTCTTACGTGTCGAATTGAATCAGGACTATGTCTGGTCCAGCCGGTGCCGCGAGCGCCTCCTACGCCCGATGACGGCCGTACGCACTCTGTGCCTTCTACCGTGCATGTCTCAGAGCAGCTGCATAGAACAGCTGGTACTCTGCCATATGGACCCAACGTTCTTTCCCGCGCTGCAGACTCTCATCGTCAGATTGGAGATGTCTACCCATTTCGAGGACCACGCACGACTGGGCGAATGACTTGATGCGCGCTTCGACAGCATCCAATCACTACTCAGAGATCGACTCTACGCCCGCGTTCCAGTCCCTGTATTGCGCATCACTGGGCGCTGGCCGTCACAACATGTGAAGGACCTGCTCCGGGATCGGACCTGGCGCCACCTAGCGTGGCTCAGAGGTTTCGCGGCTGTCATTCACGACGAGCGAGTTCTATAGCACTGTATCCTGCCATGTCATAGACGATGAGACGTCACAGCATCATATACCCCATCCAAACGCCATATCTCATTCGCGCGCATCATTACACATCCATACTATACATCCTAATCCATACTACAAACCCGACCGACCGATGTTGCGACCGGACTGGAATCCGAAGAGAAGGCCACAAAGGTTGTGCAACAGTGCCAGCCTACGATGAAGACAGTATCCTGCCCGTCCGTGCAGCATGACTGCTGAGATCTGTACGCATAGTCATTCACACGTTACCTTTCGATCGGAAGAATATTTCAGCATTTTACGTTACTGTCTTCATGAGAGTCAAACGTCAAACTGACATAAACGTCGATCCACCTCGCGCAGTCGGCATCTACGACATACTCTCTACTCAACCCAAACCCCCACCATCTCCTGCTCATTCATGGCGTGCATTTCTTCTGCCGGTGACATATCCCAGCCGCAGGGTGATCAAGCCATGCTGGACTCTGCCTTAGACAGCTTCCGCGAACAATGGATTCGAGATATCGACCGAAACGTTCGCAGAAAAAATACGCTGGAGGGTGGTGAGACTCCTGAACAATGATCCCCATGGAAACGGAAACTGATGCTGGTCTCGATTGTTGTATAGATGTTGCAGGGACACGGGCCCTGAATGGAGATATCCTTCGCGAGATTTTTCACTTCGTCGCTGTTTCAGAGCCCGTAGTTGGACGGCTGGAACCGACGGGCCTGCGACGCCAGCGACTCGTCACTCCGCATTCATATGGTTCTCCCGAGGTTATCAAGATCAAGCGCACCAACTGGATGCGCCTATCTCAGGTCTGCCGTTTCTGGCGGGCAGTGCTGCTCGATATGCCCGAGCTCTGGGCCGGTATAGCGTTCACCTACCAGAACTTGAGGGCCTTCCCTACTTTGCTCTCTCGCGTCGGAGATGGGCCCCTAGACATCGATCTTTCTCGGCGAGATCCAAACCCTTCCTATGACCCCGTCGACGACTCCACCAGGCTGAGTTCGCAGGAGGAGACCGCGTTGGAATACCTCTTACGGGCACGTTCCCTCACACTCGGCTCCAGAGCAGACCCTGGGCTTCTAAGCCTACTGCCGTCCGGGAGCTGGGACTCGATCCGCCACTTCGGGCTCCGCATTGCTTACAGAGACGAAAGCCATCCTTTCTTTGGAGGCCGAATCGTGGAACCTGCGACCCCCGAGAACAGCGTAGCGCCTGAAATCCAGGACCCTCCTCTTCGCATCAACGCTCCGTCCCTCCGATCCTTCTCGATAGAGCTCGAGCGGCATGGGGTCCTTCGCGAGCCTCGCCCAGCAAGGCTATGCTGCTTCTATCCCAAGCTCCAATTCGTCTTTCCGGCTCTTCGTACGCTCAAAGTGTACATTATCGACGGCAGACCGTGGAACCCGCTCCGCGACTTCACTTGGCTCATCGACCTCATGCACGCCTCGCCGTTGTTAGAAAATCTGTCGATCTCACTCGATCTCCGATATATGCCAGACTGGAGCGCTGCATTGCGCCACGCACAGCCTCCTACGCTGGCCCATCTCAAGCACCTCACGATTGAAGAATGCGCCCTGACCACGTCAGCGCCGCTCGTGCAGTTCATCTGCCCAATCCCGCCGCCCTCCCTGAAGTTTTCATTGGGAACATATCAAGGCAGACAACGTTCCTCTGGAAGGGGGGGTCTAAGAAACGAATCACTCGCTCATGATTTCGGTAGTTTCCTCTGCCAGCCGACGCATCATGCACTCGCGATCTCACTAGCACCGAGAAGCGATGGAGGAGTCGCAGACGCGATTTTTGCTTCTACTCCTACTCTCCAAGACCCTACCACCTTTTCGTCACCCTTCATTGAGGAAACGAATGTAGGAGAGCCTTCAAACGGAACGCTGCTCAACTTCGCGAGCGTGGATCAATCGGATGGGGCCGGACATGAGTGGGCCGAGACTCTCGGAGAGCAAATCCCCAACGCGGTGAACATCGAGCAGCTCTTTTTGCACCTCGCAACGCGCGACATCCACAGCCGTCACCAGAGTGGGATTGGGATCAACGTCAGCACTCTTCGACTACAGATACTGCGGCACATCTTGAGACGCATGACCTCTGTCCGGACACTTTACCTTGTTCAGCCCTTCACCACCGACACGACGGAGCCTAACACCTTGAACTTGCTGCGTCCGTCGGGCAACGGCGTCTTTCCCGAGCTGAACACGCTCATCGTCGCCATGCATATCGAGTGGGTAGGAAGTCCAGATGAACTGCGTCAAAGCCTTGCACGGTGGTGGGAGGCCCTTGGCGAAATGGTATTGCTTCGCCGCGAAAACGGGATGCAGATTTGTACACTGCGCATACTGGGTTACTGGGAGTCAAAGGAGTTACAAGAGCTCCTTCGGGACGCCGATACACAGGGTCTGGATAGGGCGAAGGCGTTGGTGGGGAGCGTGAGTGACGAGCGGAGTCTCTACGAGGGTACAATCCGACTATAGCCGGACTCGTCTGCCGTAATGGACACTGGCCGTCTTTGGCTCCAACCCTGAGCGTCATAGGATCTGGCGTGTATGTCGTTATTCCAGGTCATGACCTTCGATGGATGTATTATACTCACAATTTCTGCTGCGTTTCCGATAGTGACGACCCAGATGCATGCGAATAGAGCCCAAGTATGCTCGGGATAGGAGCGAAAGTAGAACTGAGGAGCGCAAGCGAACGTGCAGATGTTGACGCGTCGCCAGTCAGAGCTCATCGAGTGGCACGCGAACCAGTCGTTCTCCCTTGGGCACGGTAAGTTCAGCATCGGTTTCTTGCGCATTTGATGAGCGAAGCGTTTCTGCTTGTACTGTAACTTCGGATGATGGTCAGCGTCAGGATTCTCGCACAAGTATGAGAACATACCGAACATGTTCAAGAGGCGGAATGCTTCAGGCCACTGAGCCAGCACGCGTCCTTGCACTAATTTGACATGTATGAGATGCGCAGGAGTTATTTCAGGTAGTACCGCTCACCGACAGCCGCATCTGCCATGACTTCACTATCCTCGCATAACTGTTCGATGCGCCTCACAAAGCTTTGGCTTAAGCGCTCGAGGATCTCTAGCGCCTCGTACTCCTTTTTCTGTTCGAGCAGTCGAGCGGCGGCACTCGAGCTCTGAGCACCCGATCCGCTCCCCTTTAGGATGGACGCCCGGGCGGAAGCCACGGACTGCCGGTTCATGATGATGAGCGCCGGAGACAAGCAACCTCCAAATCAGTTCGGTGACTGAGGTAGGTCGGATCTCGGACCGAACGTCCGAGACGTGAAACCGTTGCGCGCGCGTCCTCGCGTATTGTTGCCGTACCACCACCACCTTCACCATCACTTCTCTCCCTCGAAGCACACTTTGGCTATTATAATTGACTAGTTAATGAAAAGAGGCTCTCACGACAACTTACGCTACGCATGGTTATGACCGCGCTTAACGGTTACCATGCTTCCACCTCACACCAAACGCCATTTCCCCTCGCAAATGGACATGATGCATCCATGGCCGGGGAGGACGAGTTCTCCATGAAGGCGCTGGAGGACGAGCTGACCGCGATAGAGGAGGGAGTTGTGCCGCTGGGAATGCTGGTGCAGAGGGTAGTGCAGGCTTGTTACGCAGAGCTTCAAGAATTGCACGAGACGTACGTTTTGTTGTGCATCAAGGACCAGTATCCTAGTAATACGAATACTCTTGAAGTCTTCCGACTACGAATGATCATAACCGGAAACACAAACTGGCGAATTTCGCCGTTGGTTGGAAGCGACATATCGCAAAGGTTTACGCAGTGGCCAAATGGTCTCGAGACGCCGAAGTCATCAAGAAATGCATGGTGCGCGTGCAGAAATATTGTTAGTTTGCAAGGATGTCTCAAACGCATGCATAGAGCATAATCGCATTTCTTGGCGAACATAACACCCACTTCACAGGCGCGCTGGAGAAACTGGGCTTGATCAAGGACAATATTGAGCCAGTACGGTGCGCATGTTGTCAGTTTATATTGATTTCTACTGATGATCCCCTTCCAGACACCGCAATCATGACCTGCTCACCTCGTTGGACGTTCTCACGACAGGCACATACCGGCGCTTACCCTCTCGCGTCAAACGCGACTTCATACCGCGAGAGCCCTTGACAGACGAACAAGTCGCGCGCACCCTGTCACGCGTCGAGAATGCCATCCGTTATCGTCTGCGCATGGACGAGGTTGTGCCCATTGAAATGTCTACGTACCGAATATGTGCGTCGACAATAGATTGTGATTTGTGCCGGAGAATAGTCCGTTCATGTTCGCATAGACGATGGCAGGGCGTTCTTTACTGTACCCGGACTATTCGAGACGTCGATCTGCGTTCTCGGACAAGAGAAGTCGGACATGTGGTTCTTCTCAGACGTCAGATTCCTCTTCACCGTGGGCGGTGAAGTAGCGAGCATCGAGGGTAAGCTGGGAGACCGTACACTCATCTCGTCTCGGGCTGAAACGAAGAGATAGACTTCCCTACGGAGCCTACTGGGAGTATGCTACAGCATATAGCGGACGAGGCGGACCGCAGAATGGGCATTTACCGCGCCCAGCCTCCTCCTGAACTACCAGAAGGCGTACCGCCACCGCCACCGCCACCCGAGCTACCGGAAGGCACTGTGGACGCACCACTCGTGCGGCTATACAACTTTCTTCGTGAGTCCCGCAAGTGCCAAGAAAGATTTCAACTGATAGCATTCGTAGAGATGATGTCACTATCCTACCAGCTCGAGGTTCTGCTCTTACAGGTAAGTGCCTCGGCTGTGCTTGCTTCATCCCGCGCTGACAATACCAGGCCCAACGATTACGTTCTCTTGGTTGGGCCGAATACCTGAGAGTACAAATGAGTGCAGACCGGCACACGCTGACACTCTCGTACTGGGTGTGAGTGTGCAATCGCCTAACATAACCACCCATTCTCAACCCACTCAGACGAAAACCGCCACCAGCAGATCGGCCAGCACCAAAGAACCCACTACCGTCCTTCGGTGGCACCGTCACGATCTCCCTAGTAGCTTCGAACCGACCGCAGCGCAAGCCGAAGGCCCGCATCCTCGCTGAACTTCAAGCACGTGCACGTTTGGGAGGCCGCCGACCTTCGGACGACGTCGAATCTATGAGATGGGAGGTCAAGTGGGAGCCACAAATGGGCGCCCTTGGCATTCCGCTCTCCCCAGGAGACGACGTTCTCAGCGACTCGGAACTCTCTGTGGTAAGCGTTGACGCACATCATCGAGCGGCAATCGCGGTCTGATTATCTACAGGATCCTGCGGACCTGGACGTGGAGAAGATCCTGCGCGCGGCAATATACAAGCATATCCGCGGCATTTGGAACATCTGTATTCGTCAACTTAAAAACAGTACAGTGTTCGCGGCGGCAGATGCGGTGGTTCTGGTACCTGGTTGTGAGTGCACCGTTTCATGCATATAGCCATTGCTGATGTATTCGGTAAGCGGATGGCTCCTCCTCACTTCGTGTGGTCCTCTGCGCAGATGAGATGGTCTTCGTGTCCTTAGACGCACGCACTGGTCTTGTCAATCTTCGCGACACTGGGGATCTAGGCGTTGCCGGCCGCGCTCCTCGCTTCGTGTCTATCACAGACAAGTTGAACGAAAATCCGTCCTTCCTACTACAAGCTCTCGTCCGCCTACGACTGAACGTGAGCACTCAGTTCTTTCTCATCAGATCTCTTGGACTCATATGTGTCATAGACTATCGTCGACATTGCAGAGCAGAAGGCCAATTACCTTGGCTTCCAAACGTTCAGGACGCGCAACCTGAGCGAACACGGCAGGTCGCTTGAATCTCCATACATCCTGACTGCACTAACATCTTACAGATGTGTCCAAGTTCGGCCGCACCGCCCGACCTTCCCTCTACATTCAGCTCGAGCCTTACCCGACCCATTACCTGGTTCTAGTTGTTGCCGATGACGATTTCCGTTACGCCCTCATCAGCACGAGTCCGGTGGCTGGGAGCATGTACCAGCACTTCTCAGTTAACGACATTGGCTGGCTAGATGTTTCCCGTATATGCTCCCGACCCAATGCGGAGGATGCTACTGCTCCTCCATCTCTCGGAAAGCGCAAACGGGACGAAGGCCGCGACTCTGTTGACTCGAGATATAAGCTTGAGACGTCCGTTCTACGCGAGTTATATGCCTACTGTTGGTACGCGTCACATTTACTTCCTCTACCTGGTCGGACGCTTACTCCCTACAGTGCACGCGTATCACACACCAAGGTCGAAAGACAGTTCAAGGACCGCGGCATCCCTTATTCGCATGTCTTCCCTCCCGCTGGCTCTTCGTCTCCGTTGCCATCGATGCTCTCCAACGCACATTCTTCATTGTCCGCCGCCATTCCAGCCCTTTGCGTACAATCAGCAGACATCCTCGCCGGCTCTCAGGCCTATGAGGCTGCGATGCCCAACATCCGCGTCATCCCACTTGCATGGTGGTCTGCGTCCGCCGCCAAAGCGGGAGAGAAGCCGCCACAGGTTGTCACGTGCGTGAAATTGAAATATGTCCAACAGCCTGTGGGGCGGCGTGCGGGGACCGACCCCGGGAAGGGCGTTATCCGGCCATCAAAACGGATTGTGTACGACGCGAACGAGGCTGTCGTGTGTTTCCTGGCAGATCAGGTCGAGGGCTGCGTGGACATGTTCTTGAAGGAATGGGCGAGCGTCTCTAAGATCGTTGTCATAGCCCGAGAAGGTTTGCCGATTACCTCTCCGTCGCAAGAGTTTGGACTAACGATCTGTCCAGTCGCTCAGATGACGAAGCGATGGAAGGACGTCCGACTACTATCCTTCGACTTGCAGACCGTCGAGTTTGCCTACGCCTCTGTAAGTGTACGCTTCTATCGCACGAGCCACATCTCAACATCCCCACAGGACTACGTGGTCTCTGTCACCGGAGACGACCCGTCGGATCCGATAGGTGGTTCCTTCAACCTACATTTCTCACGCCTCGCATCCACCACTCCGCCGCCAACTGCCTCATCTTCAGCGACCGGTTTCACGACATCTTCTCGACGCTCATACAACCCGCACTCAGACGCCGAACCATTCTTCATGGACCTCTTGCGCAACAGTCGTATATCGGCCTGCCTGCCCGCTCTCGTTGACATCCTCCGCAACACCGTACCGATCATCGAAGTGCTCGAGGAAATACGGTCAGCTGCTATCGCTGCGATGGACCTGGGTGGTGCGAGCGAGGAGGGTTGGTCGTGGGCTGATGTTGACACCTACCCGAAGGCCACCGGCTGGTGGCGCGCTTCCTTCGGTCATAACGCACAACACGCACTCGACCTACGGCTTATGCAGGGCGCGCGCATCGCTATCGTCGACGCTTCGTATATCCCGAAAGCCCGAGCTGGCATGACCTCTACATGCGCAGTAGACGAGTCTCTCTTGCTTCGTCCGATACTCAACTTCGACAAGGTCGTCGACACCGCCACGAAAGACTTCCGCCCGCAAAGACGCGGAAGCATAGCGCGAACCGACGTAGGGATCGTTTGTGACGTTGCTGATGCAGCTACGCTCGCAAGGAGGGTGTGGGAAGGCGTACTCGGCGAGTTCGGTGTCATGGTCGGGTCAAGCTCGCATGGATAATTGGCGCTAGGATCGGTTTTGTTGTCACATTGCTGTCATTGTTTTAATGTATCCTTTTGTTTATCGTTACTACTCGTTCATTATACTAGCTCAAGCTCAAGAAGTATGAGATTAACTGATGGCTTATACGTGTGCGCTGTTGAACTCCATGGAGGATGACTGCACCACAATTCAGACAACATGCCTCGCGCTTGCCGCTGCCGCATCTACGTAGTACGGTACTGATACTGAGTGAGGAGGCGTTGACAATCCAGAGAAACTCTCTAATGGCGATGGCGATGGCGATGGCAGGCGTCGCAAGGTAGTTTGGACGATGAGTTAGAATACAATCAATAAAACAGCTACATATATATGTCAAAGTACAGGCGTGTCTACATTTTACAGCTGCGGGCCAGCAAGGCGAACCTTCTCCTCGACATCGTTTTCGTAGAGCGCAAACGCCTTCTGGAACATGCCCGCGAGCTTGCGCACCTCACGCTCGAACGCGCTCTTGTCGGGCCATGCGAGCGAAGGGTTGAGCAGTTCTCGTGGGACACCCTCGAGACCAGTGGGGATCTGAAGGCCGAACACGGGGAACGTCTCGTACTCCGCCTTAGCGAGCGCGCCAGAGTGCACGGCATCGACGATCGCACGCGTCACCTTGAGCGGGCAGCGCTTGCCAGTGCCGAACTTGCCGCCGGTCCAACCGGTGTTGATGAGCCAGCAGTCGACGTTGTGCTGCGACATGCGGTCCGCGAGCATCTCCGCATAGCGACCGGGCGGGCAGACGATGAAGGGCGCAGAGTAGCATGTCGAGAACGTCGGCACAGGCTCGAGAACGCCATCCTCGGTACCGGGCGTCTTTCTGAGCGGGAAGTCAGCATCATGACGCGAGCAAGAGGCAAGGACGACTCACGAGGTGTAGCCGGCGAGGAAGTGGTAGCTGGCCTGCTCGGGTGATAGCTTCGCGACCGGTGGGAGGACACCGAACGCGTCGCAGGTGAGCATGATGATATTCTTCGGTTGGCTCTGAACCAGGCAGGGAATCTTCGCGTTCGGGATGTACTCGATCGGGTACGCGCAACGAGTGTTCTCGGTGATGGAGATGTCCTCGTAGTCGGGTTCGCGCGAGACGGGGTTGTAGACGACGTTCTCGAGGATGCTACCGAAGCGGATGGCGTCGAAGATTTCAGGCTCCTTCTCGCGCGTGAGGCCTACGCACTTGGCGTAACAACCGCCCTCGATGTTGAAGACGCCGTTGTCGGACCAGACGTGCTCGTCGTCGCCGATGAGGAGGCGAGCGGGATCCGCGCTCAGAGTCGTCTTGCCCGTGCCGGAGAGACCGAAGAAGAGCGTGACATCACCCTGCTCCTTCCCGACGTTTGCAGACGAGTGCAGGGACAACTGACCGAACTTCACAGGCTGGAGATAGTGCTGCAATCGCCGTTAGCATGAGGCGGATACGTGACGTCACGCGTTGAACTGCGCACCATCACAGAGAAGACACCTTTCTTCATCTCGCCGGCGTACTCGGTGCCGAGAATGACCATCTCCATGCGCTTGAAGTTGATCTCAACGGAGGTCGTCGAGCTCATGCCCTTGGTGAAGCGGTTGGCGGGGAACTGGCCGGCATTGTAGATGATGAAGTCAGGCTCGCCGAAGTTCTGAAGCTCTTCTTCCGTCGGTCGGATGAGCATGTTGTTCTGCCGATTCCATTAGAACATATTCGTCATAGCGAAATAAGAGGGTCCCGGACTCACCATGAAGAGGGCGTGGTAGGCGCGGGCGCAAATAACGCGAACCTTGATGCGGTACTTGGGATCCCACTAGCGCAGCAGACGGTCAGGGTCGATGTACTCTCCACAACCGAAGCACAGATCCTGGAGCGATAGCCCGGGTACCGTGCCGTAGTGTACTCACCCCTGCAAAGCCATCGAATACGTAGACGTTCTCGCGAGTGTTGAGGTAGTCAATGGCACGCTCGCGGTTGATCTCAAAAGTGTCTGCAAAAAAGAGTCAATGGCGGGAACGCGATCAAGAGAGTGGGAGAGACATACGCTCATCCATCTTGATGTTGACAGATCCCCACCAGATCTCATCCTTGCTCGTCTCCTCGTAAACAATGCGCTTGTCCTTGGGCGAGCGGCCGGTCTTCTTGCCGGAGAAGTTGATGAGTGCGCCGGAGGAGGAAATGATGGCACCCTCGTTGCGGATCGCGTCCTCATAGAGCAATGCGACTGGCGCATTACGCTTGAGCGTGATCTTGTCCATGTCGAAACCCGCCTGCGAGAAGTAGTCGATCTGACGACCGATGACTGGCAAGCGATGAGCTTGGATAGATGCATGGCGATCATGTTGAACTCACGGCTCGACATCTCAGGATCGTCGTGTGCCTGTGCGTAGTGTTTGTGCAGGATGTGCGGGGTAACGTAGGGGGTCATCGATGGAGGGGCCATGTTGCGCTGTACGACGGGAGGCTATGAAGGAGGAGGTTTGAGACAAGATCGTAATGCGGGGTCGAAATGCGGAGGCGCGTGTTTATATTGCCGGAGCATGAAGAGCTCGACGGGTCGGGTGACCCCGGCCACGCCACCAGGCATCTAGATAGATATGGAGTACTCACCGGCTGGTGTTGAGGGTGGTAGAGGTAGGCGAAGGGGGAGTGACGTTGTCGAGGAAGTACTGGGCGTAGAATCGACGATAGAAGCTTTATAGCAGACCCCATATGTCGAATAATGTGGGAGACTCTCCAAGCGCCCGGTTTACTCCGACTGACGGACCGCCGCGAGCCCGAACGCTGAGCACAGCTCAAACACGGCGGTTGCGCCAGCGGCTCTTCGTGTGCGTTGGCATGCCCTACTCATTCCTCCTCTACGGAGGCCCGCGAACCCTCGCACGGCTATCACATGGTGGTAAATGGTGACGCTTTCCCCACGCGCTTACGACGCGACAACTCGCCGCGGTCCAGCGCGCGGCGCAGTTGGGCGATCCTCGACTTCGCTTCGACGTCGTCTCGGTCGGCGCGGAACTCACCACGACCCTTCATCTCGAACCGCAGCCCCTTCACTCTTTGCCCTGTTCTCTGAGCACTCAATGTTGTGGCCAACGTAGTCACGATGTAAGAGAGGTTTCAACTCGTCCTTAGTTGTCCCATTGATGTCCTCGTTCACCGCCGGTTCGGTCAATACCCTGATTGCCACCCTGGCATTCATTGAGCGCCAGCGCCGCGCCGTTATCTTACGCTCGTCGAGCGCTGCAGATGTCGGTCCAGCCATTGCATGCCTGGACCATCTCACGGACCGATTCTTCTGCCTGCAGACCACAGAAGCCGGCTTAACCGGACCGTCATTCAAGTCGCTGGGAATATCTGCTCGCTGCAGGTGCACATATCGCGGCCCTTCGATCGGCGTGTTGCCGTATCTGGCAAAGCGCCTTGTTTGTGTCGATGTACTAAGTCTTACGCACAGTTGCTTATCTCTTTGTAGACATGATGACTGTTTTTGGCATCTCAACGTCTTGGTCTCTGGCCCGGAAGACGACTGGAAGTGTTTGTACAACGTCTCGAACATCTGCACCTAACGTCCATGCTGACATTGTCGTGTCGTTTCACTCTCTGAATATAGGGCACTCGGCTTGCTTCGTACTACAATTTGGTCACTCGGAGCTATCTTACACTAATCTCGACCTCCGATTTTGCCCGAGCGGGCCTCCGCGATTGCACGAATGTCCCTCTTGCTACCGCCTTGTTCTCGCTCTCGACTGGGCCGCGGAGCTGCGTTACTCACAATCAGCGGTCCGTCGGGAGTGAAGGGGATCAGCATTCAAACACATGTTCAATAGCTATTGCCATAAAACCTATGCAACCGCGCCACCGTCGTTCCGTCCGTCAAGACTCAGCAGTGGAAAGCCCGACGGTGTACCTCACTCTATCACAGCTTACTTCGGACTTTCCGGTGGCGGGTCACACATTGCTGCCAACAGGATTGCGTGTGTATACCCCTTACGGCTACGTTGATCTCCCATACATCAGGTCCCCCTACGCAGATTCTCGTAAGTTTCGTGTTTCCTTACCAAAGCATCACACCGGGCACACCTATATCATTCAGCGCGCTGAGACCTGAAGCACTCAGAAGCTCAAGGTCCTTCTCTGCCTAAACAGCTCTCAAGCGCTTCAGGCCATACAACTACCAACGCCACCCACACCTCTATCATCTCGAACCCGCATCGCCTTCATTCCCGCCTTTCCCAGCCATGTCTAGCCGCGAAGACTCCCCGCTTGGTTCCCCCGCCGTCCTCTTCAACTCGGGCAACTACACCATCCGCCCAATGACATGCAACGACATCCCCGCCGCTCTCGCGCTACTCGTAAGCTTTTCTCCCAGCGCTTGTTCTCCCCATCCAGACCTCTTACACTCCGCCGCAGAAACAGATCCAGCCCGAGGCACGTAACGTGAAGTCGACCTTCTTCACGCAGATGTTGCACGACTCGAACCGTGTTTGCCTACTCGCCTTCCCGACGCGCAAGCCTGCAGCGCCCGTTGCCATCATCGCCGCTGCGTTGCACGTGCCGACCGACGACCTCTCCTTCGCGCCTGCACCCTCGGTCGACATGCTCGCCCTCGGCGTTCTCCCCTCCCACCGCCGTAAACATCTCGGCGCGCACCTCGTCAGCGTCGCGTGGCGCGAGCTGGCGCTTCCCGCCGCCGCCGCCGGCCTCAAGACCCCCCGCTTGCGCGCTGTCCTGCCTGAGGACGATGCGTCCGCCCGCGCCTTCTGGAAGGCGCTCGGACTGTCCGAGACCCCCGAGGCGCGGCCATGGCGCTCGGGCTGGCGCGCGGTCGTCAACGTTGAGGGCGTTGTCGCACTCTGATGACTCAACCGGCATCCCATTGTTCTCGAACTCGCATTGCTATTCCCATCGCATCTGTACTTGCATTGGTATATTCATCACTTAGACACCGCGCTGACCAGTAGAGACGGAGGTGATTACTTTCACCTCCGCGGTAATGAACGGGCGCTGTAGGCTATCTTGTCTTTGTATGTTGCGTGTTTATTGGCTCCCTCTTGTTTGCGCGCACGCGCTAGTATGTACGGCGTCGCTATTGTTTGTAGGCTATAATTCCATGCATGACGTTGACGAGTCCCTTGTGTGCTCATCGCGATCGGGAGCCGACGGTCGGTTGGTGTTACTCTGAGATGTGACATGTCAGGACTGTCTTGCACAGATAGCCCACGTACAACACCGAATCTTATCGTAGGAGATAAGCGTCTATCTGCGCGCTACTGCGATCGTAAGCCGAAACAGGCCAACGTAAGATGGTAGAGTGTCATCATCGGGGGCCGCCGCTCTTAGATGAATTGACGTACTGAGTCTGCTGAGTACCTGATCAGAAAAGGCCGCCGGCCTCCATGAGCGCTTGGAGAGTTGATCGTGTTTGTGTACCTCACTAGTCGCGACGCGTCGAAGACGGGCTTTGTATGTCATGTGATCGCGCCACGCCTATACCTCTTACATGATTTGGCAGCCTCGGAAGCTCCCAAAGCGTTGAGGGTAGATCGGTGCTTGTCTCACAAAATGCAAAGTATATCACAGGAAAGGTTTGAGAGATACGTGAGCCACACGAATGGCCGATACTTCTCCTGATGTCACTTCGCTCCCGCCTTCTTCTGCTCCTTGAGCGCGGCAATTCTCTGCAGAAACGTCAACGATCGAAGTAACAGCGTGCACACACTACTCATCGTACCTGCTTTCGCTCCTCTTTCCGGCGTGCCATCTCTGCGGCCTTCTCCTCTCGCGTCATGCTGGCGGTACTGATGGGAGTCGTGGCGGCCGATTCCGAGGATTCGTGCACAGGCGAGGATCGTGCACTTGACATTGTTGAAACTGTCTGAGGAGATAACGTCGTATTGCGAGAAGGTGCAGACGACTTCGGCGCAGCCGGCTTGCGCGTCTGTGTCGAGAGAGACGGATACGATGGCGAAGGCGCCACATGTAAGAGCGGACTCTTCGGCGTTGCTGGTGCCGGTGCTGCGTCGTCCATATCGCCCCATGGATCTTCATCACCTACACTCGTATCAGTACATGCTGTCAATCTGGATGATCGATCTCACCGTCTCCGGGACCAACATCCTCGAAGCCTAATGCAACGGCATTGACGGGCAGGTTGCTCGCAGGCGCTTCTTCAAACGCATCTACGAACGTACGATGAGAATACGACATGCCGGGACACAAAGCGGGTTATCTCACTCCAGTCCGCCTCGTCGTTATTCAGATCAATCAAGTCCTCGTTACCCCAAGCGTCAAGTTCGCTGGCTAGAGCGCCCGGCATGTTGTGTTTTGCCTGCTTGTGCGCGCCCAGTTGCATGCCCTTAGGCTTTGTTGCCATTGGCACGGCCGGCGCGACGGGTCTCGTGGAAGATGATGGAAGCTGTGGCGGAGGCGCAGTTGCATGCCCCGACATCGAACTCGAGGCGATCGAGGACTGCATCTCGCTGGGCGCGAGCTTTTTTCGAGTGAGTACATTATTGGAACAGGCGCAGGTCGTATACGAACTTTCGCACCACCACCACTGAGCGAAGATAATGCCCAACTTGCGAGTGTACTCGCGGCACCGGCCGCAGTATTGGTGAGAGTTGCCTGGCCATTGGGTGTCGGCAACCCGAGCACGCTGGCACCGCTATCATTGGCCACGGTCTCTGGCTAGATGCACATTCAGCGTCCCCATCTCGCAAGCGCAGACAGGCACGGACCATCGTCGCGGCGTGAGCCTCGATCTTCTTCATGAACAATTCGATTGCCTTGAATGCCTGATCTCGTACAAGCCTGCGATAGGATTGCATGAGCGACGTTCGCGTAAGATGAACTGTGCAACATACTTCTCCTTATCTACCAAGGCGCCCGCGACTACACCCACCACACGGCCGGCGAGTTCCTCGACGTCAAAGCAATCGATGCATGCCATGAAGGCCATCAGACCAGCAACGCGCGCGTGTACGAAGTCATCCTTGAGAGCCTTCGCAAACGCCATGACGAGAACCTTTCGCTTGCTATTGTACCCCAAACTCGGTCCCAGCCGACCAATGAGGATGCAAGTGTTGGTGCGGATGGACGACTCCGGATCCGACTGCAGTCTCGCAAGGTGTCGTAGTAGGTCATTGTTCAGAATGCGCTCAGTGAACTGCACAAGGCATGAGCATTACATGGCGAAGATTATGACGTCGCGTTTACCTTATCAGATAATAGGCCGATAGATTTCACTGTTGCTTCTCGTATCAACGCGACAGTGTCGGAAAACCCTGTTTGCTGTGCATAATGATAGATCAGCTCACGCTTGCTGTGACAAGTTGATAGTCGAGACGAACGAGATGTGGCCAGATCTTATCCGAGACCATCTTCTTGTCAAGCTTGGGCGCGAACTCGGGAAGAGCGTCTAGCAATGCCATGCGAGTACCTCTGTCCGCGCTGGCGAATAGCTTGATGATGGGCTCAAGAACAATCTTGTTGTAGTCATCGGAAGACACATTCTTGCCAAGAAGTATGGCCACAGGGATAATCGCAGAAGCTTGATGTGCCATTGCGGGAAGCTCGAGCGATCCGAGTAAAGAGGGAAGCACGAGGCGGGTGGCAAACGTAGGTGGCAGCGTGGGTGCTACTTCTGAGACTGTCCTGTTATATTGGTTAATGGCAGGCCTAAGCAAAGATAGAGCTGGAGCTCACCTGATGAGCTGAGCACGCTCTCCATCGGACATGAGCCCAAAGTTGCCCAGGGATTCGCATATCTTGATCAACCTATTCGACTTGAAGAAGCCGCCTTCACTGGCGCTCTCAGAGAGCCCAACCTCCAGGAAACCCTTCGCGTTAAGCCGCGCTTTGGGATTGGGATTCAAAAGCTTCTTGTATGATGGGAACACGGATGTGGGTATAGATCCCCGAGATGAAGCTTGAGGGGGCGGATGGGGAGGTTGTGTAGTCGGTGGCGGGCCAGCTGTCGGATTGAAGAGCGCGTGTATCAACAAGGCGAGGGCGTAAGAGTCTGCGGCTGCAGGAGAGTTTCTATAGCATAATGAGCGCGGGGTACAGACATGGGCACAGGATACGCTGTACTCTTTGAGACTGGGCCATCCGCCCTTCTTGACCTCGGGCGGAGAGATTGAGTACGCATCGGGCAATGTGCTAGCGTGCGTCTGAGACAACGATATCAAGAAATAGTTGTATTGTCATGTAGAATCTACGTACATAGAGAACAGCAGCAGGATCGGTCGGATTACTGAGAACTTCGAAGCCTCCCAGCCTCCACTCGCCAGAGGTAGACAAGAACACTGAACTCAAACGAATGTTACCATGTGTCGCGTTAGCAGACTCGTTGACAAAGGCAAGGGCGATCTAGAGAAATACGTCAGACAACGTAAGGACCGGTAAGCCTAGAGACGTACGGATAGCCGATGTAAACCCCACAGCAACCACTCTTGTTGCTCCTGTATTGCTTTGGGAGACCAGGCCTTGACTTCGGAAGATAGAGGTTTCACGCGTTCTGTCATTATCTGAATCGTAGTCTCCGTCTCTACGACATCCATGAATTTGAGTACGTCTGGATGGCGCGTTGTTCGTAATTTCCTCAAGGCGTTCTTGGCGAGCGGAAGAGCGTTCCGTTTGTTTGGCGATGAGCCGTCGAACTCAAAGATCGACACCAACGTGCCATCATCCTGCAGCGCGTAAGTACAGTCCAGATATGAGACTAGAACGGCGCACCCTCTTAGTTCCGTCATACAATGTCCAGATGCTCTCGCCCTCGTACGCGTTCACTTTCGCGCCAAGCGTGAACGGAGTATTAATGCCTGACTTCTGCACGAGGGTGTGCACTGCAGCAGAGCCAATGGCCCTGAAATAGTCCATTCCTGGTTCGAGAGGTCGAAGCTACAGGTTCAGCTCAATCTGGGCGTTATGATTGCTGAAAGCAACCCCGGGTCACGGAGCTGTCGGCCAAAGCTTCTGTGGTCTGCCACGTGTTGCAGAGATCGTCGCGTGCACACGTCGCCCGCGATTGCTTGTCACCTACCATCGCTGCCTTGCAGCGAATTTTGAGTCATGTTGTTACTCGAGGACTCTGTCATATTAACCGTGGATGCGGACTGTATTGTGGCCATGTATTTTCATTATTTCGATAATTGATAGAACGATATCAAGTTTGTATGCGGCCCGAATGCCGATCGCCGCGGTACGCACTACTGCGCCCGCACGCGCTCTCTCTCGCCACAACCGCCATTAGCCAGAAACGGCCGCTGTGCATAAGCCATCCCATATACCCGTCATGACGCTGTGAAGCTGCCATATAATGTCAAAGAACCTGCCGCTTGAGATTGAGGAGGCGAAACCGCCGACATGGTTGCCTACAGCGCACGCCACGGCCGACCTGGGTGCGTAGGAATAGTGTTTACATCTGCAAACAAGTTCGATTCACAAAGGATATAGGGCTGGTCGGCTACTATCCCCCCTTCCCGAATCAACCGGAAGATGAAATGTCGACCACAGCTGTTCAAGGAGGGCTACAGACGAAGGACCCGGTGGGAGTAGGTGGCGTACTTCTAGAGCTTAGCGGGAATACATGTTGACCTCAGATTACTTCAGGCTCCTACTTGGGGTACGAAAGATATAGCCAACCGCAGCTTCACCCAGGAACGCGCGTTGCTCGACCTCCAGAAGTTATTTGAACAAGTCTTCGAACGCAAGGTGGACGCGGCGGCCCCGATCCCGTATGTGCGTCAGCGTTAGCCTGGTGGAAGCCTGGACGCTCACGTCAGACAGACCTTCTACCTTCCGCTTACCGTCCCGAGTGACTTTGAACGATAGTAGGCGTCAAGCCTGGTTCCGGCAGTTAGCGGACTCGAATGTACCTCTGTACACATTGGGCAAGAGCGTCCCACACGGTGCCAAGGGTCAAGATCTACTGGAAATGCTGTATTCAAACAACGTCGAAATCTCTCGTGCGGTGTGGTTTGTGCGCGTTCTTGGCGCCAACGAGATGGTACGCGTGGCTACTACTGAAACATCTTAATATGTATTGACAGTTGATAATATAGGCCGGTCTACGGAATAAGCCCAACTATGATCCAACACAGTACAGTGTCGAGTGGTCCAACGTTGTAGTCGGATACTTGAAGAAGCAACTCGGCGAGATCGTCCTGCCGAGCGCCCCTCGCGCTGGCGTCAACATCAAACAGGGTTTTAAGGGCGTCCTGGCTGATCCAGACAGTCACCAAAGATGGGTGTCACGCTTTCAGTACACGTACGTATACTCATGTGCTGGCAATGCACCGTACCTCAGCTCATCAGTTCTCAGACTCGCACTCCTTCGTACCTTCTACTCCGAAGGTCTTGTGGACAATCGCACGTTTCTCGCGTGGCTCGTAACACAGTTAGCTACATGCAATCTCGCGCAAGCAGGCTTTGTAGCCAGGCTATGTGACGAGTATATCGATGGTTTACTCTCCTGTCGAGCATTAGCCAGGCCATTTGTCGAGGCATGTCTGGCAAAGTCAGCCGAGGTCGGTCGCGCAATATCTCGACGGATGTCCTACTCAGTAACGCGTTCTAGATAGACTCGTCATTGTCAAGCACTACTTTGGCACCCATGTCACAGTCTCTGCGAACTTCCTTGCGGGTACGCACGAGTCTTCTTTGTCATCATGTCTTCTGGTTGGTTGATGCCGATGACAGAGAGCGTCCTTAACCATACCTGACGCCCTCATCGGCCCCCGAATGTGGCTCACATACTCTGAAGTCATGACAAAACGTTTGACCGGGGGAATATGTGCGACACCTGAGTCCGGAGATAGCGAATTCAATACGCGGGGATTGGCCGTACTTGGTCTCATAACCGATAACCTCGCCGATATCGCACGGCGCAACAACGCACTTCTGTTCCGGAACCTGCCGCCTCGCACAGTAGCCCAGTTAACGGAGGCTGTAGCGGATGTTACGCGTCTCAACTCCATCAGCATCGAGACGAACATCGACAACTTCATATATCTCGACGCACCCACTCGCAGCCCCGTCTTCGCGCGCAAGGTCGAGAGGCTGCTTACCTGGGCGGTCACGCCTCTTCAGTTCGGCGATCACCGTCCCTATGCTGCGGCTACCCTATTGCAGCGCTGGCGAGAGCGACTCGTGCCACGCTCGCGTTCAAGGGACCAGGATACCTTGCAGGACTTGCTCTTCGAGTTTCTCGATGCGAACGAACCGAATGCGCAAAGTCTTCCGGCAATCGCCCTGCTCTACGGAGAGCTCGTCAAGAGTGGGCTGTTCTCGTATGAGCTATACATACAGCGACTGATCGCACGATGCGAACCCGGCCTATCGTTCTCCGATGTATGCCCTCTTCTCAAACGGGAATGCTGTGCGCTAATCTTTCACCCGCAGGTCTCCGGTTCCCGACATCGAGACTACCTCCGATGGATACCTCTTGACAAGTCGACAAGCGCGATCATCCACCAGCGCAAGACGATTCTACATGGCGTTCGAACGCGCGAAACACCAGAAGAGAACAACGAACGAGAGATGCGGCGGGAGATACGGCCTCTGTTCCCTGAACTGTTTGAAGGCATGTTCCCCCTCTATCAGTTACTAACCTTATAATGACGGAGAACCCAGGTGTTGAGATGGGGATGATTGTTGAAGACTCCACGGTTGACCTCTTGTCTGGATGTACGAAACTACTGTCAGCGCCGCGGTACGAGCAAGTCAGAGTTGTCAAGGCATGGCTGTCCCCCATCCTCATCAAGCACTTTTCTGGGTAACTACTTACTCTAGGCCACTCATGATGTGAACTAACCCAGCACCGTAGCCGCCTTGACGACCCGGTGTTCGTTATCGGGGCCTTACGCCCATTTTGCATGGCAATCGACTTGCTCGAGCGCTTACAGTGCTATCGTACGATGTTCGATGTGAGCCCGTCGTTCTCGCTGCTCATCGTGATACTCGGCTTACGGCCATCTACAGCTCTGTATGGCACTCCTCGCGCACACCAGTACGGCAGACTTCTTGACGACGCTGATCGAGACGCTACGAAGATTCATGGACATCTGGGCATGTATGGGAGTTCTCAAACCGCTTGCTGATGCGCTGTATACTACGCATCTGGCTTGCAAAGCGCGCACCATTCACCCACGGCCTCTATTCGACCTACTCGTGAAAATCGACGAGACGCATCAGTTGGACGCTGACGCACGGGCATCGGTAGACGCTGAGAAGATTACTTTTGCTCAGGTGTGTGTGTCTATCATATATCCGACTGTCCAAGGCTCTCACAACTGTTAGGCCATCGGCCCGAAGGACGAAACGATGCCTCCACCTGAGGTACCGCCTCGTTTACCCGACATCCTGATGCTGCCCGCGGATACTAGACCGGGAGCAGTGTCAATGCTTGCTGCTAGCCTCTGGTTTCGATATCGGGCGGCACCATCCTGGGCGTGGACCGTTTGGGATAACACGTTCGCGAGCTTGTGCCTGAAACCGGATCTGGACACCGCCGTATCAGCGCAAGATCGCGCCTTCTGTTATGCAGACTTCATGTTACATATCGACCAACATCTTGCCAAGGGCCTCGATCCAGTCATTGCCGACTGGTTAACCCAGTGCGGCACCTTAGAGCTTGTCGTCATCGACAGTGAGGCTTGGGACAGCGTGATCTTCACTCTGCTCTACCTCGTCGTGCATGGAGCTCTCACCGCTACGACCGTGCTCGCTCACCTGGTGTACCCGCTTTGGAAGCGCGCGCTCGAGGTCTTTAACGGTCATCAACCGAAGGAGAATGAGCAGCCACCGGAGGTCTATCTTCGTGCTGCTCACGATGTATTCGCTCGCCTACTGCTCAACACCGCGTGCACTCCCGACGGCATACCGCCCAACACATTCATCGACCTTCAGAGAATTGCCACACGTAGGCAGGACGTCTTTCGAACGGAGCACCTGAAGCCACTGGTGTCACAGATACCTACACTCGTGTTCTTGGAGAAGAGCAGGGGCGTATCTGGCGAGTTGGGAGAGCTATCCGGGGCCATTCGTGGTGCTGTATGCGAAGTGCCTGCTTTCAGACAAGGCGTCTACCGGGATCTTCATGCAGTTCGCGGCGCATTCGAAGGAGCGCTTGAGCTGAACTCCCTGGATGAAGCTCTGATCGACCATCTTATGGACGCTCTGCGTCTCATCCTCAACGTCGCAAAAACCGGTACGTGGCTAATACGCGATCATCCATGGCAGCGATCTCACTCAAGTCATCAGATACCGCCTCCATCAGTTCTTCAGATTGGCTGGACACATCTGCGTTGCTAAGCCCGTGGAAGCTCGCTGCCACCGCAATCGAGGTGCAGTTCACACTCAAGCAGATGGGCGAACGACTGGCTTTTGGCACCCCGCATATTCAAGGCAACACCAAGGTTGACCGGCTCATCGCCAAGCTATTGCGGCATCATATGTCTAGCGAACAAGCGGATTTCGTTGCGGAGATGGCTCGGGGTGTTGGTCCCACCATAGTTGGGAAGGTAAGTGCACATGTTCGCGTCCGTAGTCATGCCTGACGATATTTCGCAGTTCGTCAATACCGGGCTGAAGTTCATCGCGAATACTCTGAATGGCGCAGACTATCGGGAGTGCGGGTCTCACGATGCAATGAACGTCGTGAGCGAACAACTACGACTGCTTGCTCATATCACCGAGCCGGTGCGCAATGCCGGAGAACAGCCGCATACGGACTCTAGTACTCAGGACGAATATTTCCAAGCGCTGGCCACGAAGATAGAGGTTTACGAGAGCTTGCTCGCTGGACGTACAGCCTTACCGTCGTGTATGAGTCAAGAACAGCTGAAGCAAGGCGCAATCCTGTTGGCTAGACTTCTTCAATTCGACTTGACTTGCCGTGCCGCCTGGACGCCCAAGGCTCGCTCGCTCAGCGACGGTCTCTGCGCCTCCGTGTTCAAGATGGCTATGGTGCGTTGTATTGTATTCCACGGCCATGCAAACAACTTAACCACCGCCGGTAGGCATTCGCTCACGGAGTTTACCTCTGCCCCGTTGCCTACGCTCTTGTGTTGGATACTTATTACTACCTCCTTGATGGTGAGTTCGGAGGACTAACGTTTGATTACATCTGATGACGTCACAGAGATGGCGGCGGACAGCAAGCCCGTGGGCAACGATCTGTTCAAACACTATCCCGACTTCAAGCTCGTAGAGCTGCCCGTGGATATGCCCAAGAGATATAAGCAGCAAATTCGATTCCTCCTCCCCTATGTGCCTGTCAACGAAGCCGTTTCCAACCTTGTCTATACGTGGCGCGACGCGGATGATAAGCTCGTCTTCGGCCCTGCAGTAGTCAGCAGGCCTTGGGAGTGGGCGGAGAACATCGGGGAGGCCTCAACTGCATCTGAGGATATAGAGGAGCGGCGAAAGATGCATATACCTCCGATAAAGAACTCTGGGTCCATCTCCCTCGACCTCTTTGGAGCGGCTGGGAAAGGCGAGATGCTCCTTGACTATGAGGACGACCAGGTCGCAGCCAATATGCGGTCCTTCCATGATAGCGTTGCCAGCGAGAGTGTATTCACGCGTGACTGGATAGAGTCCCGACTTTCATTCGATGACGATCCTAGCGTGGGTGCTCGAGTCGCGCGCGGCGAGGACGACGAGCTCGGGGCACTTCCCATCTTTTCAGGAGCATCGCCCGCGCCCTCAACGCGTTCTCGCGGGTCCGGTCCCTCTGGATCAGCGCCGCCCTCTCGTTTCCACAGCCCTTTCTCGCGTATCTCCGGCGCTACCATGTCCGAGGCCATTGATGTCGACGCGCTCACGGGTTCCGCCTCCGTCTCATCGGCAGCAGGGCGGCAGACTGGTGGAAAACGCAAAGCGTCATCCCTGCGTGAAGGGTCTGACTCCGACATCGAGATCGTGGACGGCCCACCAATTCCGCGACCGAAGGGCAAGGGCAAGACTGCGGCAAACACGCGTACCAAAAGGAAATGAATACCATGTACGATGTTGGCTCGCTATTGCTCTGGACATTCGCTGATGCTCTCGCCTCTTGCTTTACTCTAGACTTCTGCTCTGCTCTCATCGTTTTCGGATGCACACCTTGTATCATCATACACTTTTTGTTGCTATATATGTACATGTACCCGAGTCGAGTGCTCCTCATGCTAGATAAATATCGATCATGCACGACTTTCAATTATACGGTCTCAGAGGGACGCGATCTTATCAGGCCAAAACCCCTTCCTCTCCTCCCACCAAGGGACGTCATGCGCCAACAGTGCGCGCACGCGCGGGTTCTTCATCAATTCCCTCACACGAACAAGATGTCCCTGTGCAGCGACCAAGTCGGTGTGCATCTTCGTCGTTCGGCGACCTTGCTCGTCGACGTCTATGGCGAAGTGCAGTTCGCCCGAGAGCAACCGGCGATCGTGGCAGGAGTCGCCGAGAAGCATGATCCAGGCGCCGTCCGCCGAAGTGCGCACGAGTAGGTTAATATGGCCCTCGACATGTCCAGGCGCGTCGATGATGTACGCGCTGCCGTCGCTAAAGAGGTCGTACGCGCGGGGAAATGGGCCAATGGGTCGCCATTCGGTAGTGTCGTCGAGTACGTGCACCCGGTCGGATGGGAGTAAGTCCTGCGGAAGGGAGGACCGAGGGTTCTTCGGATATCCGTTGTCGACGCGATCCTTCGTTCCTTGGTGCACTACGACGGTTGCTTTGGGAAACAGGCCGGGCTCTCCTGTATGGTCCCAGTGGGCGTGCGAGATGATGACATGCGAGATGTCGGATGGTTGTAGACCGCCGGCGATGATGTGGTCTGCGGCGTCTTCTGCAACGCTCACAGGCTCGAAGTAGGGGATAATCTCGAGGGCTGCCGGGGGCAAGCTCTTGTACTGCTTGTGGATTCCAAGGTCGAAAAGGGTGTACCCTTTGTTTGCACTGTGCTGAAGGACGAATGACAGCGCCGGAGCGGCCCAACGCGAGGTCGGGTCGACATCATTCGGGTCGAGAAGGAGGAAAGCGGGAAGAGATAGTACTCCGGTTTCGATGGCGAATACGGTGAAGTAGGCCTGTTCGGCACGAGGAGGAGGTAGCTCGGCTGTGCGGTCCGCCATAGTGGGTATCGAAGGACAGTGTGTACCAGCAAGCCTGAGCATATGAGTCGTGAGCTATTGCCGATGACATCAGTGGCATGTATTCTTTCGACCATCGAGCAATGAAGCAAGCTCACAGTCAAACCCCGGAGATCCTGATTCGCATTCACCCACCAGTCGGGTTTCCGAGGACTTTGTCAGGCCAACTGGCCTTCGCAAGCGACAGCTGAGGTATTCCGGGGCCATTGAAAATTCGAAATCGACATGTCGTCAACCCGGATTCCCGAGGGTGTTGGCGAGATGTCGCTACGAGTAAGATGGCGCCATCGGTGAGTCTGGGAAGTCAGCCGGGCCGTATTTACGACGGTGCCAACACCATCGCGTGCCCGTAGTCGTACTCGCAAGTAGCGATGTCGCTTGAACTCGAGAAAGCATACAGCTCTCTCGGAATATCGCACAGATATCAGATATTACAAGATAATCTGCAATTCCCAGAGCAAGGGTCGACCGTGGACGTGGTTCAAAGCAAACAACCTCCGCCGCGGCAGCGTTGCGGGTCACGGTTACAGCCGGACCACCACCTTCCGTATCCCGCTTTTCTACTTGTATGACTTCCATGGCCGAGCCTCAGACGGCGTGCTTTGTACACACACTCAGAGCTATTTGATGACCTTCAAACTCCAATGAGTTTACGCCCATGGGCACGAAGTACTACTCATTGTAGCCAACCACGCCAACCTCCGAACGCTGTTGTTTCGTACCAGTACGTTGGACGGCGAGGACGTCATAAAGAGGCAATTGCCTCTGGCCAAAGCCCCTTCTTTTCCTCCCACCAAGGCGCATCGTGTGCCAACAGTACACGTACGCGCGAACTCTTCATAAGCTCTCTCACACGCGCGAGATGCTCTTGAGCGGCGTCCAGGTCTATATGCATTTTGGTTGTCTTGTGACCGCCTTCATCGGTGTCTACGTCGAACTGGAGCTCGCCCGTGAGTAGACGGCGATCGTGGCACGCATCTCCAAGGAGCATGAGCCAACCGCCGTCCGCTGAAGTGCGCGTGAGCAGATTGATGTGACCTTCAACGTGGCCGGGTGCGTCGATGATATAGGCGCTCCCGTCGCCGAACAAGTCGTACGCGCGAGGGAACGGACCTAGTGGATGCCACTCGGTCTTGTTGTTGAGTACTCGCGTGCGGTCGACAGGAAGTAGGCCTTGCGGGATCGTTGACCGAGCGTCTTCGGGGTACCCGTGTTCGACTCGAGCCTTCGTTCCTTCGTGCACGACGAAGGTAGCGTTGGGGAAGCAGCCTGGGTCTCCGGTGTGATCCCAATGTGCATGCGAAATGATGACGTCCGAGATGTCAGAAGCTTGCAGCCCTCCGGCAGAAAGATAGCCCGCTACGTCTTGTTCAACTCGCACAGGCTCGAAGAAAGGGATGCGCTCAAGCGCAGCTGGTGGCATATTCTGGTAGTCTTTGCGAATGCCGAGGTCGAAGAGGGTGTAGCGTTTGCTTGCACTGTGCTGAAGCATGAATGAGAACGCCGGAGCGTCCCATCGTGTGCTGGGGTCCACGTCATTCGGGCTGAAGACGAGGTCCGCAGGTAGAGAGATGACCCCAGCCGCGATAGCCGACACCGTGAAGTAGGGCTGATCGGTGCGAGGTGCAGGTAGTGTAGCATTCTGAGGCATGATAAGTTGATGAGCGTCGGCGTCAGGCATTGAACTCGGGACTGGGAATGCTAGCGCTGCTGTGACGTACTGACGCTTGCCAGCGGGTCATTCATGACTGCATTGGAATTAGATTTCCCACTTAGAGATGCAGTGCAACTGTGATTAGCATGTCTAAGTTTGGGTGTGCGGCAACTGTCTCGGAATACATGGAGCGCAGCATGGTGCTTGGGGATCAGCATGATTGGCCTTTGGTATCTTATACCGTACTGAGATTCATCTTGTGCGAGGAAGACTGCGCGCATCCGGACCTGTAGCATCGATGAACGTGAACGGCATGGCGATAAATGCGCACAATGGCGCAAGTCTACGGTAGGAGTCCGAACATCAGCTTGGTTGCGGAAGAGTAAGTACAGGGGGCTCAAAAACTTGGGGCTTCAGTACTATAGTACGTTTACAGAACAGAGGCGATGGAGGCAACAGTGGCCATGCCATTCAGGATCTTCATAACATCCTTACCGTCCACTACCAGGTCACGCCCCAGGTCTCCACCCTTTCCGTAGATGAGAGCCACGGCTGTGATGAGAGCGTCGATGAACTCAGGGGCCTCGAAAGCTTCATATACAAGCTCGCACACGATTTCGCGGCGCGAGTTGGATTTGATGATGGCGACGGCATAGCCAGGCTGGTCCCAAGGGGTGATCTAAACGCGAGGAATGTCAGAGATGTCATTGTGAGGTATACATATCGCGTACCATATCATGGTTATCCTCTTCACCAGGAATCCAAGAGTATACATTGGCTGTGGCACCGGCCTGGAGCCAACGTTTACTACCGAGAAGCTTAAACCGACATATTCTCCCAGTTATAACTGGGTGCACGTACGTCTTGTTCTTGTCTTGGTATGGTATGAATGCCTTGCACTTGATCTCGTCACCGCCGCGAAATGTCATACGTGGCGAGAACATATGATCCCAGTCAAGGCGCGAAACTTCCGCGCCAGTCGCGTCGCAGATTGTCGTCCACTTCTTGCGTTTCGCGTCTGATGTGAGGGTATAGAGCACCTTGCCTGCGGGATCGACGACGGTCGAATCGAGGATATAATCGGCGGCGGTCTTCCCGTGCGCCTGTTTCGCCATATGCCCCCGCTTGGTCGGTTTGAAAGTGAAGTCTACGGATGTGCGAGGCACAAGGCCGTACAGGCTCGAGACCTCGGCGGAAGAGTCCATCGAAAATAACTTCTCGGAGAGCATGTTATTAGAAAGGGGAGTATAGTCTAGCTGAGGCGGGCGTGAGCGAACAGAAGGAAGAGTATCGCACTGCACGGTAGATGCTCACGGGTGGAGATGATACTCCTTATACTCCTTCTGTCTACTTTCCGCGCCAATTGACACAGTACATGCACTGCTATTCGGTCGCCGTGAGAGCCTCTTCATGATCGATTGAGGATGAGAGCTGTAGTGATTTCGCGGGAGGACTAGGGAAGGCATTGGCGTTACACCGAAGATGCTTCCAGAAGACAAGGAGCCGTATCCTTGGAGACAATGTGGCCGTACTACATAAGTCTGCGCATCTGCTCGTTTGAGCTTAGTATCAGAGCCGGGTGGGATGTTGACAGCGTTCCAGGGCAAGTAGTTGTATGGATCCCCGTCGCTGTGGCTTGGATCTTGAGCGGCATTCCGTTGACACCTGTCGATCCCTATGGTACAGCTGCGGCGTCCATGTCAGCTTTCATGTGTAGGGATTACATAAGGCGGGTAGAGTGGCGTACGAGCGACAACACCGATCTCTCCGGACCTCGGACAATCAATGGTCACCAACTCTAACAACATGTCCCCGGCTGCCTCGATCTAGGAAGGGGAACCGCAAGGGCACTGAACGGCAAGAACATGGCTATTGCGCCCAGGGCTGATGACTCGGTGTTCTTGGGCGCATGGGCGCGCTACAGTCTGCGAGTCTCATGCAGTGCATACCATTTGAACAATAGTAGCCGTAGATCTCTGGAAAGACGCGGTGGGTGAGACGCCAGAAGTGCCCTGATGGTCGTCTGAAGCAACCCGCGCCTGCAGCGTTGCGCCTTTCTTCGCTCACCACCATGGCTGTCGTCGTGGCCGAGCTTTTCTGCGCAAGCCAAACCACACATCTATGATGAACTGTCGAGAACGAGATGAAGGGGAGGCAGACGTCCCACAGTATTCCGTATCGGCGGTACTTGGGCGACGGTGCACCATCTCGACATTCCAGATGCACTACGCAGCGATCAAAATTTGATGGAAGTGCTACTACTATGAACCTCGACAACCTTATAGGTAAGCCACAGGCATGCGCTCTCGAGAATGCCTTTCTCGCTCGCCATCCATCCAGACGACTCAGGATTAGGACTGCTGCATTCCCGAGAGCCTTTCATCGGCGCCGCCCGCGTCCCTCATCTGCACCTCATTCTATGGCCACCCAGAGCATCTCTGCAGATGACATCGCTGAGAAGGTCTTCAAAAAGCTGTCCGCTTCTCGGCGCAGGCAGTTCGCGCCGTCCAGAGAGGAAGACAAGGCTGGGGATGGAATATGGAATGCTTACCTCGACGCGGTTGAGGACGAGGATAAAGCCAGCGCCGAGAGCTGGAGCGGGTCTACAGCTGGAATTCTTACTTTTGTACGTTCCCCCGAGCACACGTGCTTGATTGTGCCCTTGTACTGAAGCTGGGCCGCGCAGACAGGTCTCTTCGCCGCAACCGTTGCAGCCTTTGTCATAGAGAGTTACAAGCAACTCCAACCTGACACGGGCGCACAAACCGTCGCACTGCTCGCGCGAATAGCATTTGCTTCCTCGGGGAATGCCACCATCCCTCCATCGGAGCTTCCTGCAGAACCATTCGTCGCGCCAAAGTCCGCTGTTATCGTCAACTCGCTCTGGTTTCTCAGTCTAGTCATCTCACTTGCGTGCGCACTACTAGCGACGCTCATTCAAGAATGGACCCGCGATTTCCTACGCGACATCCAGCGCCGCACTCCCGATATGACCATCAAGCAGTACTCGTTCAATCACATTTACGTTCGCATGGGCGTTGAGCGCTTCAAACTGGACTACGTGACGTCCCTCATCGTCGCCCTCATGCACCTCGCTGTCGTCCTCTTCGTGGTCGGACTGGTGATCTTCCTATTCCCAATACATCACACGCCCGCAGTCGTCGTCGAAATCGCCGGGATCGTGGCCGCATCTATCTACGCCATATTCAGCCTCATGCCTTTCTTCGACAATAGCTGTCCCTACCGGACACCATTGACGTTCGTCTTCGCCGTGCTCGGCTGGATCGCATTCTTCATACTCGGCGCGACGTACCTCGTGGTACTTTGGGCCGGATACAGCGCCTCGATGCTCGTTGCCGGCTCTGTCACCGCTGCGCTTGGGTTGGCAGCCCTTGTGGTTGGATCACTGATCCTGGCGTCTGCCGTCGTGTTCTTCGGTGTCCGGGACGGGAATTGGTCGTGGGTCAAGCAGTTCTTGCCTGACCAGGCCATAGTCCGGGAAGTCTCGGAAGAGACATCGAAAGGCTTCTTCACCGTGTTACACTTTGTATCGGTGCAGCTGCCGCAAGCGGTCAGCTTCTACGTGCGCATCTGGTTTCCTACTAGACGACGTCCTGGTGACAAGAACGTGCCTGCGGATACCCCGAAGGACTTAGACATGTTCAATCTCAACGACAAAGACCTGGAGGAAGCTCGCTTTATCAACGACAAACGCATCTCGTTCCTGTGGGACCACACCAGCAACTACCTCATCAGCCGCGAAGACAACCTCGAACTTTTCCTGGATCACCTCCCGAACCATCTACTGAACGTCGATCACCATCGTTACGGAGCATTCCTCTCGTATCTGCGACACAGCTCTACGTTCACGGAACGTTTCGCTGAGGGCATGACCCGTTTCGGCTCCCTAGAAGCCGGATTGGGGGCGCTGAAGCTTCTACAAGAGCTCATCACTGCCGAGCATGGACTGGGATACAAGTTCGATCCTACGCATGGCGAGCGATGGAAGGAGATGCGTACTCTGATAGCGAGGCTCCCCATATTCCTCCACAGGATCATGTCCTACAGTAGGGTCGGATATCCCGAAGATGATATCAATATCTTGCTTGCACTGTCAGACCTCCGGTGGACATTGATCCGTGCGCGATTCCAGTCCCTACAGAAGATGACTCAACGCGATTGGGCGAGCAATGTGCGCTTCCTGAACGAGATGTTGCTATGCCTCGAAGGCGTTGGTGGATTCTCTTTGCTGCCTCCGTATGCGGACTCTCAGCGAGTCTTGGATCACTATTCTATCGATCAGAACGAAGACGGAGATCGTTCTCAGGCTTGGAGAGAAAGTGAAGACATACTGTGGGGATATGAGCTTTCACTATCGAACGTGCTCACGCTGCTCGCCAATGCCATACGTCTAGAGAATACTGGTTTACCCAAGAACCTCCATGTCGAGACGTCCATGGCGTGCTGGCGCGGTCTTTCCTCGGAGATGGATTTTGCCGCGTTCTCAAGGTCTTCTCGCGCTCGCCAACCATCGAGCCAAGTCATATCGTTACTCTGCAGCCGAGGATGCGGTTACGATGAAGTCTTGGATTCGCTCTCGAGCCTTTTCACAGTGCCCAATCCACCACAACTCTTTCGCTTAGAACTCGAAGCCAACCAAAAGCCGCTTCCGACGCTGCAATCCGGCGTGACCACACATTCAGCGCTGCTTGATAGTTCAGCACCGCCAAGACTGGGCCAGTCACCTAACCCGGAAGTCACACAAGGTAGTTGCAAGACTGATGGAGAAGCGGTCGCGGAAGATGTACTGCAAGTTGACGAAGGGCATACGCCGGATGATCCCCCACGCCATTAAGAATAATGTATGTCCCTAATGCCGATCTCGGGGCAAGGGCAGTGTAGGCAAGGGGGACTTCATATATTAACATTGATATTATTCATGTACCAATTGGAGGAAATATGTCTATCCAATTATGTGAAGGCGTCGTCCATTCGAATATATGCGTGAAGGGCCAATGCACGCTGTACAATCAATTACTGTCCACGTTTCGCATGTCGCGCGTTCGTCGCTTCATGGTGTGCTGGATCAGTGGACCGACCCATAGGAAACCACCGCCGTATGATTGACGA